TATTCACCTCCTCAGCTACAAAGGACGTATGGCACACATGGAACTTCTCCCTCAAGGTAGGGCGCGCTCGGGTCTGTCGACGCTGGCAACTACCGGACTGACTGGAATTAGATCTTCTATACCCTATCTTCTTTATACATCATCTTTCTTATGACGAGTGTATATGCGCGCACAAGAGAGCGGGAAAAGGCGTGGAAATTTGGCATGTACTGTCTGCTTGGGAGCATCATCATCACCCCTCTCTGGTATCTCATCTTCAAGAAGACGCTTATTGGCCATAGCAGCTTCCTCAAGGTTAGTTACTTTTCTCTTCCCATTTTACTAGAAGCAACCAAATGAACCGAGCTAACCGCAACCAAAAAAAAATAACAGTTTCTCTGGGTCTTCTCAGAAATCCTCGAATCCGTCTGCATCATCCCCCAACTCCTCCTCTTGCGCCAAACTACCGTTCCAACCGTCATCGACTCATACTACCTTGTCGCACTGGGCACGTATCGCTTTCTCTATGTGCTCAATTGGATTGTACGCGGCGCCAACGAGGACCACTACCGCGACCCCACATCATGGGTCTGGGGCTCTATTCAAACAGCGCTGATGATCGATTTCGCATGGGTGTACTATACACGACAGCGCGTGAAGCTCCGACACGGCGGAGTGGTGGATTCAGAGGATCTGGGTCGGGGATGGCTTGTTGGGCGCTTTGTCGGCAGAAAGAGCATGGACTTTGACTACGACGAAGAAACTGGCGGCCAGCGAAACGACTCGACACAACCCCCTAACAAGTGGGGGCGACGAGGCATCTCCGTGTCCGCCGACGAAGGCGTAGAAGGCGCGCCAAAGAGAAGAAGCCCAGAGCGGGGAGGCGCGGATCCGGAGACGCAGCCGTTGGCAGACCCTGCAGCATTCGATGATGAAAGCGACGAGGATGCCCCTGTCGCGCCTGTGGCTGGAGCTTCGGTGGCTGAGCAGAGTGGGGTGAGAAGAGACGAATGGGACGACGATGTGGATGATGATGCCACGGAGCACGACGCATCTTCCAAAATGATCAAGTAAAGGAAATCGAGTTTGGGATCTTGCCTTTTTGTTTAGATATGTGTCTGCTAGATGGTAGGAGAGTGTCGCTTTTTTTTTCCTCTCTTGGATATCTATTTCTTTGTACACTATCTATCCCCTACTTGTTTCCAATTTTGGACGAGAAAAAAAACTTACTTGAAACTGTACTCTTCATCTGCTATTACGTCTTCACGGAAATTTCACCAAGATACGCATTTAGTGTTGGGAAAAAAAGATTGAAGTAGTAAAATATGCTTGTTCATCATTTCGCCTCGAAATAAGCGGTTGGGGTTAAATCTTTCATCCCAACGAAAAACAAAGGGTTTCCTCATATACTAACCCAAGATGCTCCCAAAAAAAAGATAGTACAAAATATATACAACGAACCAGGGAAAGATACATCCATCATTCATGTTCCCATGCAATCATTCCCTCTCTCTCTCTCATTCATTTATGTGCACACACCAGTAGGGACAACAAAGCTGTTTGTCCGCTTGGTAGCATTGTAGATAGCACCTTGACCCAGACCGCGCTTAGCGAAACCCTTCCAGATCTCGCACTGGTTCTCGCCACCGGTAAGGGCCTTGTCGGCATCGAGGATAGCGTCACGGGCAGAGACAAAGGTAGGGTTGCAAGGCTGGAGAGCCATGCCGTCGAGCCAGAGCTTCATGGCAAGGTACTTGCCGTCGGTCGGGACGCCCTTGGCGTCGAAGGTAGGGAGGTCAGCGTCGTTCTTTCCGTGCTTGTCGATGAGGTTCCAGAGGACTTCGTAGAGCATGGATGCCCAGATGTTGCCAATTTGGTGGACGGCGGTGGCGCCGTCGTTGTCCGAGTAGACTTGGGGGTTGACAGTCATACTGGTGGAGTAGAGGGCGCGGCGGATACCCTGGGGCTTGCCCGTGACCCATTCGCCGATGGGGTAGTTGGTGTCACGAGTGTCCTTGGCCTTGAGGCGGATGGCGGTGGCGTAGGCGTCACTCCAGCCTTCGCCCATACCGCCGGATTCGAACAGACTGAGGCAGGCGGAGTTGGCTGGGCCACCGGTCAGACGGTTGGAGAGGCCGTGCGTGTACTCGTGGATAACAACGCCGGCATCGAAGGAGCAGTCGCGCGAGGGTGTGGTGGAGGTGAACATGTACATGCGCATGCGTGGGGCTTGGCCATCTGGTGGTGTAGCAAAGTTTGCGTTGTCGGTGCCGCTTCCGTCTTGAGCGTTGAGGTAGACAAAGTCGGCCCCAAGGCCGCCAGCGCCGTTGTTGTTGGCCTCGAAGTTACCAGCCTTCTCGTTGAAGCCTAGTACGTGGAGGAGATCGTGGTATTTGTTCGAAGTGTAGAAGAGCTGGGTGATTGAGGCATTTGCGTAGGACTTCCAGTCCGAGGTTTCAGGTGAGTAGGCGAAATCGTAGATATCATTGGGTACGTTGGGACGTGGCAGAGTGATGAGGTTGCTGGCTTGGTTGTTCCAGTTGGTTTGTGCAACTGCGTTGTTACCACGGGTTGTCTTGTACGTGGTGGTACCATCACTGTGCCATCCAAACTCACTGGCTGGCTTGTACTGGGGATCTTTGATAAGTGCTCGGTTTCCCTCTGCTGGACTAGTGATACCCCAGGGGCTGGAAAGAGGACATAGTCAGCAACGCACGGGCCCAGTATGATGAGAACGACTTACTAGACATTGTAGGTGGCATCGGCAGAGTAGTCGACGGCAGCATGGACCTTGTCGCCAGTTTCTGCGTCTACGTAGGTGAGAAGCCAGTTGCTCATAATGTCGGTCTCGATCCTCCAGGTGAGGGAGAGCTTGCCCTCTTGATTGATAAGGTAGACAAGGCGTGCTTCAGGGTCCTTAACACATCCGCTCGTCTTCTTGATGGTGAAAGTGTTGGCTTCTTGCTGGGGTTCAGCAGCAGCCAAATCGGCAGACACAGGAAGGGAGAGAATCTTGACAGCCGACTTGAGGGCATCTACGGGCTCAGCAGAGTCACGCTTGCCCAGACTTGGTGGCGGTGCTGGGATTTCGCCCTTGTAGAAAGAGTTTCCAAACGAGAAGATGCGGCCATCACGGCCGATCTAGGAAGTGTTAGTCATGTCAGACTTGGGTGAGATTTCAGGTGACTTACGTTGACGTTAAAGTCGGCCGAGTCAATGTCCAAACCGTTGGCGGTCTGCTTGTAGTAAAAGTGGGCGATGCCATTGTCACCAACATACGAGTCGCCTGCCAGACGGAATGTAGCACCGGGTACAGTGGCCTTGACCAATTCGTCGGCAGTTTCCTGGGCAGTCGCACGCTTGGTGATTGAGGATTCGATGGTAGGATCCTCCTGGACCTCAGTGACATTCATGTATTGAGCGGCATGCTTGATACGGAAAGCATCGAGGTTGACAGCCCTCTTGCTAAGTCCGTTCTGGCTGTGGCTAGTGTGGGGATGGCCAAATACGCCAATGGCCGACAGCGATGCCAGCGATGCGAGAAGTGTGGACCGCATGACGAAGTAGAGGAAAGAGGGAATGAAGGAAAGGTGGCGAGATGTGGATGATGACACAGCTGAGGGCGTAGGGTCTGAGTCTTATAGATGCTGTATGTACGCCTACCTCGCTACGGCGACTACCAGAGCAGCCTATTCACGTCTGGCAGATGGCAGTGGACCAGGGTCTCGGTGCGATGCCGGGCAGGTTTGGTGGATCACGTTTGGTGGCAACAGCGCCTACACAGGGAGCGATGTATCACCGGCTTCCTTTCTAAGCCTCGCCTCATGCATAGCCTGTCCCCAAGCGTACGGGAGCCAGTTAAACGATTTGCTTGGCAACTTGGTAGAAAGAGGCAGGAAAGGTAGAAGATTGGCCGATCGGTATGCTAACAATATAGAGGAGAGATGGTGGACCTTCCAGATGCAGCTATAGGCGCGGGATGCTGTAGTGTTATTTCCGCTCCCACATGGATAGCATGAATGTACATATGGACACCCCTGGACTGGGGGCCTGTAACAGGAAGGCCAGCACAAGCAATGAGTACATGGCAGTGCTTTTGCTCCAAGCAACGGCCTGCAGGAACCCGTATAGCTGAACCCCACAGCTTCTCGGCTTCCCTAAGGGGAGGAAATGCGCCTGGGGCGGTTGCGGTGGTTGCGGGCATCTTGAGGGTTTGGATAGGTAGGGCACATGTGTGTGTGTGTGTGTGTGGTGGAGCCTGTACGATTCAAGGCTATTGCTGCGCGATAGCAGGACTTGGCAGCGTCGCCTCCTGCCCGTTTGGCGGTAGCATGCTTTTGCGAGGCCCCCACCATGTCGCCCTCATGGCTGCACAGGAATACTGAAGATCAGAGTGACACGGCGAAGGCGCATCATCATGGCAACGGCTCGTGCGGCCAGGCGCAGGCGCAGGCCCGACGCCCTGTGAGCATCAAGCTGAAGACTGCGAGGGTGGTGAGGTGTACGGTCGGTATGTGGTGTGTATGCAGGGCTGGGCCAACCCCGAGACGATGATAGCAAGTCGCCACCAGCTGCTCAAGCAAAGACAAAGACAAATGGCGTATCCTGCCGTTTGTGGGCATTGACAATATAGCCAACTTCTCCTTGTGGTCGGGTTCCGATACAGCTCCAGGTGCTGCAACCAAACACCAGACGAGATGCGGCGGTGTTGGACGAGCACGTGCCCAAGGCTGCTCCACCTCCCTAAAGCGGAAAGGCATGTCGTGCTTGTCATGGCCTGAGCCGAGGCGATCGCCGCCGCCCCTGACTTATGACAACATCACCACGGACCGAGGCGGGTGACAGGTGCGACAGCCAAAACGTCGACGCTGCAACTGGACCCTGGGTCGTGTCAATCGTGATTCCATCTTGATTAGTTGGTAGCGTAGCGTAGCGTAGTAGTATGAAACCAGACCCTGCCCCCCGATCCCCACAAGCACAGCCATGGTCAAGCCACAGCCGCAGCCGCAGCCATGTCCCTATCACAACACAATCAGATTCCCAATCTTGACCCCCTGACTGCGGAAGTGATATCGTCTTCTCATCCCCATCCCGCTGGCTCTCTTCAGCTTGTCCATGGTCGCTTGCCCTCCTCCCACCATGACCAGCGCTACAGGGTTCGGCCGCAGCATCCCCGTCGGCGTATGCTGTGCTTCGTCGAGCAGTGGTTGAGCCGGTGCCCGTCCTCCATCACTGTAGCCATCCTCGTGCTCGGGAAAGCTAACGATAACCACAAGCTGTAGGGATGCGCTGCTTGGCGGGTATGCAGGCACGTTGTGAAGCTTTGTAGAAAATGAGCAGTCGCCGCGGGGTATCACAATCACTTGATACTGCTTCGCAATCTCCACTCCAAGTCGCTCGTTGCACAGCGTAGTAGGATGCACGTAGATCTTTGTCCACGCTAGTGCCTTATCCGCGCTGTATGTCAGATCCGCATCTTTTGTGTCCGGCATCGGTACTGCACCAGGGCCCGTCGGGAGCGCTGCCGCTAGAGAATACCGTTTCGTAAGCTGTCGATCCCCGTTTCCAGACCACGAGGCTGTCGACGTCGATGTAGGCATGGGAGCAGACAACAGAGCCTGTAGCGACGAAAGAAGGCTGGAAAGATATGAAGGCTCACTTTTGAGCGCCTCCGCGTCAACTTCAAACTCAATCGCATCCGCAACCTCCATATCAGACAAATTGCCTGTCCCATCGAGTACGTCGTTGACCAGGTCAGACAGTACACTCGACACTACAGACGTCGGCTCTGGCGGCACATCAATCACCAGGTCCAGCACCTGAGCGTCTCGTGTCCGAGTAAAGAAGGGGTCGAGTGGATTGAAATTGTCCATGGTAGCACGTGACATGAACACCTTTTCGTCGCGTCCCAGGGCAATGTTGGAAATGGCATAAATGCGAAACTGCTCGTCCATCTCCATCGCACTGTCCATTGCAGGCACATGGTCATGCTCCCGCACCATGCCAAACCGCAGTCCACTGATCGAGTTGACGAGTATTCCTTCTTGTACCCTCTGGAGCGCCCCAACTAGCGATGTGCTCGGCATATTGGGAAATGTCAAATCAAATGTCGACCGAACCGCCATTGATGAGCTAGTGGCGTTGTGCGGAATAAGCTCAGGAGGCAGAGTCCATGGGTAGTATGTGTAATTTGAAGGCGATCGAACATCCGACATTGAAATGCTCGGATGATCTGCGTTGAACTCCACCAACGGAGAGTCCAGTGTCTCAATGGTCGGCATCAAATGCAATTTTGCTAGGCTTGCCGCATGGTAGACGTCAGGACGAGCCGCAGTGGCCGAAATGCTAAATGGCAAGTGAGCTGGCGGTAGAGGGCACGTTTCGGCCGTCTGCCCGTCAGACTGGAGCCCAGATGCCGTGCTTTTCTTTGACCTCAGCCGTTTGGGTATGATCAGAGGATGTCCCTCTGTCGTAAAGACAAACGGCGCATCCCAAGTGTTGAGTGGGTGCGATGGGTCAAAGAGCAGGAAGAGGTACTTCACGGTCTCGCCCAGAAAGAAACTTTCCATGCGATCATTGAGCTCACCAGTGCGCACGTCCTGCAGACCCGCCCATCCACACTTGGTCCAGCAGCGCCTCTTGATGTCGCGAAGCGCCATCTCCCCTACATGCAGATACCAGGGGTCCTTGGTCGCTTGATAGAGATACCAGGTCGATTCAATCCACTCTGGCCGGCCACCCCACCAGCGTAAACCATGCTCGATGCCGCCAGTTGCAGTCGACCATCTCTCGGGCATGGCAGAGTATCGTGTCCATAGCGCAGTGTATAGTAAGTGTGTCTCGATGGCCTCGTCCAGTTCACCAGCCAGAGTCAATAGTCCCTGGTAAAACGCACTGAGACTGTCGATCCAGAATGCTCTGATGGCGCCAGTGTACAGATCTACTTGGGCATAGTGCGGATGATGATGCTGCGCCCCGCGATAGATTTGTCGTTTGATGCTGTCGTGTGCGTCGAGCCAAGCAGTAAGAAAAGCGTCGGGGGAGTCAGTGGCAGCATTGGCTTCGTCATAAGGCAGACCAGAGAGTAAGATATGCGACTTGAGGGCATACTCAAAAAAGCTATCGATGCCTGCCCCGATACCCGTGTAGGCATTCACCCATTGTCCAGTTTCCGCATCGATGCCGGCACCAATTAGCCCAATGCTGCTTCTGCGCTGCCAAACTGCCCAGAAAGCCTTCTTTGCTAATTGCTCATACCGAGGGTTACCCGTCAGTCGGCTCAGGACGGTGAATTCGAGAACCAGACTTCCCGCTCCGGCGCTACAAGTCTCGGTAACTTCGGTTCCTTTATCATTAGGGTCTCTTCCACATTGCCCATGTTCGGCGTCCATGTTGTGTGGAGATTTGGCGTAGAAAGGAACGCCATGCCGCAGATTGACCCGGGGGTATGGCAGTCCAGTGGGCGTGTTGAAGGCGGGTAAGAGTCGCTCTGCCAAGTCTCTGGCCAAATGTAGCAATTGCCCATCATACACGAATCCGTTCGGCCACACGATTCCTTCTTTGCCGTCCTTGCGCTCCGTTGTAGGTTTATAGCCACGGATTGGCAGGTCTCCGACCGCAAATTGATGCGCACTCAGCAGACCCCCAACTCCGCGAATGACGGTTTCGAAGACTTGCACCTTGCTGTCCAGGTCAAAGCCTCTCGATCTTGCCCCTTGGCCACTTGGTCCAGGCCTTCCGTCTCCGTAGTTTTCTACCAAGAGCTTGACACCATCTTGAAATTCTGCCAGCGGCCTGTTGGCGCCTATCTTGCTGGGCGGAGGGGTCGAGGCGAAGATGGCGAGGGTGGATAAGCTATCGATCAGGGTCAAAGAGTAGTTTCCCAGGACGTCATTGACTTCGATGTGCGCAGGATTGTAGCGGTCACGCGTAAGAGGGGCACATGTAAGTGGACGTAGTTCGTCTTCAGGGAATGCATGTTTCATGTAGTTGTCGTAGCCATGGTCGAATATATCGCGTGTCTCTTGTCTGGTACCATTAGCGAGCGCACGCAGCCGTATGCGCAATATGGCACAAAGTTACCTTAGGGCTGCTATGGCTTCATCCGTCATACAGCGTGCGAGAGTCGCCCAACAACATATGCATAGTAGTACAAGTGTCCATAATAGCTGAAAGGGCGATCCTCCAGGCATTGGCGCATTCCGCCACAGAGGCCATGCAGTCTGTCGCATGGGCAAAGGCGTGCCCGTGAGGCGACATCAGACTGTACTGTTTTTATCAGTGGATGGTAGACGTGTCAAGAAGCCTATATCTGCAAGGGGTGGGGGCGCATGGCGTTGACCGGGTGAAGGACACGATTACCATATGCCGAAGCAGCGTCATTGCGCCAAGAAATCTTTCCGTCAATTATTTCATCGGAAGACCGCAGAAGGTTTCGACTCCCATTGATTTCGCCCGCCACCTCGCCCTCGTGTATTCTTCGGCCTGTGTGTTTTATGGGCGCATTGCTTGTCTGGCGCTTTTATTCTTCTTAATTTGTGCTTTCCTTTGGGTTTCTCCCCCTGCCCGCCATGCTGCCGCGAGGTGCCTTCCGGGCGCTGCGCACGCGGCCTGTACTTGCTGCTCCACGCACAGTATCGATAGCCTCGACCTGGCAATTGAATCGCACATATGCCAAAGTTGGAAAGCCAAAAGACAATACCTGGAAGTCGTCGGATCCCATAAAATTTGCCCAAGAAAACAAGGCACAGCCGAACCCGGTAAACTCTTCAGAGCAACCAGAGTTTGATACCGCAGCGTCCCCAGAGAGCAACACAACACCATCACAGCCTTCAAGACCTACTGAGAGCGCCACTCGTGCATCACAAGATGCAGGAAACAATTTCAATGCCGCAGAGCACGCCGAGATGTCAGGGCCCAAATCGGCTGCTGAGAACACCGATCCCACCACCGAGAGTCCCGAATCACAACAGACACAAAAACCTCTACCCGATCTGCGATATGGTATCCCCTCAACATTTGCTGAAGAGCAAGCCGAAGCTCAGGGCAAGGCGAAGAGGGACCCGAACGATCCGAACGAACGTTACGAAGACCCAATATCAGGCGCTGCAGGCGGCCGTGAGGGAGGTGCGGGCGGAGAATTGCCCAAATCTGCATACGAGACAAGTACCGACAGGCGGCGGAATAGGGTTGCCAACTGGTCGTACCTTGGAATGCTGCTATTTGGCACCACTGGAGCTGTCTACATGGGAAGGAACTGGGAAAACGAAGAAGAAGAATCAGCACATCCCGATGCTCCAAATGGATGGACAGTGGGCCGCATGTATGCCCGCGCAGCTGCTCGCATTAATGGACAAAAGGCCTACTACACCGAGCCTACCTTTCAAAAATTGCTGCCAGACAAGGACAAGATTCCTGGAGGCGCACCCGAACTGACGCTTGTCCTAAGTTTGGAGGATCTGCTACTGCACTCGGAATGGACTACCAAGCACGGCTACCGATTAGCAAAGCGACCTGGCCTTGACTACTTCCTGCGCTACCTCAGCTCACAGTACGAGCTTGTAATCTTCACCTCTGTCAAGTCTATGGACGCTGACCCTATTATCCGTAAACTCGACCCCTTCCGCCTCGTCATGTGGCCTCTGTTCCGTGAGGCCACGCGCTTCGAGAAGGGCGAGTACATCAAGGTACGTCTACAGCTGTTTCGATCAATACGATTTCATTTTGCTAATCTGCCCAGGACCTCTCTTACCTTAATCGCGACTTATCAAAAGTTATCATCATCGACACCGACCCATCGCACGTCAAGCTCCAGCCAGAGAACGCCATTGTCTTGCCCAAATGGAAAGGTGACCCCAACGACAAGGGCTTGATCGCCATGATCCCATTCCTCGAGTATCTTGCCATGATGAGCCAGACCGGCACGCCCATTGACGTCCGCACTGTCCTGAAGTCCATGGAAGGCAAAGACATTCCCACCGAATACGCACGCCGAGAAGCCAAACTCCGCGAGCAATTCCAGCGCGATCTCGCCGAGCAAAAGAAGAAGAGCAGAGGCAGTGCAGGTGGCATGTTCATGAAGAGTCTGGGTCTCGACACTGCCAAGCAAGGCATGGTCCTTGGCGACCAGAACGTCTCGCAGGGCATGAACGAGGGCAAGATGATGATTGACATGTACCGCGAATTCAACAAGCAAAACTACATCCATCTCGACAAGCAGATTCGCGAAAACGGCGAGCAGTGGCTCAAGGAAATGGCAGAGGAGGAAAAGAAGATGCAGGAAGCACAACTCAAGGATATGAAGGCTGGTGCGTTTGGCTGGTTAGGCGGTGCCGCACCGCAATCTGCTACCGTTCCCTCTGCAGCCTCTGCACAGGAAGCTGCTGCTAGTCATCAGGCGGGCGCACCGCCAACTCAAACCAAATAAGAAACTTTTTTTTGTTTGGCAATTTTAACGAGGATGAAAGGATACCACTACGAAAAAGACTAGAAGAACGCATACGTATTCCACTCTTGATACCAGTCTTCTGAAAGGAATGAAGGGAAAAAAGTTGACCGTTCATGAGATACTATGACGCGGGGCGGGGAACTTTATTGTACTATATATTATGTTGGAATAGTAAATGATCACATAAAAAACCCAATCCATTCACATACAAGTTAAAACAAATAAAAACAAGGGCAACTATCAAGCCCACCCCAACCCGTCTTATTATATTCATCTCTGCTTTACTTACTCTTCACTCGTACTACTCCCATCCCTCGCAACCATACTCTCGAGATCCTCCTTGGCCGCCTGCACATCGGCAAACAGCGCCACCGTCTCCCGCGGGACCCCATACGCCAGCAACTCGCTCCTGGCCTCGTCCTTATTCGCATGCCGGAGAAACCTGACGGCGGCATCCCACAAGCGGCGACTCCCCGCCAGGTCATCGTCGGCATAGCTAATCAGCTCGCCCATCCAATCCTCACGCTTGCACTCCATGTGCCAAAAAGCAATGCCGGTGCGCAGATAAATCATGCCTACGTCGGAGCCGCCCAGGACCTCTGCGAGGAACATTTCGAAATCTGGGTTGAGCGATTCTTCGAGGATGGTGACGCTGCGCATGCCCCAGAAGGCAGCGTCGTCCCAGCGGGCGAGCTGGTTGTATGCGGCGAGGAATCGAGAGACGAGTTTGAGGCGCAGGACGACGCGGACGGTGACGCCTGTTTGGCCTGCGTAGCGGCCGTTGGTGACTGCGTCTTGGAAGAAGACGTCGGCCATGACGCGGCGGGTGCGGCCGTGGACGAGGATGTGGATTGCATGAAAGGCTTTTTTGTAGAGCTCGATTGCTTCAAGGGCGGTGGGCTCCGTGGACTTGGCCAGCGCGGCGTCGCCGGCTGCTAAGTAGTCGGTTGCTGATTCGAGGCTTTGCTCGAGGGAGGGGATCGGGCGCGCTTGCAGGCGTGCGAGTTCCGACTGGACGGTGTTTGAGAAGCCGATGAAGATGGAGTCATGGAGGCCCTTTACGTGTTCGAATGGATGGAGGAGTTTTCGCTGGATGGCGAGGGGGACTCCAAGCCCGTCTTGTTCCTGGTCTTGCTCTTCGCTATCCTCATCGCGGTTGTCGTCTGTTTTCGCTGGATTCCGCAGCATGAACGTAGTGTTCAGCCGCTCGTTCAGCGTCGGATACGACAACGCACTGTAATACCACGTCCGAGTGAACAGTGGCAGATCATCCGCCAACATGACAACCATGTGTTCCGGCGTTACAATCTGCATCGGCGAATCGATCTGCACCACTGCGTGATGCCCCGAAAACGCATTCGCTTGCGCATCTGCACACACAATCGGCACCAAGCCCTCTGAAGAGATATGATTGACTAGAGATACTCAAAACAGCAATAATCAGCCTTGAATTCCCACAATTTCCTCATGAAGCACTGTTTTTTTTTCTCGAAAGGGATAGTTGAAAGGCAGAGAGACATGGAGGAGGAGAAGAGCTCACGATGACTACCAGACAAGCTAATACCGCCATACCGATGGAGCTGCTCGGGCACCCCCTCCGTAGCCAAAATATAAACACGATACATACCCGCACTCGGCCATGGCGTCGCGATCTTGACAAAGATATTTTCTCGTCTCCACACGCGCTTGCTCTCCCGGTGTATCTGCTTGTTTACATAGAAGACGTCGAAGTCCCAGTGGTAGACGCCCCCAAAGAAACCCTTTGCTTCAAGCGCTGTGCTTCGCACAAGATGATCGCCGGGATGAAAGTAGTAGGAATAGATTTGCTCACGGAGCTCTAATGGGAGGCGGAGGAAAGGGAAGGCTGGGGCCGACGAGGGTGCGTCCTCGGCCATGAGTGGTAATGGTGGCGATGGTGGGTCAGAGGACTGTGGTGGAGGTGTAGATCGTGATAAGAATGGATTTGGGACAAGTGAAGTGAATCGGAACATGCCGATTGAGTTTGCGGGGCCGAAAATAGGACGCTTTGGAGGGAAGATGAGCTAACTTCCGCCGTGTAACTGGTAGGACGGTGATGCGTGACATTGGCATTGTACCCCACTGTTAGTATCTCCGGTTTTAACGCCGTGGGCCGAGGCTTCTCAATGAGCGAGGGTCCAGTGCACTGCAAGGTAGCACGTTTAAACACATCAAACAACTATTCTTCTATCTTAGATGTTGTGTATTCGAGCTCCATGTCTTGGGAAAGACTTTCACAAAATTAGAATGAACCCTCTATAGGACATGCGCCAGACGGCCAATGCCTCACAGCCCATACAAGAATGTCCACTTTGCGTCAGCATATCTAGTCCGATCTAGGCGCTCTGCCTCTACATCTTCTGTGCTCATCGAATTTGTCATTGCCAGCTTCTTTGCATTGATTGCCTTGAGGGTATACCTGTAGGCTGTGTAGCCAGCAAGCGCCGCTGCTACGAACCCCAATGTAGCGTAAAAGGGCGTGAGGTATCTCGGTGCATGTTTCTTCTTGTACAGCTGACTGCCAATTACGCCTGCAAGGTTGCCGAACCCGTTTACCCCTAGGACAAGGGAGCGTTTACCTGGCTCTAAAAGGGATCAATTAGCATTAGCAATCTTCAATGTAGCCACGGCGATCGGCCAAGTGGGGCTGTTCTTGACGTACCAGGATTATTCCCACTCAGCCAGGCTACTGTAAGAGGGGCTGAGACGTAGCTACCAAACAGTAGGATGCATAAACCTATATACTGAATGCTGTGGGACTGCGTAGCCACAGTTACGATAAGACCTACTAGCGCGATGCATATTCCCGTGATAATATGATAGCCTCGCTCTTTCCTGACGGTATAATTAGCAAAGCTCATGATACTTGACTGGGGAGTATATACCGATGATCTGAGCTGAGGGCAAACAGATAGAGCCCTACAGCACCACACACGAAAGGAGGTACAGACATCTATGGCAAATCGAGTTAGCTACTTTCTGCATGAATCAATTCGAGAAAATAGACTTGGTTACCAGGTTTGCCTTGATTGATGAGTATCCCAAGCCTTGAACAACCATGGGCATGAAGACGGAGAATGCTTGGCTTGGCACGCTTGCACAGATGTTGAATACCAGGATGAACCAGAGCTTCCAGTCCTTGGCTGTTTCCGCAACGTCCCGTCTCGTAAGGCGTTTCTTCCGTATACTATCATTGCTGTATTCATGAGCAACGAACGGAGCATTGTCCTTGATGATCCGTTGCGTAACAAATATTTGCTCTTCGTCTGTAAGAAACCACGCTGATCCTGGCCCTCGGGGCAGCCAAAACCAAGCAATCAATGCAACGACTATGGTTATCCCTCCCTCGATAATGAACAGGCATTGCCAATTCTTCAATGTAGTGCCATTAATGTGGAAAATACCGTATGCTGATCACAAATTCATCAGTTTGAGCATTGCTACTATCCATTATACTGGCTACCTACAAATTGATCCCGAGAAGGCGCCAGCTATTGCGTACTGCCCATAGAACAAACCGATACGGACTGCGAGGTCGTAACGGCAGTAGAAGCTTGAGAGGTACGCGATAGCAGTGGGATAGAAGCCGCTTTCAAATGCTCCAATCAGGAGCCGAACAGCAATAAATGCTCTCCGGTCACGAACGAAGGCGTGTGCTACTGTAAAGACTCCCCATCCAATCTAAGACACGAGTCAGAATACCAGCCATATAATGTAAGAACAAGTGGTGGGGCTTGCCATGATGATGGTGATCCAATGCTTTGCACCAAGCCATCTCCCCACTGCAGCCGATGGGGGCTGTAGCAGGACAAAGGTGATGAAGAAAAGCGAGACCGCAAGATTGAGATCATCCGAGGTAGTACCGATGTCTGTCGTAAAGCCTATGGGTAGTGTACGGTTAGCCGCTGTGATCAGCAATGCGAGATCCTGATATACCCTGAGTCTCCGCGTTCCCCACGTTAGATCGATCGAGGCCGTTCAGGAGATACAACAGTGACAGAAAGGGCAGGAGAGCGATATCGATTTTTCTATTGACATGCTTAGACGTAGGCTCGCCGGGAACGCAAGCAGGCTGATGGCCGGTTGGCATTGTCGACGACTCGACCAAGTTTGTGGCTGCTACAGCAGCAGACTTGAAGTTGCGAGTACGAGTACCACAGGGGATCAAGGGCTCACCCTCACTCCCCTGTAAATAGGCCATGGCTTAGGCAGGCTCCACAGTGAAAGCGGCCAAGCGCAAAATACCTGAGTCACTTTGACTGTCATGGTGAACCTCGTCCACATCTCACGTTCCGGGTGACGTTTTTGTATAATAGTCCGTGGAGCAACTTGGCCGATGCTGGCGATGTGATAAAGCCTTGGCATGCAATAGGCTCCCGATCGAGCCGGGGAAAAAACACCCTGGCTAGCCAATCAGGGCGTTAGACCTGGCAAGTGGCCTGTCTGCTAATGCACGCTTATCCTCAATGGCTGGGTTACAGATGCCTAGCCAGATCAGATTCTCTTGCAGGGTTCTCCGAGCAAATCCAAGGGGCGGTCGTCCGGCATGCGCGTATAAGATAGTCTGGGGGTGTAGAGTGAATATCGATTGCAGCATCCATGGCAGCAAGGGTAATGGCTCGTGACCGTGCCTCTTTCTCTCCTCCTTCCCGAACAGGGATTTTGGTGTGGTGTCGTGCTTGGCCGGGATTACATCAGCAGGACCCTGGTCGCCTTTCAGCTGGCTACCACGACTCTCCCAGCTCCCAGCTGCAAGCTGCAGACTGTCAAAGAGCCTCTGCACAGTGACTCACGCCAACCACATTATAGGCTGGCCATGCTGCGGCTCGTGGGGAAAAAAATCCCCATCAGCCACAAGCGAGCCGGTGCTTCGACGAGACATTGGCTAGGAAGGCATCTCCGCGGCCCACCACTCACAAGGGTAGGCTGTGATGCATTTGTAGCCCGTCGTTTTGCATCCACGTCCTCATCTCTTGGTACAAGCCGTTGCTTTCACCAAGACCCGGTGTGGTGCCCTGCATTTCAGCGTCTTGTGGTGCCGCACGAGGCGCACGGGGAATGTTGGAGGCGTCACGAGAATAACTTCCCAGCTCCAACCTTCCCTGGTCGTGGGACAGGTACCGATCCACCAAGGCTTTGAGATCTTGGAGAACCTTGAAACAATCTCGAGGATAGTTTGTCCCCGTTCTTGACTCATTCTCAAATGTGCGGATCGTGAAGTCAATCTCAGGCGTGCGTAAATTGGGAGTCGGCGTCTTATGGCCACCAGAGTGTTTGAGTATTTGTTCAAGTAGCAGGACGAGGCCAGCATTGAAGACAAAATGTAAGCCAGCCTGGAGCAACTTTCTCACCCCACATAATCGCTGGGCCAATAAAATATTTTGATGAGCTGCCTCTATACAAGTGTGGATATGCTTCCCATGTACATGATTTTGCAACGACCATTGGCCATTAATGTATCGTTCGGCTACAGCTTGTTTGACGGCTGCTAGCAAGATTGGGCGTGTCGTTAGCACAATGAGCTGATTGGACGCCATATGCAGACACAGAACGGCAGGATCAGCGCCTTCTCCGCTCGCGAGCACTGACGGAAGTTCTGAATTCCACTGTTCAAGCATCTTGAGGGCCTTGTCTATGTTCGCGACCGAATAGCCAGGCCTGAAGTTACGGGGAGCAATCTTGAACGTCTCGCAGACAATGTACCCAGCGATGCGGGATAGTTCGACGTGTGCACGGAGGCCTACAGACGGTGGCATTGAACTAAGCGTTTCAGCAGCTAATTTCATTGCAAGATACTTTGAACCCAAGATACCTACCCTTCGTCACATGGAAGGGGAATCCGAATCGCTTCGTCGGCTATGGTCGGCGGGCGTCCCATAAGCACAGCGAGCCATCGGTCCAGGATGTACAATGTCCAAAAGATGCGCTTGTTTTGTTCGTCTTTGCAAGACCTGAATGCGCCATGAATCATGGCAATGTGGACCGCCAGGCTGACCTGGACGGGTAGTCCCAAGTAAGTATGCATTTTGTACGCGCTGCTCGCAAGGGAATTACTGACATATACGTAAGCCGCATCTCTACGGTTGAGTTCAATCAAGTAGAAGCCCATAAGAGTTAGCACTGGCACATCACTCAGGGTAAAGCGCACAGTGTCCAGAGGGTTACCCAGAAGCTTGCGTGCGCGCTTAAAGTAGGCTTCGCCGGCATGTTGATCTGATTTTCGGAACAGAGGGTGGCCGATTGATACAGCCAAAGCAAAGCACACGTGGTAGAAGGCTAGGTATCTGTGCGTGTCATCTGTGGTCATCGAAGTCAACGAGACAGAGCTGGCTGCGTGCGTGGGAGGATTGTTGAGGTCGCCCCACCCTAGAGGAATACATCAGTGGGTTTGTGTTGGCTATTGCACCCAATGACTTACAGTAAATGCCACCACACAAGAATCCGTCCTTGCCGTCTTGGACATAGAAGCGCAGTTCTGCTAGCATCATGCTCATGTCTGCCCAATCAGGCAACCACAAGGGGTCCACATTGGGGTTTGGGATCGGTCTCGAGTCGTACGTCTGGTAACGACCTATAGACGCAACAAAAGAAGACCCGTCTGCCGATTCCGGCTGGAAGGTCAAAGGGACTAGGGTAAGCATGAACTGTTTGAGATAATCGAGAAAAGTCGCCCCAGAAGTCTCGCCCAGGTATCTCTGAGTGCCACAAGGGTCTACGAGCAGGCGGCCATCATTAGCATCAGGCTGGTCCAGATCCATGGACACGGATTGAAAGGTAGGGCCACTCTGGCGTGATGCAGATGGGCCATGGTCGAGTTGGGCAATGAGATCTGCTGCATCTTCTGGGGCTGCTGATTGAAAGCCGGCCTCGAGTGCTGCGCATCTTCTTCGCAGCCGCTCTAGCTCGTCTTTGAGCGAGAGTTTGTCTGACTCGGGCGCTGGATACTCGCATTCCCGCGAAGTTTTATGGCATCGCTGGCAAGGCTGCTCGCCCGAGCATCTGACACGGCGCACATTACAGGCATTGCATCTGTGCAGTGGATGTTAGTTCTGGTCCGGTGAAGGAGTGCTTTCTTTGTAGCGATGGTGGTGGTGGTGGTGGCGGTGCTGCGCGTCTTGCTAAATCTTGCTCTTCCAGACGTTTCAACGGCCAGACGGGCGTCACTTGGGAACAAACCTCTACCACGGCGGCTCATGTTGGAATGCTACTTACGCCCTCACGACACGTTTTCTCTGGTCGGGCGCGACCTTGTGCCGTCTTGGGTTGACAGGAAGGCGTTGGGGTTGGGGCAAGGAGCTGTCAGACGCAGGTACAAAGTCGGTAGTATGCATTTTCGGGCCGAATTGTCTGGATACGTCGTGGGTTACTCGGCGATGTCATGGGCTGTGCGGGGGGGAGAAATGGGGGTGAGGAGCAGCAAAATCGAAATGACAAGAGGCGAAGGAATCCTCTACTGGCCGGGGCGTGCAGACGTGCAGTTGGTGTGGCTGCCAGCCCCCACGGCGCCGCAGCAATCCAGGCCGTCACCATGCGCAGCCCTTTTGGGTCGCTATACGGGGGCAGGCGACCATGGATGCGACGATCTGGGGCAAACTCGCACCCCCCTAAAGTCACCTGAGATGGATGCATGCATGGCAGCAGCGCGGTACAACAATGCTTCCATGGTGCAAGCCTAAAGGTAAGCACAGTCACGTTGATGCGCTCAACGAAACAACAAATGCAAAAAAAGTCAGCAAAATTCGGTATCTGAAGATAGTGCATTCGAAAAGAAAAGCCACGTGGTTAATCATTCTTATACTTGTTATCAGGAAGCAAAAGAAGGCAGCAGATCACGCATTCATAAATCGTATATTCGGAAAAGGTCATACTTCGTAGTACGAGGGCCAAAGAGCCTCTTTGGAAAATCGCAGCAAGCCATATTAACATGTTGGGCATCGCTAACACCAATCATTAAAACGTCGGCCTGGTAACAACAAATTCGTCAGGTCGTCTCAAAGTCGCTCTCACTCTCTCAGTCTTCTAGATGGACATTCAATTGCCATCGACAGGCGGTGCGGATCATGTACTTGGCTTCTTCCTCGCTCATCCAGTTCATGTCTTCGCCGCCGTTCCACTTGATGCCGACAATCTTACCTGCACTCTCACCTTTTGTGTCCATGACGACGAACAGCTCAGCGACTTTGGTGCCCGTCCAGCTCCGGTGAAAGTGGACTTTGAGCTTGCCAGCCTGGTCTGGCCCCTCGCTGTAGATGAACCACTTATCCTCCATTTCCTGTGGGGCGTGGCCAAGATAGAGCGAGTATATTTGCGAAGGGGGGAGGAAGATGTTCCATGATGTGATTTGGGGGTTTCCGGGAAAGGGCTTGGTGAGTAGAGCGTTGGGCACGACGCGTTCCCGCGAGCCTGGCGAATGTGGAGGGGTGGTGAGGTGGTTGCGAGCAGGCTGACGGTAACGTGTGGATGACTCGCTAGAGTCGAAGGAGCTTTTTTCTGGTGGAGATGGTGGTGGTGTGAGGAGGCCGACAGGAGCTGGTGCGTAGGAGCGGTTACGCTGTAGTCTTCGTGGTGCTCGTTGGACGGGCGGGCGGATGCCTTGGTTCATGAGAAAAGGCGAGGGAGGGGTATCGCCTCGGTCTCGTCTGGAGAAGCGTCGGAATATCGACACCTTTTTCGACAGTGCCTGGGATTGGTCCGACGCCATTGTTGTTGTTTACGCGTGCGAGGCTGTTTGTGTATACGCGCTCTTCTCTTTCGGTCTGGCGCTGTATATTTATATTGTACGTATGTTATATGTGTGTATTAAGTGATGGCAGTAGTAAGTCGCGCTGGAAAAGAAGGTCGGCAGCCCTCGCAAGCAGGTGGACGGGTCAAGACAGAAGCAACGCAGCGCAAAGCGAGGGAAATTGCACGAACAAGAGAACCCGTCCGGCCTGGAGGGACAGGACGAAGGCAGCAGAGAGGGGCGCGGTGCAGGTCGAGTAGTCTACCTACCGTTGGCGGAGCCCCGGCGCTCCCCCTCGCGCAAGTGTGCGCCTGGCTTTATTTAGCATGCACCTCCCAAGCCGCAAGCAGACAAGCCCACGTCGTCCAGCGCACACCTGGCTCCACTCGCCCTGCACGCAATGCACCACACAGGCCCTAGTCCGCTGGCCTGACTACCAACATCGTCCTTGTCTCCGGCCCGCCCTGGCAAGCCGCATGCTTCCAAGCTCTGCCTGCCCATGACGCGGGAAGGGCACGGCCGTTGCTGCTACCAAAGTGCCTGGTAAAGTGGACCTACATCTGTCCAACCATACGCCTGCGGTCAGAAAACTTTACTGCCGACGCCCAGGTACTCCCAGACTGTCATACCGTCTTTTTGCTTCGGCACACGGCATGCTGCTCTCGAACCTACCTGTTCGCCAGGGCCCCGGGCGTGCAGTAGTTCCGTCTCGAGCTCTCTTCGCCTTCTCTTTTTGCCTCTTCTCTGACAGCTACATGTCCTGTCGATCGTCCCGGCTCCTCAAAAGGCCGGGCGCCTAGGTGTAGTACTACAGGCCAAATATCCTTCTCGAGACGCGTATTTGCTGCCATTACACACTTGGCACGTGCTCATCACACAGCCCTCGCCATACAACACGGTTGGTGGGTGCCTTACATGGGCAGTGTAGGTAGTAAGACGACTCTGCTACCACTCGCCTGGGCCTGAGTGTGCCCGCATCTCCCGTGTAGCGAATCCCGGGCCTCGTTAGTACCAGCTCACACATCCGTGCTACCTCAGGTGTAGCGAATAGCAGACGCGTCGTAGAGCAAAACAACGCCACGGCACCGACAAAAGGGGCGATTACCCTCACCGGTCAAAGCCAATCACCAGTCTACCTGACACGAAGCGTCAGAGTCCGATTGACGGGTGGAAGCTTCTCTAGGCCAGACCCTGGTCGGCCTACTGGCCATCATACATGCCTACCGCAATGTTCGACTAGTAGTCTTCCTTCCCAGCCCCCTCATAAACAAATGCTCGGGCCCTTTTGGCACACGCGACACTCTGATGGAAACAATCAAACGCGAACTTTCTGGAAAATACCGAGGGCAGCTAATAAGCTCCGACCCTCCTCTGCTTGGCCGGCATAGTGATTGTAGCAAAGCAAAAGCAGCCACGTGCAGAGAGGCCAACCTAGTCCCCACGCCACTCTGCACCAGATCGTAAGACATGCATGCCACAGTCAGCCACGACCACCGGAGCTGGCCAAAGCCTCTGGATGATTGGATCCGGCTAACGCCCACCTCTGCCTACCAAACATCAGGTACATGAAACAAGGCCATTCATGGAGCTTTTTTTTGTCGGGGATTATTGCTGCAACTCTAACAACTAACCCCGCAAAAGTGCTTACGTTCTCGATAATATAATGATAAGCATCGTCTTCTCGAAGAACCTATTAGAATGGGGACCCAGCAGGCATTATGTCATGCACGGCGATCACAAAGGCTCGACGTGGTCATTCCGTCGTAGCATATTCCGAGTAATGGTCCACGGACGTCACGGAACTTCAGTCATGACAGCAATATCCAGTCTTGTTCATCCGCTAATGAATATTTTTCTTATCTTATTCCTTTTTCATAACTAGTATATAGTCCATGATATGCTTTTCGAGTAATCACACCCTGACATGGAACCTACCTAGTCTTTGTAGGTAATGGTCTTGAGGCGCAAAAACTCCTCGATACCCCAGTGGCCATTGAAGCGACCAAATCCACTTGCCTTTGCACCGCCGTGAGGCAGAGTCCACTCGTCGTGCACTGTCATGGAGTTGATGTGAATGGCTCTGTGTCAATGTCAGCACGTGCGTCTCGACTGCACCTTGGTCACCACAAGCTGTGCTACTTACCCGCTCTCAATCTGCTTTGCAATTCTCAATCCTCGACCAAGGTTCTCGGTAAAGACAGCCCCGGAAAGGCCATAGTCGGTATCATTAGCAATCTCAATAGCCTCTTCATCGCTCGAAATCTCAATAACGGACACTGAGGGACCAAACGACTCGGTATGGAAAAGCTCCATGTTCTTGTTCACGCCGTCGACGATGACAGGACGCATGCGTGTGGCTGACGTCTCGTTTGTCTCGGGGTGCTTCTCGTCCTTTTCGTAGTCGCCCTGCACGACCTTTGCTCCCTTCTTGACCGCATCGGCAATCAGCTTCTTGTTCTTCTCCACACCCGGTGCGGCTACGAGAACGGGCGCGGGCTTATCGCCACCAAAGATGCCCTCTACCGCGCCCTTGAACGCCTCGATAAACTGTGGCTTGATATCCTTGTGCACCAAGATGCGCTCAGAACTCATGCAAATCTGGCCTGAATGCAAGAAAGCACCCAGCGCACACTGCACCGCTGCCGTCTGCAGATTGGCATCATCCAGCACAATAGCGCTAGCCTTGCCCCCCAGCTCCAGCAGCACAGGCTTGAGATTCTTACCCGCTGTTGACGCAATAATACGCCCAACAGCCGTAGACCCGGTAAAGTTGATCTTCTTAATAGCCGGCTCCTCAATCAACGCAGTAGTAATTTTCGCCGCATCCTCGGGTCGATGGAACAGCACGTTCAGCGCACCCGCCGGAAGCCCAGCTTCACTCAGTGCGCTACCGATAGCCCACCATGTGCGGGGGCAGAGCTCGCTTCCCTTGAGAATGCACGTGTTGCCTGCCGCGAGGGGGTAGAGAATAGAGCGCATACCAAGAACGTAGGGCGCATTCCTGTGCAAAAGAAGTTAATCTCAGTTATCAAACCATCAAACTCCCCAGTGATTTCTCTTTTAATCATTTTCAAAAAAAATGTAGAAGGGGAGTTGAAAAAAAAGATTACAACATACCAAGGCGCAATCCCCAACACCACGCCAAACGGCTCCTTCACAATCAACGCGCTCGTCCCCTCCTCCTCGCAGCTCGGAATATGTCCCATGACCCCACTCAGCCGTCCCGCCACATCCCGCAGCATATCGGCCATCTTGGGCACGTTGAACCCATCGGCAAACATGTCCGCCGCGCCCGTCTCGAGCTTCATGTAGTCTGCGAATTCGTCGGCGCGCGCCTCGATCACGGTGGCGGCCTTGAGGAAGATGTTGCGCTTGGCTGAGTGCTTCATTTTAGACCATGCTGGGAAGGCGGCTTTGGCGGCGGCCACGGCTGAGGTGACGTCCGCGGGGGAGACCGAGGAGGCGCGCCATAGTTCTTTGTGCGAGGAGGGCGAGATGACGGAGAAGGTTGTGCTGGTGGTTACTTCCTGGCCGTTGATGAGGAGGGGCACCGTGTAGGATGGGTCCGGTTTGATGAGTTTGATGGTTGCCATTTTTTTTTTGCTTAAGTTTCTTTCTTTCCCCTTTTTTGGCTTCGTATAAGTGAGTGTTTGATTCGCAAAGCGAGGAGGTTTATTCGAGAAGGGATTTTCTTTTTTTAATATTTATATGGCTAAGTTGTGACGCCTTTAGATATAAAACCACCCGCTTGGAGCATTGCCGATTCTACGGGCCGCGTACTTGCCCAAAATGCCCGGCTTTACCCTCTTTGTTCCTGGGCCCCTCGTAACTCCCCGTCCCCCCACCTCATTGGCGCCCCGACCCGTCTCAGACGATCCCTCCCCCCTCCGGCTCCACCTCCACCACCTTTCTCTGGCTGCGTGCGCGCATGCATGTTGCAATCGGCACGTATGAGGCACGGGTTGTGGCGAGCACATTACATGGGCGTAGTGGGGGCCTGAAGTGCTAGCGCTCCGAGGCGAGTTGTCGGCCGAGACGAGGGAGAGGGGTACATGAGGGAAAAAAGCCGGTAAGGTTATGTTGGCTCTTCTTTTTCGAACAGCTGGCACATGTGAAGAAGGTTGTGAACCATTGCTATTGCGATATTATAGGATGTGCGGTGGTGTGTCGCTGGCATTATATATACAAGGGTAGGATATAGAATGGCATTGTTTGCATGTAAGCACCTATTTGTCCATTTGAATTCAACAACCTTTTTCAGTACCTTCGGCTTGTGTTCGTTCGGCTGCCCATAAGCTGGAGTTCTTCAGTCCTTCCATACTCGAGTTGAATGATAATACCCGGTTGCAGAATCCGTTTCACAAGGTTCGTGGTGAAACTTGGCAGGTATATCTACATGAAAAGGATTTCGATAATTTAAGGCATCTTCATATTCTTGAAACTCAAATCAACTTTGTAACCGTGGCGTGCGTGGGATACAGCAAGTCGGCTGGGAACTGGGGATATGCGGTTGTATTACATTGAGGCATCTACGATTGGATGTGCAGGGATATTGGCTGAGGGTAATAGGATACTGTTTTTTTAAATGCATTTGACGTACTATATTGATGCACTGAAGCGTTGTGTGCTAGTAAATGAATGTTGGGTATTCTATAGTCAAGTAGGTCAAACACATTACATTCATCCTCTGCACCATACGGAACCTATCCATCATCCTGACCATACTCAGCCTGACCATACCCGTCAATTCCACCAAAATTTTCATAGTCTTTAAACTCGTCACTGCCGTAATCATCCTCTTCACTATCATCGTCCGACTCATCGTTGGACTCTTCGCTGTCTATGTCCAACTCGTCGGAGGAACTCCACATGTCCTCATCGTCTGAATCTCCATACCAGGAGTAATCCTCTAGTATTTCATAATCGAACCTAATCCCAGCTTCACGAGCAAGTTCAGTGAGGTGCTTCCAAAGGCGTGTTTTTCGAAGTTTATCATCAGCGGATATTAAAAACACCCGAACCTCGCGCAGTTTAGATATATGAGTCGCACGGCCAGCCAACAGGTGTTTTAATGAATGAAGGTGTTTGCGGTCGTCTCTGTCATGTCGGATACGCGTTTGAAACGTCTCCAGTGAAGACGGTAGTACGCTTGCAAACTCTTTACCGTATTCCGCTACCAGTGTACCCAAAGGGCAACTGAGTGCTTTCAACGACGTAAACTCTGTCAGGCCGCTGTGGTTGTAGAGTGGATCAAGCCTTTTCCTTTCTATCTCCGTCTCGCAGTAAATTGTAAGGGTTTCTAGTGATGTCTGATGAGGCCGCAGAATCTTGACTAGCTTGCGAAGAATAGCTACACGCGATCCATTGAACCACGGTAACATAGCCACAGATATGGCGTATTCAAAAGCCTTCAAACGCCGTGAACTGGAGACTAGTAATCCCAAACAGTCTTGAGTGTAAAAACATCTGTTTAGAGAAAGTGTTTCGATATTGTTTTCCCTTCTGTCTATCATTCCTCGAAGCCGCTTAGCATTGTCCATTCCTTGACTGAAACTGTGGAACTCCGAGATTTCTATCAATCGTAGGACGCGCAATGATTGGAACCTGAACAAAGGCGCAAGATCAAATAATTGCAAGTCAAGTGCATGGACCGTGATTGTGTGTAGATTTTCAAAGCCATGGATCTTCCCGTTCTCGCAGCGAAGTGCTTCGTTCATCATGAACGACCAGTCGGGAGCGTTCGCGACCCACTTGGACCGATCACAACCGATATAACTGATAGTTTGAAGATTCGGTAAATATAGTAAGATTATGCCCGTCAGCACTTCGTAACTTAAAACGTCGTTATTGCATCTGTCTACCCATCTTTTCCAATAGCGGATTCCGAGAGCCTGCACAGCCTTTTTGATCACTCTCTTATCCTGCGCTGTTGGTTTATATCGTGGATTAGAATAGTCACTTCGGGTGACTCTCTTCACGTGCTGTACGAGCGCCGCCAGTTGCGGGTTTGATATCATGGTGCGGAGGAACAGGTAGGCATTGCAGTCGCGTGGGTCGAACAACGCATAAGCCTCTGCAATTGCAATTCGGTAAAAACGACGGCTCGTGCATGCCAAACTTAGAGCATTTAAGATCTTTTTCTTGGAGGTTTCCGCATCTGACAAGTACCCCAGTATCTCGACAACAAGCTCGTCAGGTAAGTCGTTGATTGTCGCATGCAAGTTTTGTTTTCTCGAGGGTGATACCGCTGCAGCTTCACGCATAAGGAGGAGCCTCTGCCTTTGCTCCTCAGAGGGGAGTAAAGGAAATTCACGTTCGTTGAAGATCGGCATGAGTGCTTGCAATGCAAAAAAAAAAATTGAGTTTGGAGCAAAACGATGCGTTGCTTTTACAATTGAAATGGAGGCGTACTGTAGCTGGTACAAGGTGGGGGACATCTGCTGTTATAATAGGGCGGGGTATTATGATATTCGAACCTAAAGGCCGACCCTCTAGGACCGAATAGGAAAGGACGACGATATCCCGTGCTAAGGGTAAGGACACCGATCTTGTATTCTTTGCTAGCAAAGACGATTCTTTCCTCGGTAATGGAGTCAGCTCCCCGTCTGTCTGTGTTAATAAGAACTACGCTGGGTTCGTTGAACAACTTTAAGTAGTAGTAATCGTTATGAAAGCAAGGTTGCTTAGTACACTATCCGGCGTACCAAGGTTTCAGTCTATCGGCCATCTTAGCATCCTTGACCACCTAGTCTAGGCGTTCGCGGACTCTGCTCTAGAGAGCAAGGTCAATAGCTTGAACCTCTTCGATGTATTTGCCTATGACTCTTGTTATCAGAAGGAGGTCTGTCTAGATTCCCAATCAACACACTATACGGCTGGACGGCGGTCCATCCACCTAAAACCATATTTTCCTATAGCTTCTAACATACATTACTTAAGAACGCGTTAAGGTTATTGCATCTGCAGGCCTGCTACCCTAGGGAGTTTGTAGCTTCCTATTCCCACCATTCCAAGTCCATACACCTCTGGTCTCGTGTATCCACTGCTAACGGAGTTCGCTAAAACACGTAAAGCTACTTACTAGAAGTCTGTAGAGCCGGGACTAGCTTAGTAGCCATTACTCTAGTCCCAACAACACCAACAGCCTTGTTGTTGAGTTTAGGTATAGTAGTATCATTAGGTGACCCACCTATGCAGTTGAAGTTCCAGCGTGCTTTATGGAAATATTCTCTTTTGAATCTTTTAATCCCAGGAATAAGTGGGATTCGTGGGACCACCTGTTTTCCGGCGGCAAAGATAATGAACTTAGGCCGTACTATCAGTAGGATATTATCTCAATCTCCCAGGTTTTAATAGCTGAGTTGAACTCTCCAATCAGCAGCAGATCAATCCTACTCTAGTTCAGTCACAGTGCTACGAAGCTAAGATCCGTCTATAAGCTTATATCTCGGCGCCATACATTCGGCTTACTCTTTTAACTTTGTAGAGTATAAGTACGTGTGATTTGGCATGTACTTCGTCTCTTTGAGTAATGGTATATATATACATAACTTTCAATATCGCATATTAGGCCGGGGGTAGCGATTCTAGTATTGAGTTCTACCGAATCCCCCCGCACGATCTATGATTCTGATGTCTTAAAACTTGAATCCTACTTTAATGAGTCTGGCAACAATAGTTCATGCCGCAATAAGCAAGGAATGGGAAGGTAAAGGCGGCAAGTACATATCTGAACAACTTGGTTCCAGCCTCCCCACAGGCGAGTGATGAGTTCAGTGATGAAGGGTATGCCCCGTGGGCCCATGATGAGAGAAAGATTGCAAAGCTGTGGGAATTATCTCTTACACTTGTTGGTATGGAGGGTGACGAGTAGGTTTTTAGAATTAATTTAGAAAAGTTATTTTTATGAAATATTCTAAAATACTAGACAGAGATTAACATTATCATTGTAGTGAACTTGAATTATACTTTTTTACTAATTACTCTACATTATTAGATCATTACGTATCCGTTTTTAATATACATTATTAGCTATTAAATCTATTAACTACTCTCTTCTTTATAATCTTTACGGAACACTAGCGTAAAGCTCATTGACCTTAGTGCAGACTTGGAAACAGAAGTATAGCCTTATACCGACGAACATGAAGCTGACTGTGGCTGTGTATTTGCCATATGGAAACATCCAGGCTGTACATCTATCAAAGTTGTACTTACCTCCAACTCAGCTTCGCCCATCAAGACATATTAATTTTGGCAGCGATGTTCTTGTCTGCGTCATCAAAACCCAAGTATCTCGTCATCCGCAAAGAGTCCCATCCAATAAGATCTACACTCCAGATAAGGGATTGGCTAATCAACATCAACCCCGCACCCCCACCGCTTGGCTATTTCACAAGAGAGCTGAGAACATTCCTTCACAACATTACCCCTCTTTCGCTATGAACAGTCTATCCGAGGAGCTTCTGGATCATATTATTTCCGAGGCCGTGAAACCTTTACCAGATCGGCATGGTTCTCGTTATGCAGACCTCGTCAGTGTATCCACGGTATCACGCAAATTCCATCGCATCACAGAGCCATATCTGTACTGCTCCATTGTCGTATCGGAAAAGAACAAAGACCAATTCCTACAGACAATAACATGTTGCTCTGAACTATCAAAATATACTCGGGAGCTTTATATCAAGCAATCCAGCAACATCAGGCATGAAGTATTGCGTCTTGCTCAGCATCTCCCAGGCCTGCACAAGTTGGATCTGGACCTCAAGTCTTGCAAGACTTCGGATCTTTTGCCTGTACTGCAGTTGCCATCAGTAACAGCGCTATGCCTTTCGGGTGTTGTAGCCAGACAAACCGATAACGCTAGTCCTATCGACTGGGGGATCGCTAATACAGCCATCGCAAGTCTTGAGATGTCCTTTTCGGATCCCGAGACCTGGTGGGAAGATTGTGACGAGATTTGGAAACTTGCTGCGGTTTTTCGCAACTTGAAAAGCTTGAGCATTCATAGCGACTACGAGGGAGAAAGGAAACATACACTCAATGGCCCAGTCTTCCGGTGCCTCGTGCACGCTTTTAAGCATGCATTTGAGACTAACCTCCGCTCTTTCAGCTTCAAATGCAACGATGTGAACCATGATTACATCTACCAGGGTGACGTGGCCGTCAGCGGCGCGTTCGATGCGAGAGAGATTCTCAAGCGATCGCAACTCAAGAGCCTGGAGATTGATACAATGTGTCTGCATAGGTCAAGTCAAGAGGAGAAGCTGAGGAGCCAGGAGCTCGGTCCATCGTGTCTGCCAGCTTCGCTGCGCACCTTGTATTTGCGCCACCTTGTCGCGACAGGCAATCTGAACCCTATAGAGCGAAACCTTATGCATTCGGATGAAGCACAGTGTTTGTCACAGCTGGTCAACCTGGGAGCGCGAAGAGCGCGTTTCCCAAATCTAGAGAAGATGACACTGGCTATCTCTCTACCTCCCTTCTTTGAAGAAGTTGCTTCGAGAGTCGTCAGAGTCCAAGCGCGAAAAGTAAAACTGCAACTAGAACTGATACTGATGTAAGTGCTAAGGAGATTTCTCGGCTCGTGATGGCTGAAAAAAGCAGGTCTGAGTGGGACTATGTCAGCGATGATACAGCCAGATCATGGCCAGAGTATCATGCTACTCGAGACCCACGGCATTCTTTTTACGATCCGACATTTATACGCTGCGCATAGCCATGTCTGGTTTTTACGATCCAGGTTTGCTGAAGGTGTTTCTCGATACATGCTCTCGCTATTCACATTTGTTATTTTCTCGCTCTCTTAAGCAAGGAAGTGCCACACTAGGAATTTTTGATTTGTACTGCCATGGGAGGTCATATCTTCGCATGGCTTCGATTGAGATGGAATAGGATTCCACCAAAAAGCTTCAAGTTGCATGTGGATGCAACAGAGCTTCTGATTGACGGCTCGGAACAACACTCTGGTTGTCTGGGGTGTTGAAAAGTCTTGGCAGAGGCTTGCAACGCACGGAAATCTTGGGCTACCGAGAATACCGAGATGCAGCTACACGTAGAAAGGGTTCCGACAATGTTTGGCCAAAGGTAAGCATGGATGCTGACAGCATGCGGATTAAGGGCGCGCTATGAATCTTTTGGGCCAACAGTCAGATTTAGGTGTCACGGTCCGATTGGCTGAACCTATACGCAGTTGCGCGTTCCGCAGCCTTCAGCCACGATGAGCGTATACGCAAACAGAACAGCATCGCCGCAGACCATCGCGTGTGGCCTTTCGTTAGCCCGACTACGAAGATGCCGGGGGCGGAGCGGCCAGTGTTAAGATACAGAGCATGCTCTATTTAAGGACGCTGCCACCGACCCAACCTCTTGTTTCGTTTCCCATTCCAAACAGTCGTCACAAGTCATTTGCATCTCAATCAACATTCAGAGCACTACTTTTTCGTAAATCTACAACATAGTCCCATAAAAAGCTTTCGAAATGGCCTCTCAAGCGCTTGTTCTAGCAACCAACTCCGCACTGCAACAAAGACCCGCACCCATTGTCCCTCACAACTCGCCAACCCAACAACAACAATCCTCAGCCAACAAATCAGGCGGCTTCTGCCTTAAGAAAGGCCTCGATAGCCTCACCGAAATGCTTGAGCGCAAGATCGACCACCAGATTCTTCTCGCTAAGACCCGAGCCCATGCCGCGTCATCGTCACAAGAGACACCTGCCGATCGCGATTCCAAACACGTGCACTGGGAAACCAGCAGCAAGCTTCAACAGACAGCAGCCTAGAGTCTTTGAAACACGTACTTGGAGTACTAAAGTCGTACCAAGAGGGGCTGACGTGTTACGATGAAGCAGTTTAGCTTCTCGGGTGTGGTCTTTTGCAGATCAGCCGGGCATTGATTTCATTTGCATTCACACGAGAACAGTGTATGAGCGTCCAGGCAAGAGTGTGGTATGACTGGGCTGGGATCGATTTACGCCTTACGACTAGTAGGTATCCTCTACATACTTCACCGAGATTGGCGTGGAGTGTCATCACATGCCTGTCAACAACAAGGCAACGAATCGGGATGGATATGGTCATGTGTCGGGAACAGTCCGACGACATGAGGACCAAAGAGCGAATGCGTAAAATACTTAAAGGCTATTAGAGAAGATGAAGAGGGGCATCCTAACATATTTGTTTGCATTAACGAGCTGTCGTTTTCATAGAAGGATACGTTACTCTTATAGAACAATCATTAAATAGAACATAGCAAGACCATCTTGCAGCTTTTGTCGCAGCCGCTTTATCCACTGCTACTACACGTGATCAATTGATCCAGGCAACAAGCTTTTCTCGTCAAAGCTAGTACAACCTTGCAAGACCCAATCGCTACATTTAGATCCAATACGCTCTCCCTCATTACAACAAACATCCTATGTATCAAAACCGTCCAACGAAATGGGGAAATCTGCGCAAACGTATAGCAAGCATTTTGTTCCACTCGAGTCGAGCCCGGAAATATTCACAGAGCTTGCGCACAATTTAGGGCTACCTGCGTCGTTGGAATTTCATGATGTGCTTTCCCTCGATGATCCAGAGTTGCTCGGGATGCTACCACGACCGGTGCACGGATTGATTTTAATACTTCCGACGACAGAGACGTACGAGAAGAGAGTCGAGGAAGAGGATACCAAGCTAGAGAGTTTGCAAGGCACCAGGCAAAACGGCGATGTAGTGTTTTTCAGACAGACGATTAACAATGCGTGCGGGTTGTATGCTATTTTGCATGTTGTATGCAATGGGCAGGTCAGAGAAAGAATAGGTGTGAATATGATCTGCTGGTGCAGAAAGCATGGCTGACATGGTATAGAATCCGATTCAATCATTGCGAGAGTGCTCAGTTCAAGCCGGACAAATGATGTAGAAGAGCTGGCTGGAGCTCTGGAGAATAGCAAGGAGTTGGAGAAGGCATATGCTGATGCTGCTATCAAAGGCGATACAGATCCGCCAGTCAATGCTGAAGACGAGGTGGATTATCACTATGTTGCTTTTGTGCAATCATCCAAGAGTGGACACCTTTACCAACTCGATGGAGACCGGAAACATCCCATTGATCGTGGGACACTTGAAACCGACGAAGATGTTCTTGTGAGCAAGTGTCTTGATGTCATACGCAATATGGTGGTACTTGAAAGCAACAATGTCAACTTTAGTGTAATGGCCCTGGTGGAAGGCGCAGAAGTGTAGGTAGCCAAGGAGTCACACTCTCGGTTGAAGAGTCTCCGAAGAGCGGTAAAGTGTGAACTATGAAGGACCTTTTTATTTGCTCTTGCAACCAAGAATGCACGTACTGGAGTACAGCCGCATGCACCATAGCCAAGCAAGACGCGAGGCTGTGGGATGCTCCCCGAAGGGACTTGTAAAGGTGTCGTAGACCAAGTGGCTGGTGTGCGAGTTGCGTCCTACAAAAGTGAATGGCTATGACAATGGACATGAATCATCGCGCCTCGTCGCAGAAGGGTTGTTGAAGCTGGCCCATGTGATGTTGGAGAGACAAGGAGGGTGAATGTGTGCGAAGAAAAGTCATCGAGAGGCCGGGCGCATGGACCACCACGCGCTAGGCTAGCTCTGTAGCTTCACCTCGAGCGACGTCCCCGACCGCGATTGTGGTAGAATCCATAACTTACTCCCCACCCGCCCTATCACGCCCAAATCGCAACCATGACTAAGAAGCGCAAGAGGTATCCAGATCTGAACCAGAAGCTAGAGGTCAGCATATTGAGAGTGAATTGCACACGAGACACGCATTGACAACCCGGCAGCGGCCATGGTGCTACTACTGCGAGCGCGACTTTGACGACCTGAAGATTCTCATCTCTCACCAAAAAGCCAAACACTTCAAATGCGACCGCTGCGGACGACGGCTGAACACTGCCGGAGGTATGCCGTCGCAACATTCCAAGCCTCGCTATCCCCTAACATCTGACCAGGTCTCTCTGTGCACATGAACCAGGTCCACAAGGAGAACCTCACGCACGTCGAGAATGCCAACCCAGGACGCCAGGGCCTCGAGCTCGAGATTTTCGGCATGGAGGGTGTACCGGCTGAGATAATAGAGCAACATAACCAACAAGTCACACAAGCACATTTCGCCGAGGAGCAGGAGCGTGCGCGGTTAACGGGTAACCCGATGCGCGGAGCGTACGTGAATGGTCAGGCTGCGCCGAACAAGAGGCCCAAGATCAACGAGAGTCTGGACGAGATTGAGGCGAGGGCAGCCAAGTTCAGAGAGGACCGTAAGAATGGTGTTCTTCCACCACCAGCAGAGCCCGTCCAGAATGCAGTATGTACTTGTCAAGAAGAAAAGAGTGGTAATGTGGTTAACAAATTTATCAGACTCCTCCAGTCGTTCAACCGCCCTATGGCGCTCCTCCAGGCGCTCCTGTGGCCTTTCCACCTGGCGCTCCCGCATATCCACCCCAAGGTATCGCGCAACCCTTCTCACCCGGCAATGCCGCCATACCGACACGACCAGGCAGTATACCAGGCCAACCTGGTGCACTTCCACCTCGACCAGGCTTCGGCGCTCCACCGCCCGGTGCATTTCCTCCCGGGCCAAACGGCGATATTTCCAACTCTGTCGACGATCTCATCAACGAGGTTACCAAAGAGGCTGCGCCCAAGGAGGAGAAGAAGAGCAAAAAGGACAAGAACCAGCGGCTTATTTTCTTTGCCGAGACGACGAGTCCCGAGGAGAAGATGGCGGCGCTGCCGAGGTTTGCGGAGTTTATGCGGACTTGATTGGGGGAGTGACGTTGTGGAATGGTGCGGTGTATCTTGACATCTTTTCTTGGCCCAATTGCAGGAGAATGTGTTTGGGGATGGATTTTTTGGAGAAAAAAAAAAGAAGGCGCCTTCAAACAGGTGTGAGAAAGGGGGGCCCAGACAAGATGAATGACAAGCTTACTAGTGGTATTGCGTCGTGTGAAGGGAAAAGGGTGTCCGTCTCTTTTCTTCTTCTCTTCTACCCAAGACTTGGAACGCGACGCGAGTAAGCAAACAGGGACGTGTTTTTTCTAGTCTATCCATGCTTGTTTGTATACAGACGGTACATGTATATGTCTCAGAGCAAGAGAAAGAGAGAGAAATAGCCTCGGGCGCTGATTACGAAATGAAGACTATAATCCGGTCCACTTGAGATATATTTGTCCAACCCGAATAGTCAGAAGAGAGCGAGAGATGTATTCTAAAGAACCAGAAATCAGGGTATCTTGCATTAGTGACGTGTAAATCTGGGCCGTATAACTACAAGCTATACAATATATGTGTAAATGGCGACAAAAAATAATAAGACAAAACATCGGAGCAAGGATAGGCCTTGTTTTTCTTCTTCTCTGCCGCCGGAAATCCCACCATCTATGTCCCTTTGGCCAAAATAAAGAAGAAGGGGGGCGGGGCGAAGGATGACGAGAAAAAAAAGATCATTGATCGTAAAAGCCCAACTCCTCGCCTTCCTCCTGCTCATCCTCATCGTACTCTTCGCTGTGACCATCCTCACTGCTACTACTGTCCGCCTCACTGGCACGCGCCCACTCAGATGTCTCTGTAAAGAGAGATTCGCCGAGATCAAGCGCGCGGGCTTGCGTTGTCGACGGGCCGAGTAAACCCTCTCCATCACTGTGATCTTGTTCCGGCATAGGTTCGACCTGCTTAAGCAGCGTCTTCTCGTCATCCTCGTCAGGTGTCGCGCGCGCAAAGCCGACAGATTTGGCAGTGTTGGGTCTCTCATGCTCCCCGGCATGCGACGACGCAGGGGTAAACCGCGGCTGCTCTTCGATGATATCGCCGTTCCAGGGTCTGCATGCGGTGATGTTTTCGCCGCAGCGGAGACAGGTCCAGCCTTCACCTTCTTCGTTTGCGATGCGCTGAGCGAGACAGGCGAAGCAGTAGATGCAGCCGCAGGAGGTAGATTCGTAGGGGTTTGTAATGTCTGTTGCTGCGCTACCGACGACGCCACCGCCACCGGCCGACGACGCCATGATGTCGGATTCGGTCGCGGTGGTGGGGTTCTGGTCGCGGTAACAGATTGCACAGGTGCGTTCGGGGAGGAAGCCGAGTTCGCCGGAGGTTTTGGCTTCGTCGTCTTCGGTGGAGGAGGCGGTGGATTTTCCCATGAGGGAAAAGAGGGTTGCACGGAGCTTTTTGAAGGTCCGGCTTAGGATGCGGCGCCAGCGGGATATGCCGACTAAAGGGAGGAGGAAGAGTAGGAACTCGGTAAAAGCATGCCAGACAAGTTGGCGATTGAGGTACTCGAAGCTGACTTCGCGCGAGGTCGAGTGCGACGAGGGGGTAAGGCGCAATCGCAGAAGGCGGTCGGTGATTGTTCTATAGCGGCCATCGACAAGGAAGACGAGAAAGCTAGCGAGACCGAGCACATCGTGTGCATTCCCAGCCAACTCACTCAATCTGCCCAGCAATTTGAGGCGCGCGGATTCAGGCCGTGTGTAGTCTTCAGACGTGGACAAGAGATACTCCTCCCACTTTGTCCACGCATATCTCCCGCCGACCGTAATGGCGCCATAGGCAATCTTCTGCCAGGGCTTTGGGGGCGGGCGATTGGGGGCACTGCTGCGGGCGTCGGTGTAGCGCAGCCCCTGTAAATGGGCGCCGTAACTGGCATTCTGGTCCCAGATGCTCAGCTTCCACAGCACGGCGCGGAGCAGCAGCAGAATCTCGGCCGAGTAGTTGTCGGTGACATGGGAGCCAAAGTACTTGAGGCCCTCGCCGACCTGGTCTTTGAGCAGCGTCAGCAGCTCCTCGTCGAGGAGTTCGGCATCAACCTGGCCGACGCGGAACTCTGGGCGCGTTCCCGAGCGGCCCTTGATCGCGTCCCAAACGCTGAATCCGGCCGAGGAGACTGCGCCTAGGGGGAAAGGAAGGCGTGCGAGGGCGCGGGCAGGGCGTGATGGCTCATGGTGGTTGCGCTGCTGGAGCGCGCGCTGGGCGCGGCGGGCTGCTATGCGTTGCTGGGCGGCGGCGAAGTCTGCGGAGTGCATCGGGAAGCATTGGGAGGCTGCCGGGCGTAGGCAGGGCAGATGGGGGTGTGGCGAGGGGGATGTGGGCGGGAGGAGACGGCGGCGGTGATGGCGGAGGTGAAGGTGGTGATATCAGAGCCGCGGTCGCGCACTCGCACTCGGCGGAACGTGATTGAGGAGGGCCATGGGCCGAGGTTGGCTGGGCATGCACAAGCCGATGGGCGCCATGGGCTCCGGGTTGCAGACACGCCACAGCAACAATGGGCATGCGAACATGCAGCATGGCCTGTATGCGATTCGAGCAGAGAGCAGGCTGGCCCTCGCCTTTGTTTATGTATCCGTCCCCAGGCCCGAGTCCTCTACTACGAGCATATCAAAAAAGTTTAATTGCTAGTCAGCTCTCGCCGGCGGTCGCAGAGGCCCGAGCTGGCGACGCGGGGACAGCAAACATGGGATTTGTTTCGAGTGCAACAAACGACAAGCAGTCACAGTTTCCCTGCAGCCTCGCATTCACTGCCTCGCGGGTGAGCAGGCTCCCATGTTGCCTTCACTGCTCACCGTATATACCCAGTAGCGTCATCTCAGCTTGAATCTTTCTTCTTCTTCACAGTTGCACTGTGCTGCGTCTCGACCTACCCCACCACAGCAACCCACCCACCCAGTGCATACATATATACACAACCACAACAAACAACATCACCCTATGAGCGCCGGCTTCCAGGTCGAGGTCCCCGGCGAGGCCAATCCCTTGACCGAGGGCATCCTTTTCCATGTCCTACGTTCCGCCTCGTCCGCAGACCAGACGCAGGTCCAGAGCGGCGCAAAGCAGCTGCAGCACTGGGAAAAGACACAGGGCTTCTACCCTCTGCTTCAGGTACACCAAGTGTGGAACATGTACCTGATATCCATAATGACACGCTCCAGTCCGTTTTCCTCGACCACTCTCTCCCGCTCGAAGTGCGATACCTAGCCATTATCCAGTTGAAGAATGGCATCGACAAGTACTGGCGCAAGACTGCAACCAAGTACGCCCACCGCTCTATCCATACGACTACACAACACCCCTTCTAACACCATGGCAGTGCGGTGACAAAGGAAGACAAGGCCGCTATCCGGGCACGTCTGCTCGAGAGTGCGGTGAACGAGGCGGATCCCCGGCTGGCCCTTCAGAACGCCTTAGTCGTAGCAAAGATTGTCCGCTTCGAGTTCCCCAATGACTGGTCAGTCTGGCTGCGCTCCTTCCTACTTGCAATATCTAACACTTCTCCAGGCCAGATCTGTTCCAGCAGCTCCTCCACATACTCCGCGCCTCGACCGAACCCAACGCATACTCACTACAACTCCCCCGTGCGCTCCTCGTGCTCCTATATATCATCAAAGAGCTCTCCACAGGCCGCCTGCTGCGCACTCGCCAGAGCCTGCATACAGTTGCTCCGGAAATATTCAATGTTCTAGGGACCATATATGTGAGTAAGGTGCAAACATGGCAGACCTTCTTTCGCGACGGCGGCGACGATGAAGGCGGTGCAATAGAGAGCATTGACCACAGTCTGCTCGCCATAAAGACCATTAGGCGACTAGTCATTGCTGGTTACGAATTTCCGGGCAGAGACAAGGACATTCAGGACTTTTGGACACTGACCCGTACTCACCTTGGCGAGTTTTTGCAGTACGTGACACCAGAGAACTCGCCGCTTGCAACAGAGGTGCAGAAGAAGATTGGAAAACATCTCATGCAGCTGTCCAAGCTTCATCTCAACATGGCTTCTACTCACCCCTCAGACTTTGTTCTCCTGCCGAACTCTCTAGATCTTGCACGCGACTATTGGAGTTTGGTCGCAAAAGTAGGCGAGCAATGGGGCTCTACATCCTTAGAAGGCGCCAAAGTTAGTACCGATGGCGACGCTGAGGATGAGGCCCCCATACTCGAACGTCTTGCTCTCAAAGGTTTGTTGTTGATACGTGCGTGTATAAAGATGGTCTTCTATCCCACCCAGACCTTTCGCTACAAGCAACAACAAGAAAAGGACGAAAAGAATCAAGCTACGCACTTGGTCCGCACAGACTTGTTCACAGACGATTTGGTGCGGGAAATGATGTCAGCACTCGTCCAGCGTTTTTTCGTCTTTCGTCCCAGCGATCTCCGCATGTGGGAAGAAGAGCCCGATGAGTGGGAGAAGATGGAAGAAGGCGCAGAGGACTGGGAGTTCGCCATCCGCCCCTGCGCCGAAAAGCTGTTCTTAGATCTCGCAAAGAATTTCAAAGATTTGATCATCCAGCCTCTGCTCCAAGTCTTTTATTCTGTTGCAAGTGAGTACTTGCTTGAGATGCGGTGAGTGTCGGCTAACCTCTTGCAGCCCCCCAGAATGAGGATATCCTGTTCAAGGACTCAGTCTATACGGCCATTGGCCTTGCAGCTGACATACTCCACGACAAGCTTGACTTTGACTCTTTTCTGGAGAACACCCTGGTTGTGGAAGCTGCTAAACAGACACCGGGATTCAACATTATTCGTCGCCGTATCGCTATCATCATTTCTCAATGGATTACCATCAAGATGGCACAAGAGAAGAAGCCCATAGTATACCAAATCTTTCAACATTTACTCGACAAGAACGATCCACTGAACGACCAGGTCGTCCGCATCACGGCCGGAAGGAAGTTTCACGCCGTTGCGGACGAATGGGAATTCAAGGCTGACGCCTTTTTGCCCTTTTCTGAGGTCATGCTAGACAGACTCATGGCTTTGGTGCAAGAAGTCGAACTTCCGGAGACAAAGATGGCGCTGCTGAATACCATTAGCCTGATTGTTGAGAGGATGGAGCACCACGTAAGTTAGATATCCATGATGTACATCCTGAGACTGACATGATGCAGATTACACCATATGCCAACAGTATCATCTCTCTCCTGCCGCCGCTATGGGAGCAGTCTGGCGAAGAGCATCTCATGAAGCAGGCGATTCTCACTATACTTGCTCGTCTGACAAATGCTATGAAGGCCGACTCGCGCTCGTTCCATGTTTCGTTCTTGCCCATTATTCAAAGCGCCATCGAGCCAGGGTCAGATACCCAAGTCTACCTCCTCGAGGATGCACTCGATCTTTGGGCGTCCATTCTCGCGCAGACACCATCCGCCCCTGAGCCCACGCCACCTGAGCTTCTCAACCTACTCCAGTATCTCCTTCCACTATTCAGCATGGACAATGACACTCTGCGCAAAGCTATCGAGCTCACAGAAGCCTACCTTCTACTTGCACCTGCTGCAGTACTAGCCGACTCTTTCCGACCGGCGGTCCTTCAAGCGCTCGCCGAGCTACTGGGTACCCTAAAGCCTGAAGCGAACGGTATCATGACACATCTCGTGACATGCATCATTCGTGGCGCTGAAGGTGTCGGCGGCGAAGAGGCAATCAAAGTGTTGACGAGCGATCTGATATCTAGTGGCTTTCTAGCAAAGGTCCTGGAAGGCCTCCACGGCGCATGGACACACCATCAGTCTCACGGTCCTTATCGTGAACTACCATCTCGTGCTGTCGATGGTGTGGTGGAAACAGACTACTTTTCTGTCTTAGCCCGTATCGGTGTCGCTTCTCCTTCGGTACTTCTCGAAGCTCTTGCTTCTCTATCCAATGAAGGCTTAGAAAAGACACTAGATTGGTTGGTAGAGGAGTGGTTCAGCCATATTGAAAACATTGGCGATGCACCGAACAAGAAGCTCATGTGCTTGGTCCTGACTAGGTTCTTGGAGGGCGGGCAGCCATGGATGCTGGCAAAGTTGCAGTCCTTGATCGGTGTCTGGACGGATGTGCTCGGCGAGTTGCTGGATGGTATGGATGATCGGACACAAGAGTATGTTGAAGTCTTTTCGCTGGCTTCTTTGCTTATACTAACCTCGGTATAGTTCTCTCTACTGGCCTCCGGAACCTTATCACCCCACCGAGCCCGAAGCTCCAGAAGATGTGCGCAAGCGTGAGCTCATTTATACCGACCCGGTGCACCAGATCAATCTCGTTGCTTTTGTTAGGGAGCATCTGCAGCAGGCGATTCAGCAGGCAGGTGGAGAACAGATGTTTCAAGAGGAGTGGTTGAGCCGGGTGGATAAGGAGGTGCTGAAGGGCTTTGGTGAGTTGGGGATTATGTAGGTAGATGGAGATGGGGGTGTGGGTACAGAATCACGATGGATTAGACACTATCAAGCGATTAAATGAGTTAAAATGATGCTATTCCGACCGCTATTTACAGGGTTCCGGTTTCAAGCTACTCTTCTTTTCTGTCTGATGATCTCGTTTGGTAGAAGTAGAGGAAGGAGAAAAAAACGCAGCTATAGCATTGCAAAGTCATGACATCTTGATACCTTCGTATACACATCAATCCCCATGTGTCCATCTACCCTACTCAACACCCCCCACCTCATCTCGCCAAAGAAAAATCCACATGGCACGAACAACCGCCAACCCGCTCCCCTGCGTCTCAATTGTGCGACCCCTCCCCCGATCATTCAAATCCCCACCCACCCGTCTCTCGGTAAACTCTACCCTCTCCCTCGTCCCATACACATCCCTCTCATCCCCTTCTCCCACATCCCCATTCCGATAATCCGTCGCATTAACCCCAAACTCAACCTCCCACCTCTCCCGCTCACTCCCCTCCTTTGCACCCCACCACCCCCCAAACCTACCCTCGCGATCCCTCGTCGCCAACGCAGCCTGCGCATTGTGCACCACCCACCGCGTATACCCCTTACAACTATTCCGATGCAACGCCGCCACTGCCTTACTCGCCCCATACGTCTTACCGCTTCTCACCGGCTTCCGGGGCAAAGGGTCGCAAAAGGCGGCTAGGTGGTGAAAAAATATGCCTTTGAAAGTCTGACCGTCTTGGTTGCAGTGGCCGGTGGGGTCGCAGAGTTCGGTTAGGATACCGTTTGCGCCGAGGCCGGACCATTTCTCTTCTGCTTTAGCTTTGGAAGAAGAAGAAGAAGAAGAAGAAGAAGATGATGATGATGATGGTGGTGGTGGTGTTGGGGAGGAGAAAGAGGGCGAGGCGGCGTCCCAGCCTGTAGCTCGTATGACGTTTCGCACAAGCTCGTGGCCATCTTGCAGATACCGAGTTTCCCCTGTTGCTTCCCAGAGTCCGCGCAATCCCGAGAGGACAACGCCTTGGTTGTAGGTGTAGACCATTTCGTTGCGGTCGTCGCAGACGGTTTTGCTGTGGTTGGTGCGGTAGCCGGTGATGTGGAAACCGTCGGTGTAGAGGCCCTGGGTGTTTTGCATGCCGCTTTGCTGGAGCCAGGTGTATCCGTTGATGGCGTTGGCGAGGTAGATGGGGGAGTAGCGGGGGCGGGTGTGGGGGTTGTCGAGGCAGCCGTCGTCGTCATCGTCGTTGTCTTGCTCCCTCACACTATTGCTATGGTTGTTAGAAGAAGAGGGTGATTGGGAGAAAAAGGGTGAACAATTTTCGTCTCCGGGAAAGTGTAGGTACATGCTTATGCTGGCGGAGATGAAGAGTTGATTTGTGATTGCGTTTTTGTAAGGTAAGAGGGAGGGATTCCATGTCATGCCTCCACCGCAGAGGCGCCAGTCCCAGCCTTTTTCGGCGAGTTCATAGAAGATGCGCGCGCGGTGGGCGAAGGCTGGGATAAATTGGTGGGCGTGCCATGATTTTTCTGGTCGGCTGGTCGAGGCGGAGTGGTGGGATGAAGAATGTGTTTCGATGAATGTGCTTGCTTCAAGCCAGCCTAGGACTACCCACAACATGTCGTCGTAGGCTTGCATGCGGATTGCGAAGTGATCTTCCCCAAAGTAGTAGGCTGTGATTTGGGAAAAGTACTTGTTTATTTCGTTTTCGCGCACAAGAGCTTCCATCTCATGTTTGCGGGTCTGGGAGAAAGTGCTGGGCAGAGTGGAGGAGAGCGTGGAGAGCGTGGCGGAGACGTAGGTTGAGGTTACGGCTCCGGTCCAGTCGATCGCAGTGGTGTACTTGCCGAGCCAGATGGCGAAGTAGTGGTCTTGCATTGTTGAGAGGGCGGAGTGCAGATCTTGGAGGATGTTGGTTTTTGTGAGGGAATGGCTGGTTGGTGTATTTCTCTGCGGTGTTGATGGCGAGTCCTCAGGCGATACTTGCAGAGGTGACTGAGATCCATCTTGAATCTTGAACTTGTAATCTACTTGAGCATTTCCTAGAAGAAGCTTATGAGCATGCAGTCGCCAGACTCTATTTCTCAGCCTCACCTTGTGCATCTTGTGGGCCTGAAGTACCAGCTACCAGCCCCGTCACGAACGCGATCACAAGCAATAACAATAACATCCTCAATCGCCAGACTGGTCCGACAATACAGAACACCATTTTCAACGCCCAGAAATTCCCCAAGCTCTTTCTCAACTCAAGTTGCCAACCCAATCCAAAACACCCAGCGACGCGTAACCCCCTTGCAAAGTACGTAATCTGTGTTCACGCGCCTAGGTAGCAAATTCTACAATAAAAACATCCAGCGATTACAACGGCGCCGGTGAAGAACTCCAACCGGCAGAGTGAACAAAGTCATGGCAAAAAGAGGAGAAGGTTGGGGGCTGCGATTTGTCTAAGGCTGATACGAATCTAGCCAAGTCCACCTTTTGCCGCGCTTGCAAGTTCCGGCGCTTTTTGCTTCTTGTTCCTGGGGTATTTACCCTTGTAGAACGACAATCCATCGATGGTAAACCTGCTCAAAAAATGGGATACATTGTTGAGTTGCAGAAAAGACGCTACAACACAGCACGCTCAGCAACCTACATACTCTCCCACTTCTGCAGTATGTAATACATGGGGGACAGACACCTCCAGCGCCGTGCCCAGACCTCGCCCGCCACCCCGCCCCGCCTCCCTCGCGTGGTGGTTCCGGCGCACAGACCCTCAATCCTTCTCAACTCGTTCAAAAAAACAGAGCATCTCTTCCACGACAACAACCACCACCATGACAACGACAACGCAAAAAGGCAAAAAAGAACATGTTGATAAGAGTGGGATTCGAACCCACGCAGATTTCTCTACTAGCACCTGAAGCTAGCGCCTTAGACCGCTCGGCCATCTTACCGAAGAATGATAGATAACGATTTTGAAAATTGGATGGAATCTGTATTGAATTTTGTGCGTGTAGAAAGGCAGTTTGAGCCATTAGGAAGCAGATGGGATCTACTTTGACATGGTTTTGTCCTGTTGCTTTGCTCTCTAAACGATTTTTCTCTGTATAAGTGGGGTACATGGCACTTGGAGATAAATTCTTTACCAGTCAGCCGCATGTCTAAGTGGAGCAAGCAATCAAGCACCAAAGGATCATGAAAAAGGCTTGTTTGATAGGCTGCTTGTCTGTATTGGGGGTTTGATTAGGAAGTCGGATCAGGGACGGGCAGTGTGTGGAACTGGTGGGTACTAATGAAGTTCTGTTCTGGGTGATAGCCAGTCGGGTAAGGCAATCCCAGTCCCTTGCGAAGCAGCACCTACTTAGAACCTTGGTGCGTTGCTTTTATTTCCATGGACCAAGTGCGTGGAGGGACCTTTACGTGGTACTGAATAATAGTGAGTATCCGTTGAACTTCATGTTCGTCTACCCAATGGAGATGAAGGCAGATGCCCAGCAAAGCAAGGAACTCTGTTATTGACCATAGGCCACTTTAGGCACCAGAGGGAGCTATTCGTATGCGTTGGTCCAGGCAATGAAGACTTTTTCATTCGTGTCTGCCTATCTAGTGTCTTGGATCAATCCAAAAAAAGACACTTAACGTGAAACTAACGTTACGATATGTGCTTCTAGTCAAACCGTCGCCCTTCAAGCTCACAGGCAATGACAAACAAAGGCCCAGAGAGCTGATGTGTGAAGATTTTGATGAAAAAGCAAGATTTTAATTGCGCTATCAGCGCTGAATGTAAATTGAGGTCCTATGCAGTCCAACAATCTGAGAGATGGATGGGCTTGGCGGGCAGTTGTGAGCGAGGCAAGTTTTACAGACTACACGTACATTGTAACGACTTTTTCAGATGCGTCTCGAAGACAGCATGCTCACTCTACTAGTTCACTTTTCTGGGATACGTATCCGGTTCAGAACATCACAATGCTAGTCACATGAGCGTTTTTCGTCAAATCACGAGCATAGTGGCCTAGCGTTATGTCAGCCAATCGTTCGATAGATAAATAGATGACATGTACTCACAACAGTCATATCAATACCCGGCTTGGCTCATGGAGGGCCAGGCCGGTGAGCTCGTATTGTAATTCCTGATACAAGGCTGCCGGCGACCTGCACTGTCGAGCGGCTTCCAAGATGATGCATCTAAGCCTCCATATCGCTGTATAACGGAACCCCAAGGTGTGGTATCAATACGCAAAGCTGGCTCGACAAAAGACTACTCATCGTCCATGTCGTCGCGACCCGGACTCCTGCTCCTCGCCCTAGCTGCACCACGCCCGCTCTGTCTCCTGTCATGGTCGCGCGCACGACCCTTGCTGGCTGGTGGTGGTCGTACAAAAGCGTAGTCGACGGTGACCTTTTGCTCGAGAAGCTCCTCGCCGTTGGCGCCCTTTATGGCCGCCTTTGCTTCGTCCAATGTGGCGTATTCGATCAGTGCGTAGCCCTGTTCAGCATTAGCCATGTCACGGTGGTCCTTGGACAGGCTCAGGCGCGTACCTTGACATAACCCGTGCGCCGGTCGAGGTTCATGTGCAAGTTCTTAACAGTGCCAAATTCACCAAACATGTCCTGGAGATCCTCCTCGGTCGCCTCCTCGTGGACATTGGTGACAATGATGATCCAGCCCTCGATGGAGCGCACAGCTGTTGCGCCCGCCGCCGTCTGCGCGTCGCTGGCCTTGGGGTCAGCAGCTGGCACCTCTTGCTGCTCGGGCTGGTCAATTTCCATTTTGGCGTCTTCTTCCATGGCTGCCGTGTGTTGTTGGCTGAGGATTGCTTGATTGGTGGAGAGTGGGTGACTGTGGATGCTGTAGCTTTCCCATCGCCAAAAGCTGCCCTGGCCGAACGGCTCGCGCTAGTCAACCAGCACCGGCGGTTTCCCTTACCCGCCGCAAACCTAACGCCCAGCAATGCCAACTACCCTCCAATACCCGGAACTCGGAAGGCACCAAAATTCCCAACGCCTGCGTGCTTCCTGCATCCACAATGATTACAGTATCCACTTCTCCGGGCCCTGCCGGAGCGCCTATAATAAGAGGGCTGCCCGTCCTCCACTTGACTATCACTCGACCTATCAACCCCACCGACGTCACTGTTGTCGTTACGTGACAAAAGAATTGACACGCCCTAATCTCACCATGCTGCAATTTCTCGATAAATACGTGCACTATCAAGACCCGAGTCTTCCAAGCTTTTCTTCCCTGACCACTCTGTACTGTATCATCCTCGCATCTTCGCTGCTAATTTCTCTGCGTTCGTCACAACTTGAAGAAGAGAGAGCACGCTAGCCACCATGTCCCAATTCACGCATGTTTGTATATCGACTACCACTGAGCTTGCCCTAGCTGATTTCAAAAGATTGCCATGATCGGTTGCGGCAGTATGGGCGGTGGCATGGCCCTGCTCTTCGCTGAGATTGGGGTCCATGTCTCTCTCTCGGACCCTTCAGAGGAGGCCATGGATGCTGTCATGCAAAAAGCAGAAAAGCAAGGTTATCACGGAAAAGTAGACAAATACACAGGTCCGCCGACTCGCCCAACAAATTCACGGCGTGAGACTAACGAATGCAGACTACGACTCGCTCTGCAAGTCACTGTCATCACCACGCCTGCTCGTCTTCTCTCTTCCACATGGCAGTGTTGGTGACAAGGTCCTCGAAGGCCTGGAGCCCCACCTCTCTCATGGTGACATCATACTGGACTGCGGCAACGAGCACTTTGAAAACACAGAACGCAGGCAGGACAAATGCAAAGGCACTGGCATCCGCTACATTGGCTGTGGCGTCAGTGGTGGATACCAAGCAGCCAGGGCCGGGCCCTCAATGTGTCCCGGTGGTGACATTTCCGCACTCAACGAAGTCCTCCCTCTTCTGCAAAAAGTTGCAGCCAAAGACAAGAATGGACAGCCATGTGTTGGTGTCATTGGCAAGGGTGGTGCCGGACACTATGTCAAGATGATGCACAATGGCATTGAGCATGGCATGATGAGTGCCATCTCTGAGGCCTGGGGCATCATGGGAAAAATGGGTATGGGCGATGAGGAGATTGGAGATGTGCTTGCACAATGGAATTCGGAAGGCGAGCTAGTGGGTTTTAGTTTTACGACTTCTTCGCGTCGCACGCTGACAACACATATAGAGAGGTACCTTCCTCGTTTCCATTGGCGCAGACTTATCGCACAAACGAGATGCAGGGCGTCTCGTCATCTCTCAAGTCCTTGACAAGGTTGTCCAAGACGTGACTGGCGAAGAAGGCACCGGCGTATGGAGCAATACCGAGTCCATCGACCTGCACGTCTCAGCTCCTACCCTCAATGTCTCTCACGCATTCCGCCTAGCATCTGCATTCCGTGGAGACCGTGAAAAGGCAAACAAAACCTTTGATAGTGGATTTCCGCCCAATGAACTTACCGTCTCCGACAAGCAAGCCTTCATCGAAGACTTGCGGCAAGCGACCTATGCAGCTTGCCTCGCCAGTTATATTCAAGGAATTAACGTCATTGCCACCGCAGACCGGGCACATGAGTGGGAGATCGACTACTCTCAAGTCTGGCAGATTTGGCGTGCTGGTTGCATCATTCAAGCTGATTACATTTCCGATGAGATTCTGGCCCCTGTGTTGAAGTCAAAGCCATCTTCTGAGAACTTGAACCTCAACTTCTCTTCTCGCGTTGCCAAAGATGTCATGAAATGCTTCCCGGCACTTCGGAGAGTCGTGGCCAAGTCGGTCGAGACGGATCAGGTGGTCCCTGCTATTAGTGCAACGTTAGAGTACTTCAAGGTTATCAGCGGAACTGATCTGCCCACTTCGTTCTACGAGGCTGAGCTTGACTACTTTGGTAGCCATATGTTTGACAAGAAGGATGATACGGATCCAAACGTCAAGAAGCCTGTGGAAGGCAAGCACCACTTTGAGTGGAAGCCTACAACGAGCCAGAAGGAGCAGTATGGGAAGAACTATTCGTTATGAGGCAATATGACCACAACCTTTACTTGGAAATAAACGTTACCCAGTATTTCTTATAGCTGTAGACTCCAAATCAAGAATGCAGATATGGCCATCTGCAAGTATAAACACTGTCTCGATCTTGACATTTATGGCATCGTGGACTGATTCCCTCAAAATACAAACCTGAATTACTATCAGGTTTACAAATTATTTCTTTTCTATAGTTGTTCACAGTGCTACCATTCCCCCACGTCCTATCCATCACACACACTAAGGCACGGGAAGGAATCTTGTGCTCGATACCAACTTATTATTGACCTTATCCCCAACATCCACCGTAACATCAAACGACGTGAACCCCACATTGCCGGTGATTGCCCCCACTGTAAACACCGTCGCCACAATATCAACCTTCCTCTCCTTGTTAAACTTCTGAATACCATCCGGCGCCGTCGTCACCGGCTTCACCGGTACCTGCTTGGGGTTCGAGGCAGGTGGTAAATCGTTGGGTACTGTCCTACGGTGTTGGTGCTGCCTGGGGGGCTGTTGTAGCCCCATGTTACGGCGACATCAGTCCACATCGAGTAAGGATCGACTTTCGCATCGAAGGTTATGGTGTAAGGTTTGTTGGGGGCGATGGTGGCGGGCAGAGTGATGCCGGAGATAAAGGCCGAGGTTGTTGAGAGGGTGCTCAAGGCGAGGGTGAGAGGGGTGAGACGCATTTTGAGAGTGCGTGTGAGAGACAGAGAGAAAGATTAGATGTTGGTGCTTTTTTGAGGTTGAGGTCAAAAAGAGGGAGATGGTTGGGTGTGTCAGGCCAAGTGTATTCTGTCACCGTGTTGATGTACTTTTGCTCAATGTTCAGATCCATCCTTTTAGATTTTTTATCGGCTGACATCTCATCCTCTCCCGTAGTCATGCCCGCGCACAATATGTCTTAACAATATAAGATTCTCAGCGATATGCTGGAGCGACAGAGAGGTCACCCGCCCACCCGCTTCCCATTAGCTGGAGTATAGCAACCAAAATCTATTGTGGGAAGCTTGTTGAATATTGGTGTATGATCTGGTACAAGGTGACCGCCAGTGTAATCATAGATGGCGGCAGGTGTGTCAGCGCTTGAGTCGCTGACGGATAAGCACAGTGACATGAACGAAACCAGCCGTTTGTCTCCCGCATTCCCTCACGGCGCATTCCCCCATGCGTTGAATTTCAGTTACTTCTAGAAGCTAAAGCTTAATTCGCTCGACGTAGTTGCGGCAATATCATGAGATACAGATAACTACTAGTTTAACTTGACCCGAATGACTGGAACAGCTGATTGGGGCTCTCAAAAGCGGAACAGGGATCAGGTGCGGAAACTGGCCTTTGTCTTGGTCTTAGAATTAGCGTTCTCTTATTGATTACTTGATTAGGTAGCAAACTACCAAGAGCGTAGAGCGCTTGTATAAGGCTTGGGAAGCTTAGGTTATGCCTTGAGTGAACTGAGTGGTGTGGATAACATGCATTGGGACTGTATATTGAGGGAGATGCTGCGGAGAATTTGGAAGCAGCATTGAGTGAGGGAATATCAGATAACCGTAGTGCATTCACAGCTGATAACAACAGCATTGGGGCGGCAGACGTTTGGATCAACATAATTGGTATATGCCATATAAACAGTGGCTTACGTTATTCTCTTGTTGTAACTTTCTATGCGATATAGCGGTGAATTTGTGTTTCATGGATGATTGGTAGAGGCGTTTTGGATTGTTTGTTTTCGTCTTGGATCTGTGAAACAGAAGCGGTGTAAGGCTAGAAATGGTTTGCACCAGCGGCGTCAACCTGAACAGATGAGAGAAACTTTTGCTATTGGAACCACGTGGTTGGCTTGAGGCAACCGCCTGGTGACCCATGGTTCTGCAAACGACCACAGCCTAAGATTTCTCACCCCCAGCTTCTCAGCCAGGATATTAAGCATCACCCAACGGGTATCCTTTTGTTTCTTTTCTTCATTCTCATCTTCCAAAGTTTCAAAACAACAAAGACAATTTCAACACCACCCCACTTACAATGTCTAACACCTTCACCTTCGAGACCATCCCCGCTGCGCAGGTCACTGAGACAATGCTTGACCAAGCGGCGGCCCTTTTCTCCTCCGCTTACGGTATTTGGAGCCCGGAGGCTGAGAAAAACATGGGCAAATACTGTAAACCAGGTCAGTCAATGCATGTGCACATCTTCAATTATACTAACATAAAAAATAGGGAAGCGCGTCAAGATGTCTGTCGAGCGTCTGAGGGAGCAGTCTCTCGCTCCAGGCACCAATAGTGTGCTTGTTCGTAGTATAGATGGAGACAAGCTTGCAGGATATGCATTCGCTACGCGTTGGATGTATGAGGGCCGCCAGATTTGCTGGGTCACCCAACTTTGCGTCAGTCACGAGTACCGCGGTAGGAAGCTTGCGACACAGGTATGTAAGCACTGCACAATATTCTTTCTGACATTATTAACTTCTTGTAGATCTTGATTCGTTTGCGTGAGGGCCAGAACGACCGCGGCTTCGGCATCTTGTCATCACATCCGGCAGCTATCCTAGGAGCCCTACGTGCCTGGGGTAGGGGCATCGAGGATGTCAATATGGAAATAGCAAAAGAGCATGCTGCTGGAATTATGGCTGCATCGCCCGTCAAATATGTGAGGGATGCTAAGCTCAAGGGCAGTTTGTTCGGTAGTGGCGACGATGGCACGGTGTGCTGTGCGGATACGAGCTTCTGGGTTGACCATGCTGAGCCTTTTGCTGCACTTGCAGAGATCAAGAAGAGGGCCACATGGCCTTTTGGTGATCTCCCTGAGGGCTGTGAATTTTTGGTTCTGGTTAAGGGTGCCGAAGTCAACACTGAAGGCGAACGGGTTCGTCGCAAGGAGAACACTTCCGACTTTTAAAGAATGTGTTTTTTCCTTGCGATGTATTTTACAAGGGTTAATGGGCAGGAATGGTTCACGGGAAAGGCTTTTTATAATCAATGAGGGGGTGGTGGAGTTCTGTGGCATTGAATTTACATCGATTCTATATTTCATCCCTATCAGCCTTTAGGCACAGCACCTTGACCTCAAAAACACCATTTCATCTCATTACATTACTTGCGAAGCTCAGATTGAGTCTTCTGTTTCTCGAACTCTATAATGTCGTTAGCAAAATGCAATACTAGGTATAATTGCCAATTACTCACCCTCGAGCCAATCCACAACAAAGTTCTTCAAAAATTGCTGCGCATACACAATCTGTGGTGGCGGCAACTCAGGCGTAGTCTGATTTTCAAAGATGCCGTTCTCTTCCCAATGATGCACACCATGGCTAATAAGCAACCAAGGCTCATCAGTCGAGGTCTTGCGACTGTCCGGGTACCATAATGGGGTTGCAGGCCTCCAGGGATCGGCGTTTCCACCGATAATAGCGAGGCGCTCGTACGCAATGTCGAACCCGCCGTATTTGTTGACGCGCTCGACATCTGGAGGGGTCTCGATGCCGAACTGTGCGCGGCAGAAGAAGGTCAAGTATTCGAGGTCGAGGGTGCGCGAGATCAAGGGCATAATGTCCTTGGGCGTGTTGCCGGTTTGGATGTAGCCCCATTCGGTGCAGACTTGGTAGTTCCAGCTAACATAAGGGTAGTCTTCGAGCGAACTGGCCGACTGGAGGGCGGTAGCGTTGAGTGCGGTAAAGAAGCTGTCTTGGGACACGCCTGATTCGCGCCAGTTTGCAACAGCGGTGCGGTTGAGCCAGGCAATGGCGTTGAGGGTTATGTCCTGGACTGCTGTGTCGTTGACGTAGCCAGCTGCTGAGACGAGCTTAGCAACCTCTGGACGAAGATTTTCGGCAACAGGCTTCTCGTTAGTAATGTTCTGACAGTAGTTGAAGAACGAAGGAGAGTTCTCCTCGGGATCCCAGTTAGTGCTTTGGAGACCGTAGACACCGGTGAGCTGGTTTGCGAAGTCGCGGTTGTCCGTGACACCGCCCAGACCAAAGACATTCTTGAGCGATTGAACCAAGGAAGTATCGTTTTGTCGCAACAAGATGCCATCAACCACATCAATCAGAAGCTGGGTGTTCTTGATACAGTCTGGAGGTCCGTAAAGCCTGGCGGGCTCAAAGTACTCCCAGTAGTCATAGATGGCTTTGGTAACACCTGATGACGAGATTGCTCCCCAAAAGGTCTCTGGGTAGACTACGCGTAGGAACGCAGCTTGCGCTCCGGCATAAGATCCACCGTATACAACCCAGGGGGTGTTTGGAGCTGTCAGATCCGCATCGATTCCATCAAACTTGACGTTCCTTGCAAAGTAGTCAATCTCAGCAAGAGCCTGCTCCGTTGTCAAAAAGCGCATATTCTTGGTGCTAAGATCTGGAACAGGGAAACTCGTTCCATAGTAGCGGTGTTCCAGGATAACGCCTAAGCCATTAGTGGCCTTGATGACCTGATGTACAATTCCCTTTTGGAGGAAAGGTAGGCGACCGACTCCACTGGTTTCACCGCTGAGAAGGACAAATACAGGGCCGCCTGGCTTGTAGTAGGTATCATCGAACCAGTATCTCAGGTTGAAAGATCCATTGCTGTGCGGCTCATAACGAGGCTCGTTGTGGAAGAAGTCGACCGGTACAGACAAGTTACGTTCCGGGTACAGCAGGGATGGGTCGGTGTCCTCGCGTTTAGCAAGATTCCGACGAGTCCGTGCTTGAACCTAATTATCCTGTCAGTTTCACTGTACCAATATACGTAGTATCGTGCCATTGGGCGTTGACTCCATTCCGCTCGAATTTCGCCGAGTAAGCACCAGATGACGATAGTATGAGAAACAGCTCGTTCTCGCAGTCACAGGAAGGAGAACAGTGATAACTCGCTCTGGTCTGAACTGTATACTGCATGAACAATGGAAAAGTCGTCTTACCTCCTGCTCCCTGTCTGCAATGTTTCTTGGTGAAAGCCTGAGCGCAGAAACAGCCTGTAGGCCGGAAAGGACCGCTGCGACTGCAATTGAGAGACGCATGGTGGGAATGCGTTGGTCGCCAACTTGGAGCGAAGAATGGGCCCAACTGCGCTTTTTATATAGTTGAGCACGAAAGAAGACCGAGCTTCGACAGCCATGATAGCTATCTGCCCAGGCCCATACCCATCAGAGGCTGGCAAATTGGCCATGATTCGGGAAGGTGGTTAAAGTAGTGTGCCGTCGCTAGCGCAAGGTCGATGCTCGAACAAGCAGGAGAAACGGTGATCGGCAGCTGTGGAGCCGTGGGCCGTGGCGCACGGCAAGCTTTATGGGCTGGCTGCTTAAAGGTACCTCAAAAGCGTTAATAAAGGATCTTGTTGGTGTCAACACCGGGCACAGTGCGCAAGTGGCGTGTAACCGTCAGTTGCACATGACGTGGTGGCGATACCACGAGGTTGATGTTGTAGCTAGCCGACGGCCCACCTTCACCTTGTCTATCCCGGACCAGCTCGCCTAATTTGCTGAAGCCCGATAACACTCCTAATATCATCCTAGTATTAAGTGCTTTCCAGACATTGGTTGGGCAGTTCATATCAAGAGGAAGTCCCTCAACCCATCATCCTGCAAGCTTCCGTCTTGGTACATCAGTCCGTCCACGAAAGCCTCGCCTACGAGCTTGTAGTAGTACGTGGCGGAGGGGATCTTTGCCGAACGCCTGTTGACGCAGGGTCGCAGTATGAAGGGTGTTTTTCCGCCTAAGAGAACAGCTATGGTATCTCCTTCCTCTAGACTGGGTGGACCTAAGCCAAACCTTCCATCTTTAGTCATAAAGAAGTAAATGTTGGTACAGGCATTGCGGACCGTGAGTCGATAGTCTCTGCCTTCATCGTCGTGCGAATGTTCCTGCTGGGGCTTGATTCTTGTCCTCCAGTCCACAGGTTCAACCCGCCAGCAATCTGCAGTAATAGTACGATTGAAAGATCCCCTCCGAGTAGATGTTTCTGTACTCCCTAGTTCCTCACTAGCGACACGCTCCCATTTGCGCAAAATCAGCCCCCAATCGATATCGTGCAAACCATTTCTTACGGGTATGATTCCAGTTTTTTTTAATGGTGTCGATATGGCAACCTGCAACTGCCAGAACACGCAACCCTCGATCGATTTGGAACATTGGCTGAATGGGTCCGGATGCTGAGAACGGCCGGGATGGTTCAAGATTCAACAACCTCTTGGTCTTGAAAGTATACGGCTCATCGTAGGTGAGTCGCCAATCCCGAAACCAGCTTGCACCATTAAGCTCCACACCAGAGGCAAAACCGAGAATGTCTAGGTTTTTCTTATGGATCATACAGGACTCGGTGAATTGTATGAATACTTCATCCGGCGACTTGCTGTAATCAGGCTTGATTAGAGAAGGGTTATTTGACTTGAGTAAACCAAGCAATGCATATATATTATCCGATCCAAATGTGGCTAATTGCAGTCGGAAGCGGATGACTAGGTTACCTAGTGTGGCGTTGGAGTCCTCCGCATTTACCTCTTTTCTGAGTTATTGGATATCTTTAACAAACGAAGGCGGCCTATAGTCACAGAACTCATTGTTTGCAAAGGGACGGTAGGTGAATAGCTTGTGGATAGCTTCCCACTCTGCCTGGAAGGAACCACATTGCATAACCACGTGACGGCCAACGACTACCTCTTCAACGACCCAGGCACGACTCCACCAGTTATGCTCGAAAATACGGACATATTCTGCTTGCATCCTTTTCCAAGTCGGTCCTGTGATGTGATTCTCCCATAGTATATCCATTTCCTCTGTCCTGGCAGCCCCAAATTGCCGTATAAACTCGAACGTGGGACTGGTAGCAGAATCTGATTTGCCCAACCATACCACCACATTGGAAGCCTTGGAAAATATGTCCTGCATCATTTGGACTTGGTTGCTCTTTTCTTTGTAGTTGTGTTGGTTGATGCACATAGCGTCAGCCCATAGAAGTCTTTCATGATCAGTGTTACGCAGCTTTTTAAGCGCACTGTACAGGTTGTATCCAATGTAAAAGGGCTTTCCGTTGACTTTGATCGTGTATGGACGTAAGGCTACACCCCAAGAATAACTGATTGCCTCGAATTCCATGAGCGAAAGAGGTCCTTCGATCAAGTCGCACATGATCTCTTCTTTGCACCCCCCTGGTCTCAGCCACACAACCCGGATATGGGGTGGCCTTTCAGGAAGATTCGAGTAGACCGGGGCATTCCTGACGAGCATCATTTTCTTTAGTCTTGGATATATAATCTCAAACACTAGATATCGGTAAAACATGAACCATACTAAGAAAGTAATAGGAAGAGATGAATGGAAAAGCATGGAGAAAAAGGTAAATGCTAGAGAAAGCGCCATATCCACGAATAAAAACGGCAGAATGAGAAGTACAGATATGATTGCCAGCAAGAACCCAAAAAAAAGGCGACGGCAAAGTATGCGTACTTCTTTGCGCGATTTCCTGAAGGTGTGTGTCGATAAACAGGTCCACTGAGCGTTTTCAAGACCACTGATGTGATTAAGAATCTCCACTTTCGCAAAGTGAGAGCTTGTGCGGACCGCCCAGCTGTACTCGCGCTGTTTTTGGTAGACTGGAGTTTATTCCACCGACGAATCACGAAACCTGGATCTACTCGTGGGCCTACGGGGTATAGAGACCAACATAGGTCCCTTAAACGTGGGGTATAGAACGCCATGGCAATTTGGGTGATAGTTGCCTAGAAGTGTGATGCAGATAGTGCGTTACTGCGCCTTTGGATGATCCCATCAGTTTCCTTTTTGAACATCTATTACTTAGATGTCACGGCATAATCAACTGTGTCGCCCAGTATGTTTGGAAGGCCAAAAGAGCTCTGAAGGGGGTGAGCAAAGGAAACTGCGAGGCAAACTGCGAGGTAAGAGTAGAACACTGGCTGCGCTATAAGTGCTCAGCCCCAAGCTTGGCCACTACAGACGCCTCTTTCCCCCGCTTCAGCCTCAGGATAACGGTCACGATACTATGCAGTTGTTTGTACGAGACTAATTGTATGGTATGAGAATTGTGCGAGATAAATCCTCATCGGCCCAAGGGTTTCTGCAAGGTCGGAATTCTCCAGATACATCGTTAGAATTGGTTGACGAGATAATGTGCGCACTGAAGGCAGGTAGCTAGGTTGAATGATGAGCTGAGTAGTCCTTTCAGCTCTCTATCGCATGTTAGGTTCTTGTCACGTGGTAGCTAGCGCCTTAACAGTGATCTCAGCTACGTACGCGACCAGAGGCCGAAAAACAAAATCTCAACAACATGGACAAAATTCAATCCGGAACAACAACAACAAGATCATGAGTATTTATATATCTCAACCACATGAATTCATACAATATCATCACGAGCTATAAACGCTGCATCAGACGAACCCACCATCAACCTTCACCCCTACTTCATCACCTGCTCAATCCTCTCCACCGTCACACTCTTCTCCCGCACCTCGACCCCCTTCTCCTTGACATCCGCCAACGCCGCCTCGCCCACATCCACCGCCTCCTCGCCATCAAAAAACTTTGCAATCTCCTCCATGGGCGTATACCTCGTCTCCACAATACAAAAGTAAATGACGCCAATCTCAAAGGCGAGAAAAACGCAATAGCAAATGTAGTAGCGCCACTGAATGGCGTCGAGCGCGATGCCGTTGACAAACTGGTTGAAGAAGAGGGCGGCCGTGACGCAGAAGTTGAGCCAGGTGAAACCTTTGGCACGGAGGCCGTAGGGCAGGATTTCAGTGGTGTAACCGGCCATTATACCGGATTTGATGTCGTAGAAGATGCCGTAGAAGAACTGATATAGTGCATTAGTATTAAATCATCTAATCTTTTCTTTTCGTTCTTTGTTTTCTGTTTTTTTGATGGAAGATGGAGATTTTTGGAGGGTAAAAAAACTTACGATGCTGACGATGAAGCCTTTGCCGAGAGGAGCACGGGGAGCTACATCGTAACGCGCGGAAATAATAGTGAAGATGTTGAACATGACAAAAGTTCCGATTGTGGAGATGAGGTAGATGGGGCGACGGCCGAGTTTGTCGACGAGGAAGGCGAAAAGGAAGTTTTCGCAGAGGGCGAGGGTTTTCATGCCGCCGTTGATGCCGAGTTGCGTGTGGGGATCTGTCAGGCCGACGTTGTCCATGACGTACTTGAGGTAGTAGGAAATCAGGCCGTTGCCGCTCCACTGACTGAAGAAACCAATGGCGGTGATGATGGTGATTCGCTTGCGGTTGCCCTTGGTCTTGAGGAAGTCGGACCAGCTGGTGGCGTTCTGCTGTTTGTCGAAGTCGATGGCCGCGCGGACCTCGGCATATTCGAGTTGGACGAATTCATCGTTCTCGTCTCCTTCACCGTGCCATTTGGAGAAGATGGCGAGGGCCTCTTCGTGGCGGTCTTTGTTGCACAGCCAACGAGGGGATTCGGGCATGAAGGGGACGAAGGCGATGATGACCAGGGAGCAAATTGCCTGGAGAAGTGAGGGTAGGCGCCATGACCAGTCACTCTATCTTTCATTAGTGTTGACGTCTTCGAAAAATGTACAACTAGAGGAGTTGGGAGATCGCAAGACATGTGCTTCTCTCCTAGCATACCTGAATTTGAAGCGTGCCATAAGTGACCCAAGAGGCAATGAAAGCGCCAGAATGGTAGCTCGCACCCGACAACGTGACCAAAACGGCACGATCCTGGGGATGGGCAATCTCCGCGATAAGAAGCGGTGCAGAACCCAGCACAATGGTATCTCCAAACCCAAGGATCAATCTAGCAGCAATGAACATGCCAATGTCCTGTGCTCCCGTCTGCAGTCCAACAGCGCACAGCATGATTGCGCATCCAATCATGACACCAATCTTCCTGCCCTTCCAATCAATGAGGTAGGGCGTGAAGAAGAGCCCAATGAGCGAACCAAGCGACATTGAAGCGTTGAAAAAACCCAACATGGCACCCCGGGGTTCACCAAAGTAGTCCTGCCAGTAGGAGAGGGATTGGAGACCCTGTGACTTGTCAGCATGGATCGGCGTGCAAAAGCAGTCTCACCAACATTCATCATACTCCCATCGAACCCATTAGCCGTGTTGGTCAAGATAAGAATGACAATGTAGATGTAAAGTCTACGCAGATTAGGTCGCTTCCACCACGGCAGGCGCTCAAAAGCACGCCCAGCAAAGAAGAAGTGGCCCTTTGGCGGCTTAACAGGCACGACCTTCTGGGTGGTCTTTGGTGGGCGAAGAGAGAAGCCCATGATGGATTGGGGGTTTTTTTATGACGAGGTTTTGCTGAAGAATGCAGTGTGCCAGCTAGCCCGCCCCGATGAAGAACAGCAGAAGGGAAATCTCGTTGGCCAACTGCGTCTATATACTTTTTTTTTCCAACGGCCCTATGCGCACATGCAAAGCCAGGAGGCATACTGCCGCGAGTTGCTCGCGTGGTCCCCACGCACACGGTATCTACCGGGGCAAACTCGTTGGAGGAGCCAAGATGGGTGAATGGGCTACATTTTGCCTGGCCTTGTCCCGCAGGTCAAGCACTGCCGTCCCGTATTCTGGTGTAGAGCGAGCCCATACCAAGGCACTGCGGTCTTGATCGCTCTGGGCGCAGCGTTGTCGGGCTGGGATAGCGGGAGCCCTGGGGCAGACGACTACTGAGCCCGAACCTGAATGCGGGGTGAAGCTAATCAAGGGCGCCAGGCGACCCCATGGGGCACAACAGGCTAAAGATCGTCACAGACGTTATCTTTTGCTTCGTGTGGTTGAGATGGCGACGTGCAGTTTGCCCTATCCTGCGCTGGCTGCTATTGGCTATGGACAGGCGTGGGCCGAAGCGATACTAGTACTGGAAAGGTTTAGTGCTGTCTTGTGTGATTCGACGTCCATCATCGGTATATTGACAGCCGAGCAAGCTTTCAGTACAGCCTCGAGTTGGACACCAGCCAACGCCACCAAGAGGCGCGCCTAGACACTACAGTCTTGGGGTACCGCGCTGGGGCATAGGCGCGTCTGATCTGATGCTTCCAGCTGGGAGGATTGTTTCGGCTGTCTTCTGCATACCGGCTTATCGGTGCAATACATACTATGGCAGATCATGTTCGTTAGATTTGTGCCACCCGCCTGGCACACACGGCACGCTTGCATTGAAGCGGGATGCATCTAGTGAACCGTCCAGGTCTTTTTGGTCAGAAGTAAGCAGTCGACACAGTAATACAATAGGGTGGAGTGACTTCGTCCGGACGCGGTCCCTGGCTCCGTCGTTGGGCTAGCACGTCACATGACGTCTAAAGTTTGACGGTCGTTGTCAAGACGGCAGAGAACAAGACGGATTTGGTGCTCCTTCATGCGCCTCTTTTCTGCATTTACCCGGCCAAATACCCGGTGCACTAGGAAAGCAACATCAGACTACACTCGATGATTCGCACAAAGGACAAAGAGGAGTCCATGATGCCACCCCCTCTAGAAAAGTCTAAATCACTCGACCAGCTCACAAGATTCCTTTGATCAGCCACACAGCACCACAATGAGCCCCGACTCGCCCATCAACCCAATCATACCGGGCTTTGCCCCGGATCCATCCCTCATCCTAGTCGACGACACGTATTTTCTGGTAAACTCGACCTTCCACCTCTTCCCCGGCCTCCCAATCTACACCTCGCGTGACCTCGTCCACTGGCACCAAATCGGCAATGCCATCAACAGGCCCTCGCAACTCAGCTTCTCCAAAGCCTCAACCCTGATCCACGACATTGGCAACAATGACCATTTGTACGCCACAGGCGGCTTGTACGCACCCACGCTCCGCCACCACAACGGCACCTTCTACATTGTCTGCACCAACGTCGTAAACCACAGCCCAGACTCCGCCCAAGAAAGCGAGACCAAAAACTTCATCATCTCCACCACTGACATCTATGCCTCCGCCTGGAGCGACCCCGTCTACTTTGACTTCCACGGCATAGACCCCAGTCTCTTCTTCGACCCCCACACAGGAAAAGCATACCTCTGCGGCTCCAAGTCCCCAGGGCCCTCTACAAAAATCACTCTCTTCGAAATCGACGTAACCACAGGCGAGAAACTGACAGAGGAAAAATACCTCTGGCATGGCACCGGAGGCATATACCCGGAAGGCCCGCATATCTACTTCCACAATGGCTTTTACTACCTCATGATAGCCGAGGGTGGCACGCATGAAGGCCACGCCGTGACCATGGCGCGCAGCAACAATCTGCTCGACGGACCCTGGGATCCCAGTCCACTGAACCCCATACTGACCGCTGCAAACACGGACGAGTACGTCCAGTGTACGGGCCACTGCGAGGCGTTTGCCGCCAAAGACGGACAGTGGTGGGGCGTCTGCCTCGGCATCCGCATGCGCGAAAAGCAATTCTACGGCCTGGGCCGCGAGACGTTTCTTACGCGGGGCTCGTGGAGCGCTGATGGGTGGCTTAAGTTTGAGCGCGCGACAATGCAACTGAGTATTCCTAGTGTGAGTGTTGGTGCGGAGAAGAAGAAGCTAAGTGCAGTGCCTGGAGTGGATTATGTGTATATTCATGATCCTGTGCTACGAGATTACGACTTCGATCCTACAGGTAGAAATGTGGTGGTAAGGGCCTCGCCGCATGATTTGACTGCGCCGCATGCGTCGCCTTCGTTTCTGGGTAAGCGCCAACGCTGGATCGAGGGTAAAAGTAGAGCCACGCTTGTTGTGAGTTCTTCTGTCCATGAAGACGCGCGCGTTACCGCAGGTTTAGCGGTGTTTAAAGATGAACATCGCTTCTTTTCCGTTTCTTATAGCCCAACTCAATCGCCTCCGAAACTTGTCCTCCACATCTTGAACACAGCCAAGAAGATAGATCAGAACCACACTTTCGATTTGCCGATTCGGCCAGAGTCTTTGGAATTCATCGTCGAATATACTGAGATGCAGTATGAGATTTCATACAGACTTGATGCTGTGGGAGAGAGCAACAAAGTAGCGAGTGTAGATGCGAAGGACCTTAGTGGCAAAGACTTTGTAGGGCCGATTTTCGGGGTTTTTGCCATTGGACATCAAAAGACAGAGGTGAAGTTCGAGTGGTTTGAGGTAGATTCCGCATGATGCTGGGACGCGAATGAATCACGTGTATGGCTTTGGGGCGTTGGGAGAATTTAAAATACGATGATTGACTTGGGAAGTAGACATGTCGTGACTCGTAATCTTTCGGTATTGCGTATTATCTTCTACTTCATCTTAACGATTGGCGTCTGCCGTGACCGTTACTTGCACGGTTCTTCTTTTTCTTGGGCGTGGCTCATTCCTTGGGTCTGGATCGCTCCAAAGCCCCAAGAAAACTGGCAGCCCAGTGTGTTGGGTATAAAGCTTTCGAAGCTGTCATTCCCCAACCCTGCCAAAAGTCACAATTTCTCATAGGCGGACGATGCGGGTATAATGCTGAGAAAAGCAATTACAGAGGTCGGTATCTTAGGATGTGATGACAATAGTCCTTCTTTCATCTGCGCGGGGAATTTGAGGCAAATCCTTGTTCAATCCCGCGTGATGGTAAAGTCTTTGGACACCTGAATGGCATCAAACGGCATAGGATCTGCTGTGAGCTTCCTCTCTGAACTCGCATCATCGCCGGTGACGGTGGCATTTACGGTGTCCTTGTCATGCTTCAAGTCATTAGCTTCTTATCTTGCATGCGGAGGTATGAAAATGCGGTTCAACTTACCAGCTCCATCCACTGTGTATAGTGGCCCGGACGCTGTTGTTGTGACCCACCCAACCCTCCAGTGGGTGATCTCTTGGGTCCACTTTTGAGACCGCTACTATCCATCGAGGAGCTCTTGTAATGTGAGCGCCACCGCAGATAGAAGGGCCGTAGCATGGGAATATTGATACACAGACTAGCCAGCATCAACTCGACAGTGCACAACATGAATGTAGTGCCTGAAGTTCCCGTGAGGTTGCCAATGAGATCTGGAAATTGTCAGTATGCTATATTGCTAGTGAAAAACATAATTTCAGCTTACCGATTGTGTAAATGAGCACAAAGCGAGCAATGCCAATGAACACGCAAGCCAGGCCGAGCCCGAAACAAGCCAATACAGCGAACTTCTCCGTCTTTCGCATCTGTAACTGCCAAATAGCCCTGATTGGTAGAACTACGATCATGAGATCCGTTATCATGTTTGTTAGAATCAGAAACTTGAGCAAAAGCATCTGGTCCAAGCAGTGTCCGACTCGTTCTACAGTCCATTGCTGGGAAATGGGGTCGCATAGGAACAAGAAGACGAAGTTGAAGATGATGGCCCAGGCTACTACGATGCCGCCAACGATGTATACCGCAATGCGAAGTTGGAGCACAAACACACGGTGGTATAGAGCAAGTTGAGAAAGCTTGAGAGCGGCCAAGCACCAAATGTATATCAAAGTGTAGGCGAAGGTCAACTGCATGATGTGTGGAAGATTGTTCATAACTGTATTCCAGGATTAGACCATGTATTAACATGTTTATGTCGCATTTAACTCACGCTTGGGAAACATTTCTGCGTTGTTTGGGTCAAAATCATAGCCCACGCCACTGGTAAAGACTAGATAGTATATCAGTCATACTGTCGATGCCAGTTGAGTAAGACATTCTTACCTTCAGCATTGAGACCGATCGTGCTTGTGGTTAGAACCTTGAATCAAGTCAGCCAAGACTCTAATGGCCATTACAGACTTGCGACATACCATCGCGATACCCGCAAAGATGTCATCCAGTGACAATCCGGGTCCTTTGATGCGCCCATAGATGCGGAAAACAACTGTCGATGCAGCGAGCAACCACAAACACGACATTGCTATCATCGAGTCGCGGCCGCTCCTTGCCATCGGTATATCGATCACCGCTGTCATCTTGTCCGGTGGCCGTGACGCACAGATCTGATAGAGTCGGGTCGCAAGTAAGCAGCAATATTAAACAAGACGCCGAATAGAGCGAGTGGAGCCCGTGATAGTGGACTGAACGGACAAAAGAGCGGCGAACAAAAGGAACAACATAATGGGGGCACTGGGATAGTGTTAAAAACCTGATCCATGCTGTCGTCTCCTGTTGTCTCTTGAAGGATTCCGAACATGGCAACACGGACCGGCATCGCGTATGAAGCAACGGGCCGATAGCGTTCCCTTACTTTTCAAGGTAAATAGTGGGTATGTTGCGTAAAATCGTTGCCACCATTGTCGACAGGAGAACGTGAACGGGATGATTGCCGTTCCCCGTTGCTTTCGGGTCATCCGCAGCCGCACAAGCGCAGTCGCGTGCAGCGAATGCATTGGCGATCTCAGTTCAAGCGAGGTAGAACCACATATCTTGATTCGTTGCACGATGTCAGAGTACGAGGCCAAGTCAGGCCAAGTCAGGCCAAGTCAGGCCAAGTCAGGCCAAGCCCATGTGAGTGACTCGAAGTAAGTAGACAAGACGAGGCTGTTCACAACGCTGAAACCTTCTAGGCCAGGCACAAATCCACAATGCCAAGATTGCATACCGCACGCCTTAACCGCATCCCGCGTAACCCACAGCGCTTGCAACTCGCCTAGGGGTCGGCAGTCAATTTCCGCCTTGTCTTGGACGCAGGGGAGCCCAAAGGAGGAGTCAAAACCTCAAACAAAGATACCTACTTTGCATCTCATCTTCTCTCTTACCAGGTCCACGGTCTGCGAGATTTGTCGGGATGTAGTCGGGGAGGTGATTTCTCGGCTGCATCCAAGAACATGTGGAACGAGGGGCGACCCGATGGAGCTGTCAAGTAAATCCCAAGGTCATTGACTCGAGCCTCGTATTTGGGTAGCTTTGCCGCGGCGGAAGTGGGTGCAGCTCCACCCGCATAGTGCAACGCTCTTCCCATGTGGCACGGCAAGGACTTGAAGCACCAATGGCGGGAAGGCCAATTGTGGAACGAGAGTGGAGCATACTAAAATGCAAAATATTCGAAGAATGCGCGCTACTCCTCTTATCGCCATGGGTTGATTGGTAAAAAAAGAGCCACTGACCCCGAGGAGGAGGGATCGGCTGCAATGTGGCATGTGTAAGCGTTAAACAGGAACATTCATAATATAGGAGTCGACCTCGCCAGAACGTCGTCCTACATCTGCTCCCGTTACTGCGCAGGCTGGGTGTCGTCAAGTCACCGAAAACATCACCATGGACCAGCAATCCGGCGCGGTCCAAGGCCAGACGTCAATCTTTTCTTTTGCGAGCGTCATTTGGCTGGTTGTGGCTTGGATCGGCTATCGAATCGCAATCGCGCTTTACAACATCTCACCTCTTCACCCCCTATCCCGATTTCCAGGCCCAAAGATTGCTGCTGCATCCTACCTCTACGAAGCCTACTACGACTGGTGGCTTGTCGGGCGCTATGGTAAAGTCATCTCGCGTATGCACGAGAAGTATGGCCCAATTGTGCGCATCAACCCCGACGAACTGCACTGCTCCGACCCCGCCTTCACAGACGAGATTTACGCTGGACCGGGACATGTTCGAGACAAATGGCAGCACCAACTAAACACTGGCGGCGCTGGCCCTGTCTCGGTGACTGGATTCTCCACAGTTAACCACGATCTGCATCGTGCGCGAAGGGCGCCGCTGAACAAGTTCTTCTCGCGTCAGCAGATGCTGAAGTTAGAAGGCGAAGTGCACGAATTCGCATCCATGGTCGCAAAAAAGATGCTCAGGTCAGCTGGCAAGGGTGCATTCGATGTCAAGGAAGCGTTCAACTGCTACACAGCCGATGTCATCTCTCAGTATGCTTTTGGTGAGCCCATGGGGTTTGTGGCGCAAGAAGGTTGGGAGCCCAACTTCGCCACCTGGGTCAAGTCGTTCTTCAAGAGTGCCTACATGATGCGTCACAATGCCTTGGGCCGCAAGATGGCCAATGTACTTCCCTTCATGGCTGACTATCTTGGCGAAGATATCAAGGCAGTAATGAAGGTCATGAATGTGACGATTCCACAGTACATCGCGCAGGCGCTGAAAAATCCTGACAATGGACGTGTTTTCGCTGAAGTCATGGGTAAAGATAAGTCCATGTCGGAAGAAGAGAAATACCGGTACAACGGCGAGGGCTTTAATTTCCTGCTTGCAGGTACTGAAACAACTGCTGTAAGTTAAATTAGACTCGAGGAGCTGATCGCAAACGCAGCAGTACTAACCTCGTTTTAGGCCATTCTCACCGTCTTTACCTACTGGGCCCTCGCCAAGCCAGAGATTAACCAAAGGCTGACATCTGACCTTGCACAAGCCGGCATTAGCCAACAAAATCTCAAATGGGTTGAGCTTGAAAAGGTTCCTTATTTCTGGGCCGTGCTGCAAGAGTGTCTACGCATGATGCCTGGTGTATCGCATCGGTCGGCCAGAATTGCGCGTGAAGAGGACCTGCACTACATTTCGGCAGACGGAAAGACGGACTTTGTGATTCCTCGGGGCACACCCATTGGCATGACCTCCATGATCAACCACTGGAACACTGAGCTTTTCCCCGATCCAGACGAATTCCTTCCTGAACGCTGGCTACTGGAGGATGGTACGCAGAACTATTCGCTGCAGAAGAAGCTTATTGCGTTCGGAAAAGGCAGTCGCGCCTGCATCGGCGAGCAGCTGGCATACTGTGAGCTTTACATCATGTGCGCATACATGGTGCTAGATGTTCATCCCAGGGCCAAACTGGTTGATACAGTCAAGGATGACATTTCGTATGACCACGACTTGATCGTGGCACAGACGACCAAGGGTTCGATTTCTGTTCGCATAGCTGTGGAATAGGTAGATACTTGGGTTATGCCGACGTGGAGAAGCCTGCTACCACTGTACTGGATGTAATGATGGATTGAATAAGCAACATCTGATTCTTGTGCGGACAGCGAGTCGAAGCCGGGATTGTAGAAGAGTGCACGGTGTGCTGAAACGAGAGAGCAGTCTGTGTAGTGGGGTGAGTGAAGGAGGCAGCAGTGACTAATTTGGTGGTTGGCGCTTTTCCTGCAGGCTTCTTGGCAAGGGATACACGGCACTGTTGGATGCGAAGATAGGGAGTGATCTTGACCCCACAAAGCATAACGTGCAACGTTCTGCAAGTTATTCGCGGTGATCGACTAGCGAGCATTATGAACAAGGTGCTGGTTTGTGTAACATCGTGCCACCAATGCAGGCCAATCTGCCAAGGTGTTTGTCATTTTTGATGCAGCCACTGGCAGAGATCCAGGCGTGTTAAAGTAGTGTGTGATTCGTGTACAGTGGTTCCCTTCGGTAGGCAGTGGCCGTATGTGTAGAGTAGAGTCATGTCGCACATGATGCGCCCACGTGACCCATCAGTTGGTAAATCCGGTCACGTGAGCTACACAAAATCAAAGATAGTTCATGAACATAGCAGACTGCTCGCCAAGCTTTGTGCTTTGTACAGGTAAGTGTAGCAAGCTTTTCCTTGGCTTGCTATGTAGGTTTCGTTGTAACAAAACTCGAGATGCAGAGTTGGATGGCGCCGTTGACCTTGGTGAGCAATTGGCGTTTCTGCTGTGATTGTACAGTAATCACCTGCTACAGGGCGCGCGGAGAAGCCGTCGATACCGTCTGGATCTTGTCGTGGTCCAGATGCAGATCCTCATGGCAATGGGAAACATGTTCCGAGACGCGGCATGCGCGTTTAGCGTGTCCGGCATCCAGCTTTGATCGGCAAAGAGTGCAGAGGGATGATTGTGCGATGCTGGCTGGGGTATGTCCATCCGTCTTTTGACATTGGCCGTCCCCATGACGCGGGTTGAGGCATTTAAGTACACACATGCGCATACTGTACATGGCAAGGAGCCATCGTCGACGTCGACAAAAAGGCGTCGGCTGCACAGCCCCCCTCTTGGCATCTCGATTCCAGACGGTTCTTGCCGCTAATCTGGCCATGGGCCGGCCCTTCATATGTCTGGCCACGGTCTCTCTCTGAACCTGCGAAATCTCATCTTCTAGCGTCAGAGGACCTGGCCCGGCCCCAATGGTTCAAGATGTCTTCTCGCTTCACAGCATCGTCGCCGGCGATGAGCTGAGATTTCCCTTTTCTCTCAAGGACTACCAGCGCTATATCTTTGGCGACGACCGATTGGCCCATCGCCTCGGCACGGACCTTGCCAAGGCCTATATTTCTACCCTCCCCAGTCCCATAGACGACTTTGCTGTTGCCGTCTTATCCGAGCAAGTTCCAACGGCCACGCACAGCTTGCGCGACCATTTTGCTGCTTACCTCAATCGCCATCTGGTAGCGAATAATGCCGCTCCTGCTCTCAAACTCGGCTTTCACCATGCCCGCCCCTCGGCAGAACTAGCTCGGGCCGGTCCGCCCGCCAGCACCATCTACCATATCGACACCAAACGGCTCCAGAAACGCACCCTGATTGTCCTTGCCGACATTCGAACGAGCCAAGATCGAGAAGACGAAATAAGGCACTCGTTTGCCGTCCAAGGCATCACCACCGTGTTTGCCTATCTCGCAGCCCTCAGTGATGCTGCCTCCACAGTCGCCCTCTCCAACCTCCTCTCATCTGTCATCAGCCCGTCGATGAAAGAAATCGAGGCCATTACCCAAGGACCGCACTTTGTCATGAATCAATGCTTTGTCAAATTCATATTAGAGAGGGATAATGTCGACTTTTGCCAGTTCATCAGGCGACAAGATGACCATTTCGTAAGGCTATTGCTGGACCACGCTATTTATAGCAATTACTACAACGACAAAGAGTACACGGATAATATTCGATTTCTGCTCTGGGAGGTCCAGGCACGCGAAAGCATATAAATAAACTAAGCCCTGTAGTCATATATTCGTTGTAATAATCAAATTAAACTCCCTGATAAATTGTGGGCCCAGCTGTTATCGCCGAGGTCGAAACTAGGATTAGGAAAAATCATAGCCTAACCCCATGTATCACACTGTGTTGTCCTCTCAGAATTATCAAAACAGCTGCAAATATTTCATCGTTAACACCTCATTTCCATCATTCTTCTATCCTCGTTGTGTTTGACTGAAGTGGTACCGATTGCAACTCAGGCTATTTGAAGTGACGTAGATAAATAACAATTTCTTGGGAAGATACAGAAATCAGATCGTAGTAGGGCGGGGGAAATAATACGTCTCCGGATCACATGTAGTAGTAAGATAAGCGAGAGTTTATTGAAACATTTGTGGGAGTCACTTGTGCTTGTATTCCGTAAACTCCTGGGCTGGCTACGATTTTTTGGACATTATCAAGATCTGCAAAAGTCTGCCATTTTCTGTCTGGCATCATGGTTGGGCTTGCCGCCGTGATCATAGGCCTTCCGGTAAAGCCGAAGGGGATCCTTATATCTTGTCTTACTATCAAACGGATTACTCCAGGTGAACAGCATCATCGAACTGCGCAATCACCATCTGACTATAGTAAGTTTTGTAAGAAAAAAAGAAAAAAAAGGTCTGAGATTGAAAAATTGGTAGACGGGGACAAGGGACAATGATGACCGCTTGGATGCTAAGCTACTGGATTAGGTCGGATTCCAGATGATGACTAGCGCTGACCCCGAGATAGAAGCCATATCCGGAGACCCTGAATATTCTCGTTCATACTAATGTTCATGTTCTCCGTTTCTACTCCCACCCTTCTCTTTGTTACATGGAACATTGGTGTTGCGTGCTGAAAATGGGCTGGCCCCTGTGATTCCGTCACCTGATCAGGCAATAGCTGACAAAATAGCCTACTTCAGACCTTTGTAAACAAAGGACTAAGAATCAAACCTTGCCTCCCTCTGCCCAGAAGCTGTTCCGGCCTCTCCCTTCGCATGTGCATCTGCCTTGCCATGTTCAACAAGCTTCAGTGGCCTATATTCCGCTTCCCACATTTGCTCTCTGATCCATTCTTCCAGCTCTGCATCATCACTTGGTATATTCTTTTCTTGCGCCAAGTTGTCTTCCCCTGCCTTCCTTATCACATTCTTAGCAATCTGTACGCTGATTTTTCGGACATCTTTGACATCAGGGAGGAGACCGGCCCCGTCATTGTTAACTACTGGAGCTGCGGAAGCCAGAGCTTGGACAGCGGCGACAAGAAGCGCGGGGGTCATCAGGCGGGTGCGGGATAGAACTGCACCGAGTCCAATTCCTGGGAATGTTACGGAGTTGTTACACTCGGCTAATAGGGACTAAGTACTCTGTCTTTGAAAAAGTGTAAGATTAGCGGCTTACATATCTCATATTCCTTTCCTTTGTATTTAACTGGCTCGAAAGGTGAACCAGTCGCCACTAGTACTTTCCCGTCTGTCCAGTCGTACAAATCCTGTGGTTTAGCTTCATGGAGTTTGGTAGGGTTGGACAGCGGGAAGATGACAGGTCGCTCGACGTGTTTGGCCATCTCCCGGACGACATCTTCTGTGAAGGCTCCTGGCTTGGTCGATGTACCTATGAGAACATGCGGCTTCACCTCCTTGATAACGGAGAGTAGATCCCCATGGTCTTTTCCCTCCCACTCCTTGTCTGTGCGCGCAAAGGGCATTTGGGCAGGGGTAAGCTGGTCTTTCTTCCCCTGCAAAAGTAGGCCTGGTTTGTCGACACACCTGAAGAAAATCAGCTTGACTTTGACTAGTCATACTAAGTATAGACACACCAAATTTGACGACTCGCTTCGTCGTCCGATTTTCCCGTATTCTGAACAATGGCATCTCGAATCTGGTCTGCAATCCCAGTTCCTGCTGAGCCCGCTCCGAACATGACAAAGCGAGCCTCGTCCCACTTCGTGCCGCTGACTTTGAAAGCCGCCATGACAGCTGCAAGCGTGACACAACCAGTCCCTTGAACATCGTCATTGAAGCATGCGATCTCAGGAGTATACTTTTCTAGAATTCTTCGTGCATTGTCCAAACCAAAATCTTCAAAGTGTATGTAGGCTTTGGGATACCGCTTTCGCGCGGCTTTCACAAACGTGTCGACGAATTGGTCGTACTTCTCGCCAGACACTCGTGGTTTTCTCAGGCCAAGATATAGTTCGTCATTCAAGAGATCCTCATTCTGTACTTGAATCAGCCCTACGTCTGTTAAAAGAATTCGCATACACCCACATCTGTACCACAGTCAAGGACCACCGGCAGTGTTCGTGAAGGATGTATGCCTGCGCATAATGTGTAGATGACAAGTTTTGCTACACTGATCAGGATGGCTCCTACACCTTGGTCTCCAATACCCAGTATCTGCTGCCCATCGCTTACGACTATCAGGTCAATATCCTCGGGGCCGCCCCATTGCTTGATGTCGTCCTCAACGCGACCCATGTCATCGATATTGAGAAAGCAGCCTTCGGGTCTTCGGAAGATTTTGGAGTAATCAGCTATTGCTTCACCCTCAGTGGGAGTATAGATGACGGAGAACATCTCCTTAAGATGATCAAGAATCAGCTGCTAGTCGTTAGTCATGATATTCAAGGAGCTACAGGGTATCTCATACTCTGTAGTAGAGGACCTCGTTTTGCTCCTTCATACTCGTCATGAAGGTGTTCTTGGCAAGATCGTTCTGACGAGAGCTGTATTGAGCATATGCGCGCTTGACCTGTTCGTCGAGGGTTTGAATATTGGAGGGAAGAAGGCCATGAAGCTTGAATGTATCGCGCTCTTCTTTTGTGAATGCTGAGCCTTTGTTGAAGTAGGGTGTTCGGAGGAGCGCATTTCCCTACTTAGTATATCAGTATCGAGACTCTTCAACGAGATCTCAGGGCGCGTGCGCACCGTCAAGCTAGTCTCTTGTGGCCCGGAAGTCGATAGAGGGAGATGCCCGAACTTTTCGTTCTTTTCTTGTTTCGCATTGCGCGACATGTTCACGAACTTCCGAGAAGAAACGCAGAACGACCTGAAGGTATGGTGTCGTGATTGGGTGGTTATCGAAGCAGCTTGGATGGGTAACAAAGTCTTAATTTGTTGGAGCATTAAAGTAAAGAGGTTCGTGAGAATATTATAGGCTATATAACAGATTGTTTGCAGACGGTGCTGGCTGTTCCGATTCTATCCGGTGTCTTATATAGCTCGTCGTACGATAGGTCACTGATTCGTGTTGTTTCCTTGTAAAAGGTTCATGAACGCTGGATTCGAAGAAGTCGCACAACCTGGTTTGTGCTATCGGGCAGTTGCGGGTATGTAATTCTGCTCGTCGACGTGGCAGAGCGTTTCCTAATCCATACGACGCTCTCCCATCACTGAAGGCGTTTCGTACGCTATTCACAATACCTGCTGGTGTTTTTCAACGTCCTGTCGCTTACAGGAATCAATGTCATGGGCGGCGTAATTATGACGTCACTGCTACCCTCTATGCATCCACTCGTCGCCGCAAGTGTGTTGGGCCATGGAGGCATATTGCTGTCAAAACAGTCTCAGTGATTCGCTTGACCCACGTTTAACGATTAGAATCATACGTACATAAAAATGCAATTAACAGAGTTGAGATCACGGTGTGCTCGCGGGTGACGAGACGGAACGGGCTACCCCGCTCACCAAAAGATAACCTCTGCAAAGACTTTCAACCTTCGACATCCCTTTTGAAGCCATCTCGGTAGACTTTAATCTACTGAAAATCTGTCTTAGTCATGATACACTGGTGTGTATCTTCAAATCAAATGGGCGAATACGTGAAGTCACAAACAATAGGCTCAATGCGCCAATCCGAAGGTTTCTACCAAACCCTTGTTTGGCTGAAGTTTGACCCTGTTCACCTTCATTTTGTAAGTTTGGTTGTATCCTGACTCCCATTCCATCAAGAAGATATGTTTTTCTTTACGGCCAGTCGTCGACATCATTATCCTTACGAACATTCGCATGTCATGACATTACAGCATCTCGTACAATGCTGGCTCTTCACTGGCTCTTGATGGAATTTGTTCAAAATAATCCAAATCGCCTTGGCTCATGCAAGCTTTCTCAACGTTGGCTTTGAGAATAACCAAGAGTCGCTCAAGTCCAACCCTCATTGTCGAAAAATGCCAATCAGCTCTACAAAGACGGTATAAGCTGTGTTAACTGCCTGCCGACCTATGATATATGGCTTCGCAAATTCAAAGACATAAAAGATATTTTGGTCACCTGGATCATATGCCTATCGATATCCAAAGGATCAAAAAATGGTACCCGTGACCATCGTGGCGAGACATGTCGTTTCTAGGACTTTTATCGACCAAGGGCGGTACATTCCATGAATCAATGTCTCAGCCACTTTTATCGAAACCCCAATTTCGAGCATCTGCCTGATCCTGCCTACTATTCAGTATCTCTCATATGCTTTGGCCCCTCGTAATCTCGGGCTTGGCGCTGACATTGCGGCCCCTAGGCAAACCCGAGCATCAGACCCCAAACTCACCACACTGACCAATGAACATTAGCACTAACTGATGTTGGAGTTTTTGCTCTACGATAAGCCCCGAGCCATTTACTTACAGCACTACAAGTTGTTCTAGGCTGCGCCACTCCGCAAGAATGTGGCATAGCTGAACAAATGCCACTTGCCTTGCTAAAACTACCTTAGGCAACTAAAATAAGCCTACATCACTGTAATAGGAAAGAAGCGTCACATTCTTTTGACTCGGTCTTTTGTGCCGGCATCCTAGAGGAATGTGGCACAGTCACGATAGCCTAACACAGCCTACCATAAGTGGCCAACTACGTAACAGTTGGGTAGCCGAACAAGTACCTAGACTCAATTTCCTAGGCTTGTATGAGCAGTTTGCTTCAAATTACTAGGATAGGTGATTTCTCTATTTTAAGTTATAGCAGAAATGTCTTTTTCTGAACTCCGGATTTCCTCGACCTCAACTCACAGTCTGTAAGATCTGGAATGGCTTAGCGGATGCAAACGGGCGATGGATTACGGCGTGCAGTGAAGGAATCTCCAAGAGAATTTATCCAACCAGTATGAGAAACAAGATCGTAGCACACAAAGTGCCACATGTATTAGGTGCTGACCGTAGGATCGTTCTACGTTCAAATCAATACTTGGCAGGAAGATGTAGATGAATGGTGTGGATGTAACTATCATAGTCCATACGAAACTTCTGGTCTATATAATTGTGAGCTCGTTCCAGCTTTATATTCTCCAGTAAGTCACTACTTGACTCCATTCGACACTTCTGGCCCATAGATATTCATAACGCACCGCAAATACTCTCTCGGATACACTCGTGTTTCAGTATTTCATCACAAGATCTCTTCTTAAGACACCAGCCAAAATGAAGTTCATCCTCCTTCTCAGCACGGCAATCTACACTGCCACAGTACTAGCTGCCCCCGGTGCCGTATGTCTTTCCTGACTGTTCACCCACAACACTCCGCTTTTCCCAATATCACAGCTAAAGCAGACTCTCAGATCTCGCTCAACCGCTCCTTCAAGACCCTTGCTGGCCGTGCTGATGGCGACGATTCCATGAAAATTGCTTGCATTGAGTGTCCCTGCGATGTGAGTCTTTCCTACTACCCCTTGTTCCGTTGAAAGGAACTACATTCGTCATATATATATAAGTGGTGTGGCAATGGCTAATTTTTGTGGTAGGGATTCACTGGAGCTTGCCGATGCGTCAACAACGGATGCTGCTGTGATATGACGAACCCTGGCCAGCCACCTGCCGGGGGCTGGAGAAAGACGGTCTAAGTTTTGTTTTTAGGGGGCGAATTCAATGTGAAAGCATGATATAAGGTATTACATAGGAGTTTCAATTACTAGTCTTGCGTTAAGAATACTTATCCGTTAATATCTTCATTGTGCGACGAGCGCTCGTGGGGCGTGAAGACCTCTGTCCGGATTTCAGGGAGTATTCAGATCCCAAATAACAATTCAACATGGATGGGTGAGACTTTGGCTTACAGCATGGGACCATGGTTCCGTAGGCAGCCGTTTGGCGAGGTTACGGTTTAATAGGGAGTATGTGAGAGTAAATACGCCAAGCCATTTGTTTCGTAAGTAAACAATCACATGGGCTTGCAAGGCTGATAATCCGAAAGAAATATAAGGTTATGACGATAAGGCAGTTCCTCAGAGTGGTTCAATAGTTCCTGCGGATGTGGTCTTTCCGAACTGACTCTAGTTTGATTTCGGGTGAATACACTAACAACTTGGGTAGTATCTTACGCATCATACACTCACTTACCTCGCTACATTGTCTAGGTTTACGCCTCGGGTTGATCGTGATGAAGGGTTCGCTAGCACTATGCATGCCGATTGGCCTAGAATGGCCTTGGCCATCTTCTTTAGTAAATTTGCTAATCTAACTATCTAGACTAGGTTATGATCTGCTCATGGTAAGCCACTAAACAGGAAATAGCGCGTAGAACTAGCACCGTATTCATCGCGCCAGACACGCAAATGGATAGCGATTAGACTCCACCTCCGATCATTACCGGCCTACCTGTCGATTCAGGGGAACCATGATGGAAATCATTTCCCACTTATTCTCCAGCGCACGACTCATGTAATTGAATTGGATTAAAAGCAAGGGCAGCCCCATAGGTGTAGTTCAGGCAGCAGGGACATTGTGTTGCGTTGTCTTTCGCTGATCAATTCTTACTGAAGATCATATAGTTTTCGATATGCGTTTTTTTGTGTCATCGCTAGCTCTCCTGAGCATCATCTCCCAGTCCCTCGCTGTACCCGCTGCGATAGCGCAGCCATCAAGTAAAGACGCCACAACAACCGTTGAGGAACGCCAACTTCTCACAAACCTTTTACCTGGTCTCCTACCTGGGGTGGTGTCGCTCGTTAAGGGTCTTCTCGCCGATGTTAATGTTGCCGTAGCTGAGGGCAAGCCTCAGGAAGTTCTCAACATTCTCCAGAAGCTCCAACCCACAGCGCGACCGACGAAAATCCAAGACGCTGTCGCGGCACACGCCAAGATATGGGCGACTCCAACCACAAGAACAGACTTTTTTGCCGCTGTTGCAACACAGATAGCTGGCGGTCTAGTGCTTGACCAGACACTTCAAGCGGTCTTGAACGGCGGTTTGCCGGTAGGAGAAAACACCGTCAAGAACAATAACCCAGATCCAGCGTCTTCCATCTACCCCAAGAAGGATACCACCGATGCGCCATATACGCTTTCCGAATCCGCTCTCCGGCAAGCAATATTCATTCCACCCACCTTCACATACGGAGCCAAACGTCCCGTCATTTTTGTCCCAGGAACCGCTTCTTACGGCGGCACCAACTTTGCATCCAACCTGCGGAAATTGCTCACAGGCAAGGATTTCGCTGATCCAGTATGGCTCAACGTACCCGGCGCCATGCTCAACGACACGCAAACAAACGTAGAATACATTGCCTACGCCATCAACTACATCAGTGCTATCTCGCGTCAAAACCAACAAAACATCGCCGTCATCACTTGGTCCCAAGGTGGTCTCGACACCCAATGGGTACTAAAGCACTGGCCCTCCACACGACAGGTCGTCAAAGACTTCCTACCCGTCTCTGCAGACTTCAAAGGCACAGTCTTTGCAAACGCCCTCTGCCTAACACCAAACAGCGATGTAAACCTGCTACCGTGCAGCACCGCTCTCATCCAACAACAAGCTACAAGCGACTACATCCGAAGCCTGAGATCCAACGGCGGTGACAGTGCTTACGTACCTACAACATCCTTCTACTCAGGCTTCTTCGACGAGGTCGTTGAGCCGCAACAAGGGACTCTGGCTTCCGCATACATGAACGACGCACGCAGCGTCGGTGTCACGAATATTGAGGTCCAGCGTGTGTGTACTGGCCAGCCTGCTGGTACTTTCTACGGCCATTCTAGTGTTCTTTCTAACCCGCTTACCTACGCACTTATTGTCGATGCGCTGCAGCAAGATGGACCGGGCGACCTATCGCGCGTTGATCTGAAGCGCGTATGCAGCACCTTTGCTGCACCGGGACTTGATCTCGATGATGTGTTGGCGACGATTGGCTTGATCCCAGTGGCAGGTGCGTTGTTGCTGTTGGATCCTAGTACGAAGACGTTTGCCGAGCCTCCGTTGAGGGCTTATGCGATGTAACGACGTTGCGAAGAGCAAGCATTGACACGCACGAGGGGTTATTTGTTTATCCCATAATGTATTTTATGATAATACTAGTTGTTTTCAGCTCTTGTCTTCTTCATGTATTCTCTTTGAGGTTGTTACGTTGATAATGTAAAATATCAGATGATACTATCAGTGGAGCAAGATGTCTTGTCCATTTCGTCTATTCAATATGATGCATTCTTCTCTGAAAAAGCAGTTTGAGCTGCAAGTAGGAGTACGAAATGTTGATTTCTGCTACGACTGCCCCATAGTAGTGTACACTCGCTTAACATCATAAGGTTCACAGGTCTTCGCGAAGGAGCCACTCAAAGAACATTGTCTACTTCATCAATGATTTGAACTTTGATACTTCCGTTGCTTAGGTCGGCACATGTATGTAGGGCATCAAGCGCCTTTTCTAGTGGAAATGTGTGACTGACAAGTGGCTTTAGGTCCAGTATGCCTCCAGCTAAGCACTGAAGACCAGCCGGCCAGGTATCGCGGTAACGGTTGATAAATCTCAGGTCAATCTGCGTGTTGTGTCAGCGAGACGGATCTTGTAAGAGGGACAGGGTGCGAGCATTTACCTCAGCTAAACTTAAATGCATGAACGGCAGATTATTCATGATTTCCTTCCCAACGCCAATGACCATGACGGTACCACCCCTTCTTGCTGTATAGGCTGCAGTAACAACGCTATTCTCCACACCCGTGCATTCCAGCACAGTCTCTGGCGCCCCGTACTCGCCTACATTGTCAAAGTCGAACAGCTCCCTAATCTTCTTTGCGTTACCCAGTGCATCAAGATTTCGTTCGACTTGATAAGTATAAGCCGAAGGCACAAAGGTTTTTGCGAAAGCCAATCGTTTTGGCTCGAGATCCGTAATGACGAGCGGGTGCGCACCACTTGCTCTGGCTGCTGCCAATGCAATAAGGCCAATAGGCCCAGCACCACATATCACAGCGCCACGGCCTAGGGAAAGCCCCACAGATTTGATACCGTGCATGACGACGGAGAGTGGCTCGAGGAGCGCACCTTCAGCATATGATATGTTGGAAGGCAGCTTGTGGCACCACCGTGCAGGGTGACACTTGAATCTCTGCACAGTGCCATCGTAAGGATAAACACCGGCGAATTGGACATCCTCGCATAGATTGTAGCGCCCATCCATGCACAAGAAGCATGTTCCGCACGGGACACCGGGTTCGACTGCTACACGGTCGCCTGTAGGCCGAGTTAGACAAGAAGACTGTATTGTAAAAGTAACACATCAAGTACCGGGTTGCAAGGTTGTGACCCCCTCACCACTCTGTAAAACAACTCCTGAAGCTTCATGACCAAGGATGCAGTCTCCTTCGACAACAAGAGAGCCTATTCTTCCTGCTTTCCAAAAATGTATATCGGACCTACCCAACTCAATATCCAATTTAATTATTCTTGGGTTAGTGAGATACGTACCCGCAAACGCCGGTGGCTTTGATATGCAACAAGACTTCTCCTTTTGTTGGCGCGTACACAGGTGCTTCCTGAAGTTTTAATTTGTGGTCTGCTGTGACTTGCAGGGAAGGATTTGGCAGCAATGTCTTGATTGTCGCACGCGTCGCGCTTGTTTGTTTGGGCACGGAAGAAGTAGTTTCTTGGTTCATTTTTGAATTGGCAAGGATGGAGATGCAATACTGCATTGAAATGTAGAAAGCAGGAGCAAACGTAGTCCACGATGGGGTAATGGCTGACGGTACCCAGGACTCACGTGTTTAGTGGGTCATTTTGCTGTCGCTGCGGGAATAGCAACTCCACACTCACAGGTCTCCGCATGATACAACAGGCGGCGCTGGATTGCGGGGAAACCTGGTGGAGAAGGTCAGTAGAGATCGCAGGTGACTATGACTACTGTAATGGTACAGGGTGCCTTCCGATCGCCAATGGGAATCTAAAGCCACCGCCCTCTTCCGCACAGCGAATACGCCGGGTTACCGAATTAGGAACACCCGGTGCTCTCGACTTTCGATGCACATATGTCGTAGAAGATTCGTTGTCAGTCGCACACTGGACAAGTATTTAGATACTTTCTTCCTGGAGGTTTCTGTCTTCTAGTTTCATTCACCTTCTTTACTTGTATTCTTCATCTAAAAGCTTAAATCCTTCTACACTCAAACCCCTCTAATATCATGTACGCGTCGCAAGATGCACCACAAGTAAATGGCTCCACGGCCTATGGAAAGAATGCCGTGGAAAGCTTAAGGGAAGAAGAAAAGCTAGAAAATGCATCGGTGCAGAAGCTATCAAAAGAGCATGACCATGTCCTGAAGACATTCAGATTGCTCATTGCAGACTTGTGTCAGCAATTCAATGGTGGTCATCCAGGGTACGTAAGCTCGGCCATTCATCATCCACGACCATAGCTGAGAAGTCTTGAGCGGGGCCATTGGAATGGCAGCAATCGGTGTTGCTTTGTGGAAATACGTCATGCGATATGCACCTCACACCCCAGATTACTTCAACCGCGATCGATTCGTCTTATCAAATGGTATGCATCACACAATCATTTTTGCAGTATAGACCACAGCTGAGCAAGAAAAGGCCATACATGTCTCTTTCAATATACATTCCTCCATCTCACAGGATATAAAGCCATGACATTCGATCAGCTCAAGTCATACCACTCAGAACGGGTCGATGCACTATGCCCAGGCCATCCAGAAATCGAACACGAAGGCATCGAAGTGACGACTGGCCCGTTGGGCCAAGGTGTAGCAAATGCAGTCGGTTTAGCGATGGCTACGAAGAACCTCCAAGCCATATACAATAAGCCCGACTTTGATGTTGTATCGAATCACACTTGGTGTATGATTGGAGATGCGTGTCTTCAAGAAGGAGTGGCCTTGGAAGCTATTTCCTTTGCTGGCCATTTGAAGCTGAACAACCTCACCATTATATACGACAACAATCAAGTTACTTGTGATGGCTCAGTCGATCTAACCAATACCGAGGACGTCAACACCAAGATGAGGGCATGTGGTTGGGACGTAGTTGATGTTGAAGATGGCTGTTTCGACGTTGAGGGTCTTGTCAAGGCCCTGAACAAGGCAAGATCCTCGACTAACAAGCCCACTTTCATCAATGTCCGAACAATCATCGGTGTTGGCAGTGCGGTCGCTGGTGATGCCGTTGCTCATGGAGTAGCCTTAGGTACATCCGACGTAGCGAACATGAAAAAAACATACGGCTTCAACCCTGATGAACACTTTGTCATCAGTGACGATGTACGCAAGTTCTTCGAAGATATTCCAGCTAGAGGCCAGGAGTTGGTGCGATCATGGGAAGAAAAGGTCAAAGAGTATGAAGCCAAATATCCGGAAGAAGGTGCAGACTTCAAGCGTCGAGTGGAAGGTCGTCTGATTGAAGATTGGAAATCTCTGGTACCAGAAGAATTTCCAGATGCGCCGACAGCGACGAGAAAGTCTTCTGGGCTTGTTTTCAATACTCTTGCCGAAAAGATCAACAATTTTGTGGTTGGCACTGCTGACTTGACACCTTCGGTCAATATGGTTTGGAATGGCAAGGTTGACTTCCAGCATGTAAGTCGTTCACTCATCTTTGCTGGAGAATGCAATTAACCCTTCACAGCCCGACTTGAAAACAACATGCGGTATTAATGGCAACTACAGCGGCCGGTATATCCACTATGGCGTTCGTGAGCATGCAATGGCTGCAATCTCGAACGGGATTGCAGCTTTTGCGCCAAACACTTTCATCCCGGTCACATCTTCTTTTTTCATGTTCTACCTTTACGCTGCACCAGCAGTCCGAATGGGCGCTTTGCAGCAACTGCAAGTCATACATGCAGCAACACACGACAGGTATGGATCTCTCCACTTTCTTGTGTTCCTCGACTAACCAAGCCCAGTATCGGAATGGGTGAAGATGGTCCCACACATCAACCAATCGAACTTGCCAATTTGTACCGAGCCATGCCCAATCTGCTATACATCCGACCTGGTGACAGTGAAGAGACTGCGGGCGCATGGATCACAGCCATCGAGGCGAAGAAGACGCCCAGTATCATATCAACATCGAGACATGCCCTGCCACAATTGGCGCAGACAAAGAGGGAAATGGTCGCAAAGGGTGCATACGTACTCGAAGAGGCTGAAAATGCCGACGTGACACTGATCGGTGTCGGTGCTGAACTCCATCATGCACTCGATGTTGCCAAAGAGCTGAGCGCAAAGAGTATAAAGGTGCGCGTGGTCAGCTTCCCGTGCCAGCGGCTTTTTGAGAAGCAGGCAGTTCAATACAAGCGGGAAACACTCAAGAGACACCTTGGTATTCCAGCGATAGTCATCGAGCCGTTTGCACCCAATGGCTGGGAGCGATACGCCAATGCTGCATGTTGCATGAAAAGATTCGGCCATAGTCTACCCGGAAAGGCGGCCTACAAGTATTTTGGCTTCGATGTTCCTGCGTTGACAACAAAGGTGGAGAGTTACCTCAACCAAGTGCGTGACGACCCGCTACTCAAAGGAGAATTTGTCGATTTGTAAATATTTGGAACAATCTCATACGCTTTCAATTCTCAAGTCTGATTCAATCAATGTACGAAATTTAGAAAGATTGTGTTTCCCACATTGGCTGCATCAACACACTGGATTTCGTTAGTATCTGGCGCACAATAATTGGAAGAGAATTGGACCTCATCCTGTTTGGGTGTAGCTGTCCATAAATAAGTCCTGCTAGTTTCTCAAAGCTTCCACATAACATGAATTGAGGATTTCGATTTTTACGTATGTGCAAAAGCAATGCCCCGCTATCAAGTCATCGGAAGGCCCCGCTTCAAGCCTTGTTGCGGTAGACTCCGGCCGACAAACCAAGTATCACGATCTTTATGTTCTTGATTGATAAAAGCAAGTGAAAATCGCAATCAAAATCGGGCATCCTCAATCTTCCAATTTGAAAATCAGCCAACATTTTCTTGTATTCAAGTCGCCATGTCAGCCAATATCAAGACAACAAGCCCAGCACCAGAGAAACTTGTCTCTAAACTCCTATCTACAATCGAGGAAAGCATTATTCCCCTTACACAACAAGGAGTCTCAAGCGGTTCCAAGCTCTTCGGTGCGGCTATCCTATCTCGCAAAGATCTCACACCCTACACTCTTGCCACAAACAATGAGCGCGTCTCCCCACTCCTCCACGGTGAAATCAACTGCATCCAGCAATTCTGCATGATCGACTTTCCAGACCCAGCAACGCGCCCTCATCCAGCAAACGACTGCATCTTCCTCGCCACACATGAGCCCTGCTCATTATGCTTGAGCGGCATTACTTGGGCCGGCTTTAACGAGTTTTACTACCTTTTCACGTACGAAGACAGTCGAGATCTATTTGGGATTCCGTACGACATCGACATTCTACAGGAAGTGTTTAGGGTCAAGGGAGAAGGGGAGAGTGAAGAGCAGGTTCAGCAGAGGCAGTTGTACAACCGGAAGAACAAGTTCTTTACTGCGAAGAGCTTTGCGGATGTGGTGGGTGAGATCAATGACGAGAGCGAGGGGGAGAGATTGCTCAAAGAGATTACGAGGGTAAAGGGTTTGTATAACAGTTTGAGTGAGACGTATCAACAAGGAAAGAAGGCGGGGGCTGAAAGCTCGAGTGTTTGGAAGTAAAGAAATAGGCAATCACTAATATGATGCGAATAAACCAGCATGATGAGGGTACGTGTTGTTGATGGAGAATTGACCACCATTATTTCCACTTCTGCAGGGTATCGCCCTCCGGCCCCACGTTTACTTATCGATAACAAAATTCGTCTACCTCAGCCCCTCCAAATTCACCTCATCTTGGTTTGTAAGTAATAGCAAAATTTGATTGCGTCAGATATTTCTGTTTAAAGTACTACTGACACAATCGTTAAACAAGACTTGTGCACCGTTTTTCCTATCAGCTCAAGTGCGACATTGCACTTCAGAAACATTCGCTTGTTTTCCTTCTTTCATCTCAAACAACGTCATAGGACGTCTCGCTGCATTTTGAAAATAAAGCAGATTACAGCAACTGCGCATTAGCGGCAGGCCGAGATAGCCAGTTTCAATCGAATACTTCCAAAATGGCGAGCAATCTCCAAGATGACAACACCATTTATCTCACGGAAAAAGAGGCGGAGCGCATTCAAAACACTGTCAAGGATCGACTAAAGAAGTGCACTGAGCAACATGGCAACGCAAAGGAACCTAGAGACAAAACCGCTGCGCACCAAGCAGCCACTGGTGCTGCTCTTATGGCAGATATGGGCGGCGCACCCGATCCAGATATGATGGAAACTCAAGGGAAAACAGCAAATACCATACCAGCTATTGGTGTCGGACAGCCGTATCCCCCATGCACGAAACCATTATCCGAACTAGAGCCAATGGAGATGGCTGATCTGAAGATGGAAACACACCACCGAGGCCGCAAGCTCGTCGTCAAGCGACACAGTCCAGTAGTCACGCTGGTAGCCAGATCCTGGACTATGGTGCAGAATGAAGCAGGCACTGACGCAGAGCGGTTAGAGATTTTACTCCACAAATCAAGATATGGAGAAGATATCCTGGAATCAACCAAACAGTTTATTATCAAGGAGCCATATTTTACCCTTACGGATCAGGGTGAGCCAACGCTTCGGATCGACCACCCTTCTGATCTAGTTGTTTGCCACGAAGACGTTGTAAATCCGAAGAAGTTTGAGGAGGCCGAAAAGGCCGAAAAGGCAGCTACTAGATTCAAAACACAGGGTAATACTGCGCTCAAGGAACAGGACCTTCCCCTAGCCCACGAGAAGTACTCGGCCGGCCTAGCAATTGCGAACCAGGACATTGTAACAAAATCCAACCCGGATCTAGCGAAAGATATCTACCGCAACCGCGCCTATGTAAACCTGCTTCTGGGTCAATTGGACGAAGTCAAGACGGATGCCCGCGCCTCACTGACTGGCAAAGACGACCAAAAGTCCAAAGAGCTCGACAGCAAAGCCTACTTCCGCGCTGGATCAGCCGCGTACAGCCAAAGCCGATGGCAAGAAGCAAAGGAATTCTTCCAGGAGCAACAAAAGCTCACACCCGAAGACAGAGACGCAAAGCTCCAATTGAAAAAGATTGAAGCCCGTCTCCGCGAAGAAGAAACAGGATCCTACGACCTCATGAAACTGCGAACTACCATCTCCAAAGCCCGATCCCGTGTCGACGCCGCCAACTTTATCAAAAACACCGTCGTCAAAGATAGCCCAGGCAAAGGCCGCGGCCTCTACGCCGCCCGCGACCTCGCCCCCGGCGCACTCGTGCTCTGCGAAAAAGCCTTCAGCGTCGTCTGGGCCCACGAACCCGACGCCCTTGTCGCAATGACCTACGACGTCCGCGACGACCTGATCCGCGTCTCTCCCGTCGGCCTCTCCAAATCGCTCGTACAAAAATGCCTAAACCAGCCCTCGCAAACAGCGCACCTGATGCAGCTCTACGGCGACTACCAAGGTGACGCCTCTACCGCCAATGTGTTCGAAACAGCGGATGGCCCAGTCGTAGACGTCTTCCGCGTCCACGACATCATGTCCCGCAACGCCTTCAGCCCCGGTGCGCAGTTCGGCGACGAATCCGCGCGCAGTGCGAGCACCGGGCTATGGAAACACGCCGCGTACATTAATCACTCGTGTCTCGCCAACACGGAGAAGGAATTCATCGGCGACTTCATCGTTATCCGCGCCACGGCACCTATCAAAGCCGGCGAGGAAATATTCTTCCCGTACCACGATTCCCTGGATTACGAGGCGAGACAGGCGTTTTTGCACAAGACGTGGGGGTTCCGGTGCCAGTGTCGGTTGTGTGAGGCCGAGGAGCAGGATGGCAAGGAGGTTAGGGATAAGAGGATGGAGATGGTGGGCGAGGCGGATGCGTTTGTGGACAAGACGCCGTGGGCTGGGGCGAAGAGGGTGGTGTTGAGGAAGGCGCAGAATCTGGTGAAGGGGATTGAGGGGACGTATGATGAGGCGAGGTGGGAGGGGTTGCCGAAAAGGCATGCGGAGGGGTTGAAGGCGTGGTTGGCTAAGGCGAGTCCGAGGTGAGAGAAGTGGATGTGATATCTCAGTTGGGAAATAGCAGTCATTCGAGTGGATGCGAGGTATGTCGAACAAGGAAATGGAAGAAGAAGATTTGTATGGTCATTGAGTAATTCGTAAGCTACATATCTACATATAAAAATTCATAAGCGCTGTACTTTGCAAAGACAAATGTGGTTGAGAAACAAAGAGGCAACAACTAAAGCCCCATCTTCTGCAGCACATTCGCCAGATCAACCTCAACAATCTTATCCCAGCCCCTTTCAGGGCCCCAAGCAATATGCTTCTGATTCAGCCTTGTCTCCTCAATCAAGCCAGCCAACAGCGGACTCGACTTGGACACACTGGGATACGCATCAAACTCGACATCATTGATCGACGGCACCTGCGCGAGCAAGCCTCTCAGCAAGCCCACACAGTATTCCGTGTAAAAATTATTACCAACGCGGAACCCCTCGAATACCGCGTCGGATGCAGGATCGATTTCTACAAAGATCTTGAGCAGGTATACCTTTTTCACGGCTGCGAGGCCGAGCCGGCTGTCTACGACCCAGCATTTCGGCGGTTTCGTGAAGCCGGGGCCTAGACGCAGCTCGAGGCGGGTGAGGAGGACGCGGTATCTGCGGGGGAACCACACAAGCAGCGGGTGCTTGCGGTTGATGTAGCGGCCGTGGATGGGGAAGACGCGGAAGGTGTTGCGGCCGTAGAAGACGCGGGCTGCTTCGTCGTGCATGCGCTGGCTTGCAAGGAAGAGGCGGAGGGCGGGGGCGACGGTGCAGTAGTTGGATGGGTCGAGGTCGATGGTCTTGGGGAAGATGAGGAGTTCCTCGTACACGCGCAATCGCAGCTCGTAGGGGAGATCGAAGAAACGGAAAGGCTGGTATTCGTCCTCTTCCTCGTCCTTACTGCCCGAGCCTTTGCTGCGCTCCGGCTGTTTGGGTGGCGCAGCCAAAGCGGCCTGCTCATCGACAAGACGCAATTTGCTCATGCGATTGACCATGTGGTCAATCGCCTTCTTCTTGCGAGCCATGATGTTATGCCGCGCTCTCAAAAGCGACCTTTGCTATCGCTTTGAGAGCGTTTATGCATCCATCGCGTCGTGCCGTCCGTATTAGGTTGTACGAGTCGGTATTTGTTCCTCGGCAAAGAGAGCGAGGGTTCAAGACGAAAATTTTAATTGTACGTAGGATGTCTCGGAGCTACGGGACCGTCAGCCCATGCGGTAAGGGCAGGCAGTTCTTGGGAGCAAAGAGTTTGTTCTCCCCAGCTTATGTCAACTTCAATCTTATGGAGGAGCAAAGAGTGAGGTCAAATTTCGTGGGTGCAACTTTCTATATGGAAAAAGAAGACGAGATGGCGGCGATACCGCGGGTTTTGTTCAGAGAGGCCCCACTAGCTGATTAGTCAGCCCCACATGGACATCCCTGTCTTTCGCCGACTTGCCGGCTCGCCTCTTCTGCGGTATTGATTGGCCTCGTGACTTTATCATTTTCTTCAATCATACTCGTTGTCACAAGAAGATGCCACAAAAAGAGTGAAATGCTGAAAATCAAATATCACTCGTTCATTATCATGCATCGCTCTAAACTAAAACCAACCCAACTCCATCGCTCTCCTTCCCTAATCCATGTCAAGGTACAAACGTGACTCTGATGCATACAGCGATTAAAGACCATATACAGCGGCATACCAAATACACAATTCCTTCTCTTCAGTCTCCCCTTTCTGAAATTCCCTCTGCCGCTACTATTCTTGATAGCCTTTCTTCAACGATACTGAATTCACAAGAATCGTAGGACAAGCTAGTGACCAGGATCACACGCATTGCATGGCCGACCACCAATCAGTTCAGTCGCAGATACGATATCGACCATGCCACACGCCTCCGTTCCAATCGAGCACTCAGTATAGTCACTCACGCCCCCACTGTGGTTGTGCGTCTGATCCGGGCGGCCTTGCGGAGGGACAGGGCTGGGAAACGGCGCGGTAGCTCCTATAGGAATGCCAGCGGCGTTGCCTCGACCGCCATACAGACCGTTTCCGAGTCGACGGTGATTCCGATAGTCGTATCGAGACGGTTTGTGATACATGTGATCCTGCATGCTGCGTGGCCCCGTGGGGAAACCGGCGTTTTGTATCTTAGTGAAGTCAATGTTGTAGTGGCGGGGAGTGTTGTTGCTCCTGATATCGGTATACTCGGCGATCTTATCGAATTGCCTTGCAAAAGGCTGGTGTGTCACAGCACCGTAGGCTTTGTGCACTGGCCCGTCGTCGTGGGAGTTTGGCTGAATCAATTCTTGATTGTAAACAGGGCAGGGGTCGTGAGCAGGTACGGTAGGACGCAACACTAGCTCTGCGGAGGGCACTTCCTGCTTTGCTGGTGTGGACACTGGATCCAGTCTTGTCATCATAATAGCAGGACTGTCATGAGAGATGGCATGCGGAGCATCGCTAGATGACAATGCTGGACCGCGTTGTTTTTTAGGCTTGAACTTACGGGGAGACTTGGGCCGGCCGTTCCTGAAACCCTGTTCATAGGCAAACTGGATACCGTACATGTACCAGAGAAATGGTATACCATGTCTATCAAGTAACGTCATGTCTGGTAGGCCAGCAACATCTTGAAGCGAAGCTAGAGCTTCAGGCTCGGTCGCAGGCTCAGTCGAGCCAGACGTGAGCATCATTTTGGGTACAAATTCAGTGGCAGTCGGTCGGAGGTCCGAGCATAAACTAGTGTGTGTTTGATGTTCGTTTTCGACTTGATTCCCAGGTTCGGATGGACCACCCTCGCTTGTTGCATGTGTCGACTCAGCACTCTCACCAACATGTGCATATTCAGAGGCAGTAGAAGCTGCGTTGTTGGAGGCAGTATCGATCAAAGTATTGTCTATTTAGAATATTAGCCATCAGAGCAAGAGGAAATCGACTGGTGCTGGGGCTAGGAGGTTTCTACCAAAATCATCTGTTTTTCTGAGGCTGTAAAATATTGCGGAATCCGTAAGAGTCGGGTCCGCACCATCTCGAGATACCTTCTCATAAGAGTTGCTTGTGGCCCTGCGGGAAGCCTTCAAAAATGGTGGAGTGCTTGGGACGTAGCCTGAATACCCACACACTCCAACTGGATTTGATTCAGGATGGCTCTCATCTTGACACAAACCAATTTCATCGTTGCCCGCCGGGTTGTTTGGCATGTAGAAGTGAGCGTGCACTGACTTATGGTCTTGAGAATCGATATGCCGGGAATATCCTTCTTTTTTCGTTCCGAGGTCAAGATCCCGATGCTGAGAGTCGATAGTATTTGGATGCGTGTTTTCATCCGAATGACCACGTGAGGTATTAGACATGGGCGTGTTGGATAGAGTCATTTCATTTGATACCACAGGAATGTCTATGAGAACCTTTGCTTTTGATCGCATGGTCCCTACTGCAGACTTTGCTCGCCGCAGAGCGGAAATACGGGATGAGTTCTGGTCCTTGTTTGTTGTGCCGACACGAGGAATGCGAGATGTGCATGTGCTAGAAACTGGACCCATCGAACCATTACTTTCAGAAGCTTTTGTAGCCTTTGGGCTCAGTTCGCTAAAATCTTTGTTGTGGTCGGTACTTGCATTCGGCACATTCATACGAAGAGAAACCTTGGCCTTGGAGATTGGTTGGTTTTCACTCTTGGGTTTCACCGGCGAGACCGATGCTGTATTGACATTCCGAGGCTTATGCTGATCATTATGGTTAGCATTCACATCAAGTATGGATGTGCCTACACCAGCAGGATGCTTTGTGGCTGACGGAAGCCAAGCTCCTGTTTGCAGGGATTCTTACCGGTGAGCCATCCGTAGCACAAAACGAAGCCTTGGTTGCGGATACAGTGTCAGTATTCGATACTCGCGATTGACCCGCTGCGATAGACTTGTTTGGATGGTGCGATGACTTTGTGGGTGACATCTTGAGCGAGCACCCGGATTGCTGGCGTGCAACACTGCGTAGCGGCGATGTAGGGCTATTCCACACTGGCTTTGAAGCAGAACTAGAAAATTTGACAGAACCTGTATGCTTTCCAGGGGACGTCATTGTGGCTTCAACAGCTTCCAGAGCCTCTTTTGTCAGATATGTTGTACCCTCTCTGCCATGAGATCTACCCAAGTCCACGGAGCTTCGCGTTGTACGAATTCCCTTCGAATATCCCGGCGAGCCATTATCAGAGATTTTCTTCAATGTTCGTTCTTTCGCACGTTGTGCAGTTGCAAGTTTTGGGCTGGCGGCTTTGGGAAGCCAATGAGCAGGAATTGGTTTCCGGGGACTTTGTTCAGACTGCTCAGTCGTTTGCACGACAGGCTGATGTTGACTGTGCTCGTGAAATCGCCCATGAGGAGAGTCCACATTGCAGCTTATGGTTGGGCTGGGAAGATTGTTAAATGAAACTTGGAAGACGTTAGAACAATCGACGTACAACTTGAACAAAGTGATAGGCACAAATTTCTTACCATTTTCTGCAGTATTAACTTGTAGAGAGGATTCTGCACTCAATGCAACACCAATACGGACATTGCCGGGACCCTGGCTATCCAAAAGCGAGCAAGCATGATCAAGTACATGCTCATGCCTGACACGTTCTTCTTTAACAAGATCGGATTGTAGAACCAAAGCAGTTTCGCTATTGGTATTTTCATCTTGGTTCTGGACGATGTTGTGCGAAACTGAAGAGTGACTAGCTTCTGATGGCGTAGCGGATGACATCGTGTTGGTATTCTGCAACTGGTGCTGTAGCGGACTATCCATACGTGACAAGCTATTTCTGTTGATCTTTGATGTTGAGCAACGTAAAGAAGATAAAGCGAGTTGCTTTCCGCGGCTAATACTTGCATCCGCGATGCGCTGTGGATTGCTTTTACCAAGTAGATTAGCAAATTTGAGAAATAAAAATGAGTGAAAACACGTACAGTATAAGCGTTGTCGCGTTGTCGCAGTAGGATACTCTGGTAAGTTGACCGTGTCGACAAGCTGAAAAATAGCAGTAATGGTAGATACACATGTTGCTGGGTAGGCGTTGTTCGCTTCACTCTTTAGGAAAGATCCAAGGTGATAGTACTATCAAAAAAAAGAAGCAACAACGAAGACCCGACAAGGCAGCAAGCGCAGTTTTGACGGTGATGCATGATTGGAAAGGGCTTATTGCCCAACAAACGCACGTGTAAAGAATGTGCACCAGTGAGTGAAGGTGCAGGGGGTGAGGAGTGAAACGATAGTTTGATGTAAGTTTACCAAGACTTTCAGAACAAACTGAACTGCTACAGACGGGAAAAAGATTTCTCAAATGGAAGTTTAAGAAAATGGCAAGTTCAACCAGCAAACTTAACGCGCAAAGTCATTGACTTAGGAGCTGAATGCTGGGCGTATGGCTCAACTCAAGCTAAATGCGGTAGCTCAGAACCTCTTCTTTTTCTTTTGCTGTGCCTGCTTTTTAGCTGCCTCCTCATTCCTTCGCTTGAGTTCAGCACGCCGCCGTTCTGCCTTCTCTTCTGGTGTTTCCTCAACTTCATCCTCGGCCGGTGTCATTTCTCTAGTTACACTATGCGGTAGTGGTGATGATGGTGGCTCTGCAGTAGGCGATTGCGTAGCCCTTGTGCGAACTTTACTCGGGGAAGTTGTAGCGGCACGCTGCGAAGCGCCATCCTCGGCAGCTCTTCCTTTACCACCAATCCTAAATGGCTTTCTGGATTTCTTTGGTGTAGAGGCAATGTCTGCTTGCTTGGGGGATGGAGGAGCTGCCTCTCTCGTGGTCAAAACATCATCAGACCCGGCCTCTTCATCTGGAATAAATGGTGATGGTGAGGATGAGGGCAATGTTCCCTGTGGCTCCCCTCCTGTGCGAAAGCTATCGTCATTTGCCTTCTTCGCCGGTGAAGCAATTGTTGGAGGGGAGGAGAGACGTTCATATAAGGACGGTTTTCGATGTTGAGATTGCAAGGAGTCTTGGACCTGAGTTGGATTGCAGCTTATTGCTGGTGTATCAAGGTCGAGCTCTTCTTCAGTGCTATCGCTCTCATCCTCATCGTGTCCATGTAGAGGAGATTTCTGTCCTGGTGCTACCGTGTCATTTATGGACTTTGCAGGAAGGTTACGGGTCGACACATACGTTAGTAATGCTACTCAATGATTGTGCGTCTTCCGCTTACTTTGAAATGCTCATGAGTATCAAACTCGTCTTCTGTCTCCTCTTCGCTTGACTCTGAAGCATCCCTTCGGTTGGGAAGCACCCCGGACTTCCTTGTCTTGCTGTTCGCTGGAGCCTTCGATAAAGTCAAATGTGTCGGCACTGATGTCCACCAGGAGGCTTCCAAGTTGTCCGACTTTAGCTGTTGTGGCACAATAGAGGTGCTCTGAGCCAGCGCTTCCTGGAACAAGCCCAACGAAGTTAGTTCCAAGTCTTCTAACTGTCCAGTCTCTTTCCTCCACACTGTCTCGTAAAATGGCTTCAAAGCGGGAACGTGCTTTGCGGCTTGCTCACGTTTGATCATCCGTCTTCCCGTCTTCATGCTACCCGCACCCGGGAAAGCGGCAGCCAAGTCCAGGTTACTGGACTCAAATTGATCTAGCAGCCGATTGATTGCCTTGTCTTTGCTAGTGATTGTTTTTATGAGACTAACGATTCGTTCATTCTGAATGTGTGAAGATACAAGCAGCGGGAGAATGAGCTCGTTCTTAAGGACTGTAGATGTACGCTTCTGCAGCTGAAACTTCCATGACAAGCGGCCGAGCGGCTCTGGAAGGGTAATGGCTGCATGCAGGATGATACCGTCTTGTCCATTGCGAGTTATACGGCAGAGTGCGTCGTCGGCATTGCTCAGAGGCTTTGCGATGTTTTCTAGAAGGACACCAAGCTGCGCCGTGTCCTGTTTGCTTACTTCAATTGGCGATTGCTCCTGCGAAGCTCGGTCCACGATATCATCCAAACTCAGCTCTTCAGACCACACATTACTCAAATCTGAAAGATGCACAATGTACGAATCCGGGGAGAAGACGGGCTTGACAAGTAGCTGGGGTACATGTTGGTTATCTGGTTGCTCGCAGAGTCTCAGAACGCGCCAGCAAGACATGATAGTAGAATGAGAAACGAGATGCAGCAGTCATACCCACATTCAATGGCTGAAATGTCTAGAGACAGGCAGACAAGGACCATGGAGCTCCAGGAAAGAGCATCACGTGGTGGTGAGAGGCAGCAGCGCCAAGCAATGTTGCTAAAAGCGGAACAGATCCCTGTGGGTGCGGAAGGAGGTCCGTACGTCACCAGCCTCGGCCAAAGATTTCGCGATCGATGTCTTTACCTAAACATTCGCACTGTGACAGCCAAATCTCACAGACACTGAAACTATCACCTAACTACACATACAACATGTCGTCGCGTGAACCCCCATGGCGAAATGATAGCAGTCGCCGCTCCCAAGGCAATGGACCAGCATCATCGATTCCGGCAAAGCGCTCCGCCGAGTCGCGATCCTACGACAATGCCTCCAAACGCTCGACCAACGCGGCAGAAGAGGCCTGGGTAGCAGACGAGGATCGTTTCGTGCTTCAACAGGCCAAGAAGAAGGCAGCTTTACGCGTCAGAGGCGGACGCGCAAAGCCCATTGATTGGCTGGCCGTCACGCTGCGCTTCATCGACCCTGCTGAGAAATCGATACTGGATGAAGAAGTGGAGGATCACGAGTTGGATATTGTGGATCCCGAGGGTGTGCTCGAGGGCTTGGGCAACGAGGATCTTGCAGAGCTGGAGAAGGAGATTGAGAACTACCTCACACTAGAGACAAGCAAGAGTAATCGCGAATATTGGAATGTGAGTATTTGTCTTGTACACCGTCTTAACATGGCTGACCAAACCAGTCACTCAAAGTCATCTGCAAAGATATTCGGCGCAAGTCCAGGACAACAAAATCCGAGGCACGAGGCACCAGCTCTGTAGCTGCCGACATTGACCAGCTGCTCTCACCAAAGTCATACGAACAGCTCGAGGCTCTCGAAGTGCAGGTTAAGCGGAAGCTGGACTCAGACGAGCCCATCGATTATGACTATTGGGAACAGCTGTTGCGTAGTCTGCGCGTGTGGAAAGCCAAGGCAAAGCTGCGGCGCGTGTCGCAGGAGATTGTCAAGGAGCGACTGCAGACATTGCGCAAGCAGCAGGCCGAAGCGGCTGCATCTGTACAAGCCAACATATATTCCATGCTCAAGGGCAATGACGAGGCAGCTGAGGTGCAGCCTACAACAGTTGCATACGACGCAGCCATGGATCCAGAGCCCATGCTGAAGCTGCGTGCCGAAGACAAGGCCCTGCCGCAGGTCGAGGAAAAGTCGTTCCTCGAGCACGTGACGGCTGAGCGGCGCAAGATCCAGAAGGTCGGCTACGTCCCCAGCCGGACCAAAACGAGCGACAAGGCTGTGGCCAGCAGCCAGCCTACGACGAGCCAGGCTGTGACGACGAGTGCCTCACGGTTTGCGCCCGTGGACAAAGAAGACTACTCCAAGGCGACCATGGCGCTGTATGAGCGAGAAGTAGCGCGAGGAGTTGAAGAGGGCGAGGAGGTTTTCAATGCTGAAGAAGAAGTTACCACTGCCTGTTCCCAGTCGGACGGGAGCTACAAGCCTAGGAAGCCCCGCTACTTCAATCGCGTCCAGATGGGCTACGAATGGAACAAGTACAACCAGACGCATTATGACCACGACAATCCGCCACCCAAGGTGGTACAAGGCTACAAGTTCAACATCTTCTACCCTGAACTCATTGACAAGAGCAAAGCACCCACATACAAGATTGAGCGCGAGCATGGCCGCAAAAAGGGACAGTCATTTGCACCTGCTGGTGAGGACGACACGTGCCTGATACGCTTCATTGCCGGCCCGCCCTATGAAGACATTGCGTTTAGGATTGTCGACAAGGAGTGGGACTATAGCGCGAAGAGAGAACGCGGGTTCAAGAGTAGCTTTGACAAGGTAGGCTCAACAGCTATGACTTTAGTCAATACGCTGCTGATGTACAATAGGGTATTCTGCAGCTCCATTTCCAGTTCAAGAAGGTAGGCCAACAAGTCTAATGACGATGGTGTCACGGCTAACATGTGGCAGATATACTATCGAAAGTAGCCGTAGTCTCCGTTTTTGGACACAAAGGCTGTGCAGTCGACCCAGGAGCAGCTGGCTCTTTCTCTTACATGGTCTGCCGACAATGGAACGGGGTGCAGGGCAGGCATTGCACAAGGTCTCGCGCAATGATAGGTACTATGTCATGGCCAGCATGGCATGGATGCCAGACATGTCCCAACTACGGCACTGCCTGTGACGCCGTGTGCTGGCGGTGACCAACGCAGCACCTTGATAGCAGGAACCGCTGGCGGTGTATGTAGGTACCTAAGCGGTGACGGCCTTGCCATGATGACTGGCCAATGACGACAAACGCTGCTTCTCGATGAGGCCCAACAGGGAGTCTGAAGCAGCTTCACCGGAAATCAAGGCTTGGAGGGTTGTGTTACAGTCTGCAGTGGAGACTGTCCCCAAAGGGCTGCTCGCGGCAGCCTCTTTGCAGGCGCAGGCTACCTGGTAGCATCCCTATGCCTTGCGCATATATGGCACTGACAAGCTGCTGTCGATGTGCTTGCACATTCCATGCACAGCCGGTCTGGGGTGGGCAAGCGCTTGCTACTTGGCGGGCACTCGTTGTGGTCGCTTGCCAATGACAATGATGGGCACTGGCATGGACGATATTTCATGGACGGGGGAGGATGACCATGGGCAGCATCTGGGAGCGGGCAGCAAGATCGAAGATGGGGGGATCTGGGCTCAGACCAGGCCCGGGGCTCGGACGGTCCCATGTTGCAAATAGTCTAGATGGTATGCAGGCTCCCGTCGTCCCTGTGCCGACGAAACAATCGTTGGCTGTGGCGGTCGCACAGGTAGTCATTCCGACTGTCAAAAGCAGCAGTGCAATGGACATGTCCAGGCTCCGTCTCGGCCCGGGAGGCAATGATGGCATAGTGGCAGCTGTGGTTCCCGTGATACCAGCCCTGCATCTGCATCAGTGCCAAGCATGGTGGTGGTGGTGGTGGTGGTGATGATGGTGGTGGTGTGTGAAAATGCTCTCTGCCTTTGCCATGACCACTCACTTCTTGTTTGCCTTGTCGCCCGCCGCTGCAGCGTCAAGCCCGCAGCGCAGCAGGAACCCGTCCAGGGAGGCATCCGGGTGACAATGACAATACCATGGTGCTGATCAAAGACGATTCGCTGCGGGCCGGGCGAGCATGTAAATGTCTGGCTCTTCGCTTCATTTCCCGGCACTGCCTTTCACTGTCGTCTCTGTCCATTCTGCGCCACTCTGCTGGTTTCACACGCGGCGCTGGCACTCTCTTCCCCGTCCCCCGTCTCGATACGCCCGCCCCTCACCGTTCAGGCCGGTAAAAGGACGACAACACAACGATGCCACATGCCCAGTCACCCCATTGTCCTGCTGCTCCAGACTCACACTGTGCTCTCGATGCTGGCCCGCCGCCAGAGAGCCCCATGTGTGCCGCGCTTCCCTTCCACCCTCACAGCCCACTGCCATCCCAGCCGTCCGCTACATTACCTGGGCACCCACCCTCCCTGCCTGCCACTGCCGACCCATCTGCCTCCTTCACCACCTGCCCCTCCTCGCAGCCGAGAATGAACTTTGACGAGCAGCAACGCATGCCCCGTCCGGTGCCAGCAGCCTTTGGCTTCAGTCCCGCCACGCAAAGTGCGGACGCCTACCAGCCAGCCAATGGCTTTTCATCTGCCCCAGGCCATGGCTACCACTACCCCCAGCACGCCATGTCTTACGAAACCAACTACAAGCTCACCTGCCCTGCGCAGTACTCCCTCTCGACTTGCCCGCGTTCCTACAATGCCTTCAACTTCAGTGGCCTGCCCCACGACGTCTCCGTCACGGACTCGTTCCCGCCCAACGCCTATCACATTGAGCCGCCAAAGCATCATGATGCCATGGATCCATCAGATCATGAGATCGAAAGCCAGCTGATGCAGCTCAGCAACGACTATGATAATCCCCAATACGCCTGTCCCATCAAATTCGAAGACTACAATCACTACCAGAGTCCTTATTCTGACCCGGCACAAGGCTCTGCCCATCATGAAAAAGCTCTCGGACATGTGCGGGACCCTGACGCCGGAGATGCTGGAACATTCGACAGGGAGCAGCCGTACGCGCAGTTGATCTACCGTGCGCTTTTGAATGCGCCAAATCATACCATGATATTGCGTGACATCTACGATTGGTTCAGAAAAAACACAGACAGGGCCAGCAGCTCAGAAACCAAAGGATGGCAGAACAGTATCAGGCATAATCTATCAATGAATGGCGTATGTTGTCTTGCGGTCGTCTGGTCGACTAGTGGCTGACAGAGTGACAGGCATTCGAGAAAGTCGACCAGCCCGGCGACGAGGCGCGGAGAGGCTTCATGTGGCGCCTTACTGAGCAAGCGATTCGCGAGGGCGTCAAGTCGACAACGCGATACCGTAGCAAGCAACCCAACAAGCGCAGTAATCGCACTCATCAGCCCCAGCCCCAACGTCAGGCTTCTGGCGCAAAGGGTGGTCAAGCAGCCCGTCGTGCCGCGCGGTTGAAGCGATCTGCCCATATGCACGAAGCCTACCTCAGCGCTCAACCCATGTCGCGATCGGTCCCCACAGCCTTTGACCCCTCTTACCATCGCTACGGTTTCCCGTCCTCGGTTCCGCCTTCCCCATACACCGGAAGCGAAACTGATTTTGGCTACACATCCCAGAACAGCGATTTCCCAGACAGTCCTATACCGGATGGTTGCAACATGAATCTCTTCTCCTCTGCGTCATCTTACATGGGTAGCCCAATGTCGCAGGGCATACCTATTACTGACACGGCGTATCTGCTTCATCAGAGCTCGTCAGATAGCATTTTCACCAATAGCTCGAGTCCGACTGCCGATGAGCCGCGGACGCCATTGGACCATGCGGTATGGCAGGAGGACGTTGCTACGGGCCCAGCATGCATGTTTGATGATCAACTTGTTTACCGAGAAAATGCTGGCTGAGTGTGAATGCAGAGTGTAAGCTAAGTGTTATTGAATGGGCTTGGTCGAGGCGAGTTCATGTTCTTCTACTGCGTCTTGTAACGTGTTTCGATTGTTCGGTTTAGCAAGCATTTGGGTTTTCATCTTGGAATAAATTGTACATTTTTGTTGATTGAATAGATTACCAGGCTTTCATTGGCGCTTGCCATCCATCATCTGAGATCGAGTTCCACCACTTAGCAAGAAAGAGTTGTTGCTTTTTGATGACACATTGTCGGACTAGCTTCATTAACCGTTTTCATCCATGGTTATCTAGCCAACCACACACTAAAGGCGTCTTCTAGTATAGTTTTATTGTTTTCATGTAAGCGTTTTTTTTTGTAATCTATAGCGATGACGATACACGCATGGAGTCCATTCTAAAACTAGACGTTGCAAATGCCCTGTCACTTCTTCCCCCACTTTAACATCATCACCTTCACAAAACCCCACTTCCATCTTCAAGTCCACCGTCCATACCAATAACCCATCCCACATTTTTTTTGTTCACTCATCACGTCAAGTATCCCTCCCAATACCTCCTCTCCTATCCTCATCCCTAATCAAACAATAATCTAATAAAACCCCCTTCACTCTCCCAGCCAAAAACAAAAAACAATCACATACCCCCACATCATAAATCCACCCGTGCTTCATCTTTCCGCTCTACGACTCCGATCTCTCGGCCCATCGTCCGCCTCATCCCCAAGCGACGCGTGCCACAAATAAAAAACGGCTGTACAACAACGCACTGTTCCCTTTCACACCCGTTTCCCCCGCGAAAAAGTAGACGGATAACAACTAGTCGCTACTATCGCGGAAGCGGGTGAGAAGTCAAGGTCATACCTGTAACAAAAAGAAAGGTATTTGTTTGGTTAGGTGGTCAGACGGGGAATGTAAGGGCGTGTAGACGGGTGTTGAAGCGAAAGTGAAAAGGTTTGGGGTTGGGTTATTTTGTTCGGGGGTGGTGATGTTGGTGTTGCGTGGTATGATTGCTTCGCAACACAAATTGTGCGATATTGCGGTTTTTTGCAAATTAGACTGGTGATATCTCGGGGATGAGTGAGTTGTAGTGGGTGAGTTTTTTTCTTCTTCTTTAACTTCTTCCAGTGAGAGAAGATCCGAGGCTGATGTGAGATGGGGATTGTTTACGTGAGCATGAGGGAGGTTGGAAATGTGGTTTGAGATGGTGACTTTGGTGTCGCGGTGGTATAGCATATGGAAGATGATGTCCTTCGTGGTATTCACATGGTCGCGTAATGTGATGTTGATGTATTAGATCAGGCCTTGTTTATCTAGAGAGAAATGGATCGCGTTTTCTTAGTTAAACGTAACTAGTAGTGACTGTAAGGAACCCGCCATACCACAAAATAACTCCTCGCTGGGAATTACTCGCGTTGGGATCATACGAAAATTTAAGCTAGTTTTCTTACTACCCCGGCGATTCTAAATTTCCAAATTGGGCCCACAAAGTCTATTTCGTCTTGTTCTTACTTAGCTACCGGTACTGACTCGAGCAAATTGCAGTTGTCGGTCGCAATGGTAATAGTCCGGCGATGGTAACCTCTAGGCCCAACAGAGGCTCGACAGATAATAGACCTTACCAAATAGGACAGAATTTGACTTCGTGAACACCAACAAGAACAGTAACATTGTGTCTCAACGTTGATATAAGGTTGTCAGAATCCAAAACAGTGGACCTTGCCATATAGGACGGGCGGTGCCCTGGGCGGCTGACTCAGAGTACATACTTGAAGAATCTCACCGTTCTCGACAACTCGGACGACGCTTACACCGAAGAACCAACGCACGTTCATGCTCACAGCGGCGGCATCTCAATGACGGTCATGGGACGGGACATTAGGAAAAAACCCACCAATCTGCTGGGCCAAGTGGCTAGGGTGATGGGGAAAGCTTAGCTTTTCTTAGCTTAGCGCCACAGAAGTGGGCCTTTCTAGCCACTGTGGCCGTGAGGAGAGACTGGGATTACCGTGGATGGATCACCAATTCCTCCGCGCCCACGAACCTACTAACCTAAATGTCGAGATTAGGGGGCAAAGACCAGAGCCAAGGCCGCGGGTCCAACGGCTTGAGGATATTGCATGGGGGGTATTAATACCAAGCCCGCTGGCATGTCAACAAGACTGGACTGACAGCCGCTACCATCAATACTCAACTACAGCGGTTTCTGAACGGCTGCAATCATGCGTGTTACCGACATCATTTCGTGCGCCCTGCTACAAGCTTCGATAGCATTATCGAACCCAGTTGAAGAGCTTGGAACAAAGGCTGTTGCCGCAAAACACTTCCCACCCGAGCCGTTTCTCCCGTTTCTCTCGGGAAAGGCACCCTGGGTGCCGGGTTCCCGAAACAAGAAATGTATGCTCAAGGCTCGCGGTGGTGGCAAGGACGACTCGGCAAATATCCTCAGCGCTGTCAAGCGATGCAACAATGGCGGTCAGGTTGTTTTCCCCAAGGGCCAGCACTTCACCATTGGCACTGCCTTGGATCTTACGTTCCTCAACCGCATTGACCTCGGTTCGTTCAACCCCTGCAATGCCTAACTGACCCCACTAACGGCTCCCTCAGACATCCAAGGAACCATCCAGTTCACAAACGACACGGATTACTGGCAAGCCAATTCCTTCAAGCAGGTTTACCAGAATGCAACCACCTTCTTCCAGCTTGGAGGCGAGGACATCAATGTCTACGGTGGCGGTACCCTAGACGGCAACGGCCAAGCCTGGTACGATCTTTACGCCAAAGACATTTACATCCTACGACCCATCCTCTTTGGCCTGATTGGCGCCAAAAATACAAAGATCTCTGATCTCAAGTTCCGCTACAGCCCACAGTGGTACACCTTCGTCGCCAACTCGAGCGAAGTCGTCTTCTCCAACATTGACATTTTCGGCGACAGCAAGAGCACGAATCCCGCCAAGAACACCGATGGGTAAGTTTTTTTTTAAAAAAAATCTTCAACACGAGTTTGTCAGAAACTGACTATAAGGAATGTAGCTGGGACACCTACCGCTCCAACAACATCGTCATCCAAAACTCCAACATCAACAACGGCGACGACTGCGTCTCCTTCAAGCCAAACAGCACAAACATCCTCGTGCAAAACCTCGTCTGCAACGGCAGCCATGGCATCAGCGTCGGCTCCCTAGGCCAGTACCCCGGCGAAGTCGACATTGTCGAAAACATCCTCGTCCGCAACATCTCCATGTCCAACGCCTCAGACGGCGCACGCATCAAGGTCTGGCCTGGCGCCTCGTCCGCGCTCTCCGGCGACCTGCAAGGCGGAGGCGGCAGCGGCGCCGTACGAAACGTCGTGTACGACGGCATGATTGTCAACAACGTCGACTACGCGATTGAGATTACGCAGTGTTATGGACAGAAGAATTTGACCCTGTGCAATGAGGTACGTTTTTTTTTCGCCCTTTAGTCCCAAATCCCACCGTTGCTAACATAACAATGTAGTTCCCTTCCAACCTCACCATCTCCGACATCACCATTAAAAACTTCAAGGGCACAACCAGCAAGAAGTACGATCCCCTCGTTGGCTACGTCGTCTGCTCCAGCCCAAAGGTCTGCAGTGACATCTCCATTGAGAATATCAATGTCGAGAGTCCAAGTGGGACCAACTTGTTTACTTGTGCGAATGTCGAGGGAATTCAGAGTCAGGTTAACTGTACGGCGGAAGGGAACAAGGGTGGTAATTCTTAGAATGTCTGTGTCGGAAGAGGAAGTAATGTGTATATTTGAATCTGGATGATCATATTGCCAGTCTTTTGGAAAAAAAAAAACACAAAGAATCGTAATGGAACCGAAGCTGGAACTAAACCGAATAGTTAATACACGAAATATGAGAAATCTATGTGAAGAGAAAAAAAAACCCCACTCCTTCGAAAGCCTTTAAAAAAAAGAGACAATTTCTTGGAAAGGAAAGAGGAAGAGAAAAAGAAAGTGGATATCATCAGCATGGTTGCCCCCCATAAACGCCTAGCTAGTAGGAAACCAAAAAGAAACCTCTGTCATCCGCCTCCAATTCCGCTTGCATACACAAACAACAAAAGGTCTATCACTGGTATGAAAGAAAAGAAAAGAGTACAACTAATAAAGTTAGGTCAAACAACAGCTCGCTTCAACGCTTTCCAAACCCATTAGCCATCTGCTTCTGGACATACTTGGCGCCCTCCTTCTTAATAATCGGCAGCGCATAATCCTTAAACATACCGAGGGCCTGCTTCTGCCACTCAGGCTTAGCCTTGCTGTCCCTCGTGCTCCTCCTGCGATCGCCATAGCGGTCTTCATAGTCATCATAGTATCCGCGTCGATCGCGCGGTGGAGGCCTATCATCATAGCGCGTGTCACGGCGGGCCGGGCGACTGTTGAACATGTCGTCGTAGCGGCGGTCGTCATCGTAGCGGTGGTGGTCATCGCGGTGTCTGCGATCCCTGTCGCCACGAGATTTCTCACGGCGGTCGCGGTCGGAGTAGTAAGGGTCGCGGTCGCGGGGCCTGCGGTCGGATTTGTAGCCTTCGGACTTGTAGCCTTCGGATTTGTAGCCGTCGCGGTCGCGGCGGCCGGACTCGCGGTGGCGACGCCGAGGGTAGTTTTCGTCGTACGAGTCGTAGGTGTCCTCGCGGGCGTGGCGGGGGCGCTCGTCGCGGCGGTGGCTGCGGCGAGGTGGGGGTGGGCCGCCTGAATCGGAGTCGGACGAGTATGAGGGCTGTCTGCGATGATGGCGGGGTCGAGAGTCTCGAGGTGCGTCTACAATACTGTCAGCTGAAAGGTCAGGATGGACAAGTGAATTTGACCAAGTACCTCTAGGTGGTGGCGGTGCTCCTTGTCCTGGCGGCGGGGGTGGAGGATATGCACCCTGTGCTTGTGGCGGTGGAGGTGGAGGCGCTTCATCTTCGTCGTATCTGTTTCTACGAGGACGACGATGATCTCCTCGCCGGTTGTCGCGGTACTCATGGTAGTCACGCTGGTGGTCTTTGCCAGGCGCCCATTTTGGCTTGCCGTTCTCGTAGTTGTCGAAGACGTAAGTGGAATCTGCTGCACAAAGTTAGCATGCTAACAAATCATGCTCGGGAAACTTCTTCTTACATGGCGGGGCTCCCATGGGGGGAGGGGGAGGGGGCGAAGGTTGTCTCTCACGGCGTCCCATAGTTTGATGGTGAAGAGTCGAGGTGGTGGTTGTGCTGGGGTGGTGGAGTTAAAAGATAGCGCAGGCGGCGGCGAGCATCTGACACTTAAACCACGGGAGTAGGGCAGTGTGGCAGCAGTGAGCTCAGGTCAATCTCACAAGACACCATGGCGTCATCTGGGCGGAAATTCCCAAGCTGGCAATAGGCAGCGTCGCATTGAGAAATTTTGCGGGCCCTTGGACGCATTTCGAAGCTTCGCGTGGGTGGGTTGGACGTCCGACCAGGCTGTGTTCATGTAGGCTGCGATCATCGTGCATGGGTAGTGCGCCTAGGCGGCCCACCACACACAAGCCTCAGCCCTCCACGACTGTCGACTGGCTCTGTGATGAAATGGGCCCGTTCCCCCCGCATGTCGCGCAGCATCAAGGGGAAGATCAGGGTCTTCCGGAGAATAGGCTGATGGGGCGCGCATATACTAGACTCATACGTGGTGTGGTTGCAGTGGTGTCGTGGAAGATGATCTATCTAGGTGTGGTGTGGGGGGTGCCTAAGGCGATTACATACTACAGTCCACTGTAACTAGTTAACTAGTACTCTACTACACTAGGAGGCACTGCACCGCCACAACACCGGAGCTCCCCGTTCTCGTGCCCACCAGAGGTAAGTATCCTGACCTCCAGCCACTGTGGCGCGGTCATCACCGGAGCGGTGTGCGTGAACTTTTGAGTCGGTCCGCTAGCTAGTGACCCTGTTGTGTATCTGCTCTTTACATCATACCTTCTTTACATCATACTCAACATGCACTTTGTCGTCACAGCATATAGTAGGATATTCCCTTCAGCTTATGTTGATCGCGCCGACTTCACCGTCTCTTCCCCCTCCTCTCATGCTGCACGTGCTTCTACTGAACCTTGAATCTGCAGTATACAAGCTAGCAGCCTCACGGCTATCATTTCTGGAGTAGTTCGGGGGCGCTGCAGAGCAGAGCAAGGATAGAATCGTATTGCATGTGATGTTCGGAAACCCCAGCTAATCAGATGAGTTCTTCTACTATCCAATCAGCTGACTCCCTTCCAGGCTGCCACTATTATTCAGGCACCCTGAAGGAATCATTTTTGCCATCGCCCAGCTATCTAGTCTACATGTATCCTGCTTAGCTATGCTCTACGCGCAACCTGAAAGCTAGGCTATCAGAACACCAAAGTAGCCCCCCTTCGATCGCCCCTTTCAACAAAAAAAAGTCCATGTTAATACTCCTCACATTCATCATATCGCGCAAACTTGAATTGAGGTAAAAATATTCATTATCATATTCTTAAATAGCATTACTCATAATCCTCCTTTTCTAATCCTACATCATCCATATAATTACTCATACCTCAACCCATATCCGAACCTAAAGTATGGGTCCAAAGTATCAAACGGCACATCCTCCTTCTGCGCACTAGCCGCCTCGTCGCTCCTAGGCAGATCAAACGGCAGCTGACCCTCCGGGCCACTGCCATCAACACCAAACACAACATCCAGGAATGCATCTTCGCTAGCGCCATAGTTGACCATGAGGGCTGACGCTTGCTCAGCGATCTCGGGGAACGCACCGGGACGGTCGAGGAAGACGTCGACGACGGTAGGCACGGCAGCGTAAATAGCTGCCTGGCGGGCTTTTTCCGTAGCGTTGTATTCAAGCGAGCCGGAGTGGTAGTTGGCCTCGAAACCGCCGGGACGCGGCTCGTACGGCGCTACGAGGCGCAGGAATGCATAGTCTGCCTCTTCGGGCGTAGCTACGACTTCAAAGTTGCGCGAGGTAAAGAACGTGCTGTTGATGCCCTCGACGTAGAACTTGGCCTTTTCGCATTCGGAGGGGGAGAGGGGGAGGAAGGAGTCTTTGTTTGTGAGGAGGGTGAAGGAGCGCTTTTGGGCTTCGAAGCCGATGGCGCGCCATTCCTCTTTGCCGACGACGTCGACGGCGGCGTCGGCATCGAGGAAGCGTTTTTCGTCGAAGAGGCCGAGGAGGAACTTTTCGCGGAGGAGACGGCGGATGGAGGCGTCGATGCGGGATTCGCTGATGATGCCCTTCTCTACGAGCTCGAGGATGAGGTCGGTGCGGTCCTCGCCGCCCAGTTGATCGGTTCCTGCATTGAGGATCTTCTCAGTGCGTTGGAGCTCGGTGAGGTTCTCAGCTCCCCAGGCTCGGGCGGGCATGTCTTGGCCCGCGATTATCGAGTCAGTGACGAGACCCCAGTCGCTGACCACGATGCCGTCGAAGCCGAGCTCGCCGCGCAGAAGATCAGTGACGATTCCCTTGTTCATACCAGCAGCGACCTCCTCGTACTTGGTTCCCATTGGGCGAGAATAGTAAGGCATCATCTGTCGTGTTCCCGCAGCAATAGCGGCCTTGAATGGGATAAGATGGTGTTCAAAGTTTTTGCCGGGGTATGTGGCATTCTTGCCATAGGTGAAGTGACTGTCCTCGCCACCCTCAACTGGACCACTGCCTGGGAAATGCTTCGAGACTGTCGTGACCGAGTCGTATCCAAAACCGTCAGGACCAGTGAATCCCTCAATGTATGCAACAGTCAGTTCAGCAGTCAGAGTGGCATTCTCGCCCATAGTGCCACCAATACGGGCCCAGCGGGGCTCAGTGGCGACATCGATTTGAGGGTGTAGGGCAGACCGGATGCCAACAGCATTGTACTCTTGTCGAGCAATATCAGCAAAAGTGCGGATAAGCTCAGCATCTCTGATTGCGGCTAGACCAAGCGTCTGGGGCCATTGTGAGAACTTGGTTGCTGCAATCTGACTGCCTTCGGCGCTGGTGAATGCATGACGCGGATCTGAGGAGATTGTGACTGGAATGCCTAGTCTTGTGTCTAGCGCCAATTGCTGCAGGTTGTTGTACCATTGCACAGTGGCGCGTACATCCGCAATCGGCCCGTGGAGGTTGAAGTGGGTCATGAGCTTGCCCGCTACAGCCTCCGTCGTGGTGTTGAGGAGGGTTCCGTTCGGACCTTGGTTGATGATGTTGTGGAAAAGCTGGCCTGCTTTCTCCTCAATAGTCATCCGTTTGACAAGATCGTCGACTCGTTCATCAACTGAAAGGCTTGAGTCTCGATATGGTGCAGAGTCCATCTCGGTAGACCGTGATGTCATACGAGGATATGTTGATTTGCCAAACGATGGTGTGCGAATTGCCGATGACATAGCTGTTGCAGCAAAGAACAGCGTGGTGAAAGTGTTCAGCTTGCGCTGACTGCGATTGCGAGCGACCATCTTGCCGGCAGTGAGGAACAAGGCACTTTGGGGACAGTGGCGAGGGATGCAATTGACTATTCGTTGAGCAAACCACAACCCGATATTTGTATTCCAGCCTCACATTGCTCGCTATCCATTACTCCGCCTTCCTTGGCTATCATGGGTGCAAGAGCCAAGAAACTACCATAGGTGTTTTCTTCTTGGGGAATCTTCGGATACACCAAGTATTGGCTTGGGAGGTAAGTAGTCCAACAACCCACCTCGTCGTTGTGCTTGGCGCCAACCGTTTTGCCTGCCATCGAACCCGAAGACGATGCCAAGACGTGGAGTGTGGAGTGCAGTGTGGGGAGCGCGTGGTCGGGGGGAAAGCCCCCGAAGCTAGCCAAAGCTTTGCCAACCGAAGATGTACCGGCAGATTCGTGATTGGACGCATGACCATGCTATATGGGCAACAAAAAGATTTTTATATCGTGTTGGTAATAGTTTCCGAGGCCCAAGAAAAATACGCCTCTCCCCACATTCCGGTACTTACAGACAGCCATTCAGTGTAGCCGGCAACCCAGAACCTGGTCTTGTTGCCCTCTTCCAATCTTAAGGATGAGTAAACTCCACCCAGCATGTGTGCTCCTAGCGGGCGTTAGCACATGTCAGAGGCTCTTAGTGGAAGCACCAACCGTCATCCCCGGGAAACTATCATCGGCAAACGCTTCAATCCCACATGTGATACCCGGCGCCGTGTTTTCTTGTCCCGGAAGCACCCTCGACCCGCATTTCCGGTACAGTGACGGGACTAACGCCATCTCCGCTATGGCGAGGCTAACACGTCAGTAGTAGATTCACCGAGGAACACAGCAAAAGGTCACTCATTGCATGCCGACGCACATGCGAGCGCCACTCGACAAAGCCCAGAACCATCTCTCCATCTCTTGCTAGCTCATTTTTGTCCACGTTCAGCCATCGTTCAGGCCTCCAAGTGGACGAGTCAGGGATCACATTCTCGTTCCGATGTCATGAATAAGGCGCCATACTGCATACTGTACCCTACGGGATCTTGTAACCGTCATCTACCGTGACCGCTCTGTTCAATCTTGGCTCGGATGAGGGCAGTGGGGCAAAAAAGGCAAAACGTTTCCTTGACAACTGCATTCAGGGACGGCATGCTCTCCGCCGCAACCCTTATGTTCACGCCACCGTCAGTGATGCCGTCATCGGTATAGATTTGCACTATTCAATCAACTTTCCCTGCCCATGTGCATTCCGAGGCAGGGATAGACTCCAGAGTGAGGAACATCAGAGTGTCGCTGGTCGTTTCAATGCCAGCAAGGAGGTGGTCTGCACATCCATTAGCAATATCCAGGTCATCCATGCTGGTGCTGGATTTCGACTCTGAAGTATATAGCTCACTGATCTGATAATGGACTTGTTCGCTTCGGCACGCAAGATTTCACCCGCATCGTGATAGGCGTGCATCGATCTTGGTGCGTGCGCCCGGATCCCGGAGTAAGTTGCGGGCTTGGCCATGGGTAGGAAAGGCCGAATAACGCTCTCAGCCAGCCCCGTTCGAGTGTACATCCATTTCGTGAATGAGGACAGATGGAATGCAAACCATGATAGTCGGTGGCGAGTATGGTTTATGATATCGTCCAGTAATTTAACATGTTCTGGTGTTCATTTTAGAACGATGTTCCAACCGAAACTTGGAGTCCCATACAAGAAAGTGGTGATGATGTCGATTGAGTAGTAAGTAGTGAAGCGCCGAGAAGATCTCCAAACCGCCTCTACGAGAGTCGTCCGTTGCCACCAGTTTCAAAAAATACTTGGTCTTCGCTTGCACGATTCCTTCGACTTTGTACGGGGTAAGGGCCGCCTTTTGAATACGGGCGAGCTACCAGTCGCTTTCTCTGTGCGTGCTCTTCCCTACTTGCGAATGTAAACACATTCTTCCTCCCGTATGTACCGAACATCCGACAGAATTCAGTGCACTCGAATCCACTTCCTGCACCGTAAATGGTACGTAATGCCGAGAGAGAGTTGAAATGCACTTCGTTCGGCCCGATACGCACCACTGGTCCGTACTTTAGATGCAGGGCATGAATCTTGCGTGTCTGCTGGCCGGTCCAGTCGTCTCATTCAAGTCGCCACTTGGTGAGGGCATACCACCTGGGACCCGGGATACTTGACAAGGGACCAAAGAAAAAGGGACACCGGATATAGCTGTAAAGGAATGCCATCAATGCTACCGGGACAATCCATGGCGCAAACACGACCCAAGACATTCTTGCGTCTGTTGTATGATGTCAACAATCTGCTGAAGACTGCGATACCCAGGTTTGCATTGCTTATAGCAGCGATGTCTTATGTGGCTTGCCGGGTTGTCGGTCGAGGCCTGTGATATAGTGATGCTAGCAAGCTTAATGAGCAGGTAAACGTTTGCAGTGAGAATACTCAAAGATTTACCACTAACACATAGAGAAGGTTGAATCGCTATTCCTAGCTTCTTGTATGTAGATCGGAGCATGATCAAATTACCAATCTTGGGTTAAGTAGTCCTGATTGCTGGTAAGGCGCTATCATAAGTGGGGCAGGTAGTAAGTAGGGGTCTCCCCTTCCGAAACGTTGCAACGGAGCCTCAGCACTAGATGGACATCGACATCAGCGGTGAGTTTCGTGGCTTCAACTACCTTGAACCGCCCAGTTCTTTAATCATCCGCCTCCTCCGGCCCCGATAGAATCGCTCCAGCATCTTCCTCCTTTCTTCTTGCGTACTACTTTCCACAAGCAGGGCAAACTCAACTGGATCATCAAACCCCATACTCTCCGCCATACTGCAGAACTGACGTTTCCGCACCCGTTCATTAGGTCTGTACCGGTAGTTGATCTTGAACTCGCCAGGAGTAGCAGCCGCAACCATCTGCCCGTCGTGGTCATCTTCGTTTTCAGAATGAATGTCGTGCTCGACCCCCGGTTGATTGAAAAGATGCCGTGATTGCGATTGCGAGGCTTGGAACACCCGCTCACTTGCGAGATCGATGTCGTTACGTAAATCCATAGCTTGTTTACCTAACCGAGCCTCTATCTCGCTGCGCCCAATGACTTCGGAATTTTCGTGGGTATATTCCACACCTGCTTTGGCAAGAATAGCGTTGATTGGATCAGACCCTCCGCGTCTGGTCTTCCTGCATGGCTTGCTGCCAACACTGGAAGTCGAAAGGAGTGAGTCTGCAAGTTTCTTTATCCCAGCAATGTTGGCATCGTCATCAATGCCAAGATTCTTGTTCGAAAGTATGTCTTCGTCTTCCGAGTCGAACTGCGATTCATCGACGTGAAAGTCGTAGGCATTTACACCGGCTTTGGACTCAGCTACGTTGGTCTTGTGCATAATGTCGCGAAGTAGCAGATTGTCTTCTTGAAAGCTGAACAGATTTTCGAGACCGAATATCTCACCCTTTTTGCTAGACTCATCCATTACGCCTTTGAAGTAGCGACGCTCCTCGGAAGCATTGTAGCCAATGTTGGCTTGTTGCTGCTTGTAAATCTGACGAGCATACACGACTTCCTCAATGGTGCCACTCGACACCAGGCGAAATACTTCAACATTCCTCGTCTGGCCAATGCGGTAGGCGCGATCCTGTGCTTGAAGATCGTACGCTGGATTCCAGTGAGGGTCCATCACAACGACCTTGTTGGCAGACGTGATATTGAGGCCGACACCACCAGCCTTGGTAGATATTAGAAACAAAAATTGGTTGGGGTCTGCGTTGAAGTCTCCAACGGCTTGCGAACGCTCCTCATACTTCATGCTGCCGTCGAGATACGAGAAGTTGTACTTTGTGCCATCGACATCGAACAAGCCTCTCAGCAGGCGCAAGAGGCGGACCGAATGCGAAAATATAAGGACCTTGTCGCCATTCGAGTGCCAGAAATCCAACAGACGCTTCAATACCTTCCATTTCCCACAAAATTCTCTTTGTGACTGTACTAGAATGTTGTCACGGATTCGGAAGAGATCTTTGTACGTATCGGGACATGCCAACTCCAGTGTCTTCAAGTCTTTGGCTTGTTTCTCTGCAGAATCAGTTGATAGTGGCACGATGAGGGCAAGATGGTTGGCGAGTTTCTGGAAAGTAACCATGCACGGGAAGATGAAGGCTGCCCATTTCTCATCCTCATCCGGGACGTTGACGTGACAGCAATAGCCTCTTCCTCTCCCCGATCCGCAGCCGCATTCTTCCCTTGCAGTGCGAATGAACTCACATCTATCACTCTCGAGAAAAGTCCGGTATGCATCAGCTTGAGTTTGAGTAAGCTGGCAGAAGACGACGCGATCACTCTTCTTAGGCAGTTGGTCGGCGATCAGAGTCTTCATTCGTCGGAGAAATACGCTTGGTAGGATCTTCTGAACGAGGTCCTGAGCCCGGCTTCGCGCATCAGCAAGCTGAGCATTCGTAGCATCGTGAGCCTGGCCCATCTTCAGCGGAAGACTGATCTTCTGCTTCCACTCTTGAGATGAACCATACGCTCCAGGCCGCGCCCAGTTGAGAAGGTTCCAGATCTCTTCGTACTTGTTCTGGATTGCAGTACCGGTAAGGCCAATACGACAAAGTGCATTGATCTTGTTCATAGCTCGTGTAATCTCCGCATTCTTACTCTTGATCTGGTGGCATTCGTCTGCAATCACGCAATCCCAATCAACTGTGTTGATCTCGCTCTCGTTGTTACGGTAAGTGGTGTATGTCGTAATCATAATCTCCAGCATCCCCTTTGCCGCAGCACCAAGGACGCCCTTGCGATCTGCTGCGCTGGAGCCATGGTACCTATACACTTCCCACCAACCCCACTTTGACAGTTCGTCCTCCCAGTTCTGCATCAGCGTGCCAGGGCAGACAATGAGGACGCGAGGATACCATCGATTCTTGTCAAAGCGACGGATCTTACGCATACACTTGGCGTCACGTTCAGTGCCCGTCTTTCCAAAAGCGGCTGTCAGGAATGCAATGACTTGAATCGTCTTACCCAAGCCCATATCATCGCCAAGTATGGCACCTGTTTGCTTTACAAATTTTTCGTGTAGAAATTGGACGCCTTCCACTTGGTAGTCACGCAGCCATTGCGCGATAGGCGCCGGTATAACACCTTGCGACCCATGAAGCTTGATGTCTTTCTTTTGTCTCTGCGGGTTGATCGCTTTGTCTAGTTTTGGCTTTTCTGCCGTTTCCGAGTCGGAAAAGTCAATATTTTGGTAACTGGGAGGGTACCGTAGACCAGCTTCGTGGAGTTTTCTGAGACCTTGTTGTCTCGAGAGTATGTAGTCAGGGATTGGATCATCCAGAAATGCTGTTGCGGCACTGTCATCCGCTAAAGAGTCGGTGCTGAATCCAGTACGACCATCACCCTGACGCTTTCTGGAAGAAGCCTTCCGGCCCACGATGCTTGCAGCAGCTGCGGCTTTTGATTTCTTCTCGGCACGAATACGGTTGGTTTCAGCAGCCACGCGCTTTCTTTTGAGGGTTTTGCGCTCTTTCCAGTTTTGGTACACAGCTCTGGTATCTTCTTCAGACCACTCAGACTCTTCACCAGCGCCGTTGGTATCAGAATCATTTGCGTTCTCGGCCCTTGAGTCCGGGAGCTGCTGGAAAGCTTCATCATCCTCTGTACTTGACTCTTCCGCGCCCTTTTCTTTGCGCTCTATATCTACGCTCTGCATCTGAGTTTGAGTTTGCGCCAGGACTGGAAATCGTCAGTATCTTGATTGATGTAGGCTGATATCCACTGACCGTCAATATACTGCGAAATATCTAAATCTTTACGCGATGTCTTTATGATATCAAGGCCATCATCATCAGTATCACTACCATCCATCTCCTCGCTTTCGGCCACAGCTCTCAGGGCTTTCTGCTGACCCTTTGACTTGTCGCGATTTGATGTCATGACTACTACTACCAGATTTCGCTACGAAAGCGCCGGTCATATGGGGTGATTTGCACCTTTGCCAAGGCGGTTGAACGAGCTGGTACCTGGAACTAAAGGTCGCACAGGCATATTGCTAGCGACAAGTGACGGATGGTACAAGGTAAGGGAGCGCCGCTTACGACAAACGCGCTAACGCGTCCTCACGTGAGAGCGGGGCCCCGCTTGTCTGCAGATCGCTGCAGCATGGATCAAAATATCATAGCCTCCAGCTTTCCAAACTTGCATCATCATCGCAATCAGCCATTCTACCCGGAAACTCCAGCACACCACGACCTGGCCAGTCGCCCAATACTCTCACCAACCAGTCTGCGAGGGAAAATAGAAAAAATCATTCATACTCATAATAATCACCCACAATGCCCCTCGACACAAGCACCTACTCGCTCGCGCTCCTCCGCCTCGACGGCCGCCGCTGGAACGAGCTCCGCCACATCCACGCGCAAATCTCCACGCAAGCCGCCGCAGACGGATCCTCGTACCTCGAAATGGGCAACACCAAAGTCCTCGTCTCCGTCACCGGCCCCGCCGCCGAAAGCAAGCAAGGCGGCGGCCAACGCGGCGGCATCAGCAACGACAAACTAGCGAAAATCGACGTTGAAATCAACTTTGCGGGCTTCAGCGGCGTGGACCGCCGGAAGCGCAAGACGGACAAGAAGACGAACGAGATGGAGCATTGCTTGCGGTCGGCGTTTGAAGGCGTGCTGTCGCTGCATTTGTATCCACGGTCGACGATTACGATTCATGTCCATGTTGTGTCGCAGGATGGGTCGTTGCTGGCCGCGTGTCTGAATGCGGCAACGCTGGCGCTGGTGGATGCGGGCATACCGATGACGGATTATCTAGTTGCGTGCACGGCGGCTTCGTCTGCGTCGGCAGAGGCGGCGGATAATGCGTCAGCGGATGATCCGCTGCTGGACTTGAACAATCAGGAGGAGTTGGAGTTGCCGTTTTTGACGGTAGCGACGCTGGGGGAGAGCGATGATGTGGCTGTGTGTGTGATGGAGAGCAGAGTTCGCATGGAGAGGTTGGAGAGTATGCTTGCTGTGGGGATCGAGGGATGTAAGAGGATGCGCGGGATATTAGATGATGTTGTAAAGGGCTATGGAAAGCGATTTGGATGAAAGAGGGGGTATGGTGCTATTTTCAACTTAATACGTGTCGAGCGCCGTAGAGTGTCACTCAGCACTCAAGACACAAGGCCGACAGCAACCCGCAATGGCCAAGAAGATTTGTGGCTAGAGCCGTAGGCGATGTGAAAAGAGGTGGCGTGCCTCAAGTCTCCAGGAGGATCTGCTTCGCAGCAGTGCACTCAATGAAAGAGGTTGCTAGAGCGGGGCTGGATGAAGGAATGAAGGGCTTCAGCACGACGTGTAAATCGTTGGAAGCTCGCAATTGAAACTACAAAGTCATTTGATCGAAATCACTCGATTTACACCCCAAAGCCACTTAAGCGTTTCCTATCTGTGCGCTCCAGTCTGGACCTGTCTAACGCACCACACACCATTACCAATGCTTCAACAAAGCTGACTGATGATATCCAACTCTCTTTCGAACAGGTCTTAACTTCGCACTGCGGTCCTGCTACACGACCAGTTAGTAACATGCCTCTCATCTACTATTATCTTACAGCAAGTAGTCCCCAGTGCAAAAGGACCATTGTCACCACGATGCAAAACTCCAATCCACCTGCTGCAACATGCGATCGCCTCCTACGTACGGTGGAGACAGCAACAAGGAAATCTACCTTACCAGCATAGGATGATTGAAGAAGCCAGTACGCTCAAGAACATCATGAACAGCCTCAATAGCATCTTCTCCCGCATCAAGCGATACGGCTCCGACCATGGCTTCGAATGCGTCCGCCATCATGTTCTTCGTGACGTGTATGCCAGATGCCGGGACAACAAAAGCGTCGAGGCCGAGCTTGAAGCCGCGCACTGCGAGAGCTTCGTTCGAAATGAGGGATTTGTGAATGTCATTCCAAGTTTTTACTGGACTGGCATGGCCTATCATCTTGTTAGTCTTTATCAATGACGGTGGATATGTAGTGTGGCTGGATATGTACCATTCTGATTGCGGACCTGATACCATCTTTGTGATAAGACAAGACCCATGATCTTGTCGCCGACAAGCTCTAGGCGTCTGTTATGTACAATACTGTACTCACGGCCTCTGATGCTGAGAAGCGCTTCTGGGGCTGCCATTTGGACTGACTCTGCGCAAATGATCTTGTTCTTGAAGCAGTAGTCGAAGACCTTTTCAACGCCGGCAATCTTGCGATCAATGTTGATCGTGGGAGTGTTGTAACTTCGCTGCGGAGTTGTTTGGAAATAGGCGCACAGGAAGGGGTATCGCGATTTGAAAGGGATTGCTGTTACTTTGGACGCCGCATATCGAATCAGTAGTGGCCAGCTGCTATACCTCATCATATTAGGCGATACCATAGCGAGGGGTTCTGACGAAGGCGAAAGAAAGCGGTATAGCAGGTACTTGTGGTTGGAAAAGGCAGTTGTAAGAAATGAGCGTATATTCATGCATAGGCAACAAAGAAGTAAAAGCCAAAACAGCATCGTTTGCTCTGACAAACAACAAAACGTGTCATGTTGAATGACAACTGCGGTTGATGACGCGTGTTTGCTATTGCGACTCAAAGTGGGCTTTGCTCGGCAAACCAGCAGACAGTAGACCAGTAGGACGTCGTTAAAAGGACTGTTGATAACCACTCATTAGAAACCATACGAAAGATTGCACTCGGTCATCCCATCGTCGCAGTTGATCACGTAGGTCCGCAGATGGCTTGATCTAGAGTGCACTCTGTAAGACCGCGCCATGTCTACAAAAGCAACAGGAGGGCGATTCATAAGGAATTTCAACGCTATATTCAAATCCCAAATGAGATTCGACGCAGGAAAAGGTCCAATGAACCGTCCGGCTATTATTTAGGGAGACTTGGAGCTGACTTCAAGGGTAGTATCTCGAAGAAGACATGAAAGGATCTAGTAGAGTCTTAATTAGTGCATAGCAAGCTGCTGATCAGGTTGGGGGCGAGGATGAAAGGAATCAAGACGTTACCGTTAAAAGGATGTGGTCGAAGAATCCAAGATGCTGCATGACATTGTGAACAGCAGCGTCTCCTCCATCTTCGTGGACTGCTCCAACGATGGCCCCGAGGGTCGCTGCGACCATTTTTGGAGATACGATTGGTGTGCTACTAGCTGTAATGACGACCTTGTCAATTCCAGCATTGTAGCCTCGGCGAGCCAGTGCATCATTGGAGATCACATCGTTGCGCAACTGCGTCCACTGTGCTGGGGATAGGGTCTCGTCTGTTGTCGTAAGCAGTGCAGCCTAGCAAGAGCAAGGGGCTTGTAATTTACCATACGACCCACGCATTCTGAACCACGCACTGCAAAGTTCTCTTGCAAGGACTGCCTCTCCCAGGATTGCTAGCCTCTTGTTGTTATGCAAAGTCCTGACTGCGTTACCCTCAATAAAAGCAACGTGTGGCGCTGCCATTTGAGCTGCCTCGGCGGCAAGGAGTTTCTTGGAGAAAACATAGTCGATGATCATCTCGATTTCCGATGCTTTTGATATGAAAGGAGTTGACATTGTTGCGTGGAGAAGGTCTGTGTAGTCAGTCAATGAGGTGGGGGTGAGAGCGAGAAGGAAACAATGCGGGGTAGATGAGGTATCGGATAGTAGAGTCGAGTAGTTGAAACGCAGACTAGAGCCAAGACAGCACTCTACATGGTCTAATCTGATACTGGCGTGCGCGCAATCATGCTGGGGATTATGCGAGGGGATTATTATCAAGGATGCCGATGCGTAGCCCAGTCAGATTTTGGGGGCTGGGTTGGGCGCAGTGCTGTGGTTGGGGCGCGGCCATCACAGGGCACCTGGAGATCGCAGCTTCCCGTTTCTGGGGATGGTTCACTCGGTTCACTCTGGCCGTTCTACCACTAGCTCGGATGCGGCTTAGCGGCTTCCTACGTCATATGCAGAAACACTGGAAAACCGGCGTGGTGGACGAGTGGAAGGCGGCCAAGAGGGGGCGAAAATACGCTATGAAAACGGGTGTTTCCAGTATCCGCATCGCCGGATTCTGGTCAAGTCCACCAAGACGGCTATCCCGGAAGCACCAAACCACAAAGAATACGAAACTAGTCATTTGCCATGGCAGAGGAGTTCGTGGTACGTGGCCTATGTATCCTTGCTGTGCTGGTGCTAAGTACTGCACTCTTGCGAAGTCTGCTGATTGGTTGCGTCGATGGTATATAGGAGCTCGGGTTCGAGGGCCTTGATAGATTTGCAAATCGCTACTGGGACCGAACCTATGATCATCTACCAAACATACCAAGACCAAGAAGAAACAGATATCGCCAGCAGCAAAGACAGCTACCGTCCGGGCAAGCACCACAACACCCTGACAAAGGCTACGAGTCATCAAGTCCCATTTCGGACGACGTATACGGCTACAAGTCTGACCCTGAAATGTATGGGCCAGACAGACAGGACGGGTATGCAAGGGACCAGCGGTACCGCGAGGCCGAGCAAACGGACTACATGCACACAGCACCGGGGCCAGGATTCAGAGTGCCTCGCCGTCAGGCTGAATACGACAGTGGGCGGAACACGCAACTAGAAGTGCGTTGTCTTTGCGATGAGGCATGGATCGATAGCTGACTAAAAACAGCCATATGGGCAAGCCGAAGAGCAAGGTTATTATTATGGCCGGCCAGCGCCATCCCGAAGACGGTCTTCGTGGTCTCCGCCGCGCTCCCGGGTGCGAGGAGGGTCGGAATCACGACAGGTGCGCTCTCGGTCGCGGTCGCAGTCGCGGCCACAGTCTCAATTGGCACACGACGATGCGAAGAACCGGCTCATTGCAACCATTGGAGGGGCATTGGTGGGTGGGCTTGCGGGCAACCAAGTAAGCAAACACAATGGCAACAAGTACGATACTGCGGCAACGCTTGCCGGGGCCATTATCGGAGGGGTTGGCGCCCGGGAAGCAGCCGATCACTGGGACAAGACGCGACAGAAGAAGAAGCAACCAAAGGGAGAGGGGTGGGAGGGTGAGTATGGAAACGGACACGGTCGCAGAAACGAACGATGGCAGGAGGGGGGCAGGTGGGACGACGAGGACAGGCGGTATTAGTAGGGGGTCGTCAGGTGCAGGTAGTGTACAAGAATACGCATGTACACAAGCCTGTCCACGTGCTCATGACATGTCGGCGAGGAGATGGCGTGTTGGGCGCTTGCTCGTGGTTTTGGCCACGGCGTATATACAGAGTGCAGAGGCTAGGGAATCCGGAGGTCAGTGGCAGGGGCAAAGTTCAATTGCTTGTTGCGGGAATGACGTGCGACGAGCGGGCGCCTTGTCTGCGACATGATCTGATGCGGCGGCGAGGGGGCCGTGCAATGGGGGCCACGGGGGCCATGGGGCGGCTTGAGAGCCCGCGGGCGCAGCGGGGTGGTGGGTGTCGTTCGCAAGCAAGCACAGTGGCGGTCTCGGGGGTGGGCTAGTGGTGATGGTGGTGATGGTGGTGGTGGTGGTAGTGGTGGTGGTGTAGCAGGGCAGGAGGAGGGCACGAGCTGGCAGGGCAGGGCAGGACAGGGCAGGCCTGTCGTCCGTCCGTGCGCCCGTTTCGAGAAGGCCGAGTAGAAGGTCGGTCAGCCATTGCCAGCAGCCAGGGCGGGACTAAAGCCTCGTCCCGCACTCGCTCCATCCTCTATTCTCTCCGAAAAGCACGACGGGCCTGCAAGACGGTGGCCACGACGCTGAAAATAGCCTACTGTGCTGCACAGCCATACCCACTCCTACACCCTCTGCCGCCCGCCCCTTGCTTTGCTCAGTGCGTCCCGCCCGCCGGTCAAGCGTGGCAGGTGTTGCAGTGGCCGTCTAGCGGCAGCTTTGTTCCACGCCATCCATTGCATCTGCTACTGACCGCCCGCCGGCATACCGCCCTCTCCCCATTGAGCGCCTGCACAAACCCTCGCCCTCCACCTCGCCCCCAGCGCCCTCGCCCCAGCCAGAGCCACCGCAAACCACCATGAGCTGAGCCTGCCCCGCCATTCTACCCCTTCGACTCGCCCGCTCACAACCACACCGCCGCCGGCTACCCAACGCCTGCTGCCCCTCCCCACTGCGAGCCCGCGACGGCCGCCTCTGCACCAGCTATCGCGACTCCCTCAACGCGTCTCCGCCCACCGCCACCACCACCGGCTCCCTCTCCTCCCACGCTCCCACGCCCCAATCACCGCCTCCATGCGCCGATACAGGCCGGGCGGTGGCCCAGTCCGCGCTCATGGAGGCGTGCCCGTCCCAGACCCCTTCGCCATGGTGCGCGCATACGATAGCGACTCCAATCCTGCCAGGCCCATCCGTCCCTCGCCCCTCGCTGCCTCGACCATCCAGGGCCTCCCGCTAGACCTGCTCGACCGCCTGCGTTCCTTCCCCCTCTTCCAAGCTGCTCCCGACTCCTTCCTCGCACAGGTCGGCCTGCACCTGAAGCCGCAACTCTATCAGCCCCATGACACAATTCTCACCGAGGGCGAGACGGGCAAGGCCATGTACTGGCTGGTCCGCGGTGCTGTGCGCGTCACCTCGCGCGACCAGGAGAGCACATATGCCGAATTGAAGCCCGGTGCCTTCTTCGGCGAGATTGGCATCCTCATGGACATTCCCCGCACTGCCACCATTATTGCCAATGTCCGCTCCCTCGTCGTGCGTCTGAACAAGGAAGACCTGACCAAGGAGCTCCCCAAGTTTCCCGATGTCGAGGTCGCCATCAGGCACGAGGCCCAGGAGCGCTTGGCCATTCTGCAGCGCAAGAAGTCGGAGCTATCGGCCAAGCGCCCACAACCCACGCGCCAGATAACGGGCAAGCGCGACCGTGAAGATGGCGATGTGGTCATGGCCGAGAGCGGTACCATACGTGATGGCGAGATCAATGCCTTCAAGAAGCGCAAATCTCCAAGTCCGGGCCTTGCTGAAGCCATTGCCCACAGTGCCTTTGGAAGCGATAGCCTACATGTGAGGCCTTTGCTGAAAGAGCTGCCTCTCTTCTCCGAGCTGCCAGACGATATTCTGCACTTCATCGGCATGCGCGCTCAACCATGTTCCTTTGATCCTTTTGTAGACATTATAAAACAGGGCACCCAAGGCCGTGATGTCTTTTTCATTGTAAAGGGCGAAGTCGAGGTCATTAGCGACCATGTGCCCGAGTCCAATGGTTTCACCTCACCCACCCAGGGACGAAGAAAGTCGATTGCTGCCGGCGAGCACAATTTCCAACAAGTCAAAGCTCGACTAAAGCCAGGACAGTACTTTGGTGAGGTGGTCAGTCTTTCGCTGGCGCCACGCCGCACTGCCACGGTCCGCTCTATATCCGCTGTCGAATGCCTGATGATTACCGGAGACACGCTGAACCAGCTGTGGGAAAAGTGCACTCCAGACGTACGGCGACAGGTCGAGTCTGTCGCTAAAGAGCGCCTGCAGACTGCCAAAGACGAAGATGTGCTCATGCCAGATGCGCATAGCACACCCAATATCAACGACTTGGCCATAGTAGACTACACAATACCTCGAACACCACGGAGGAAAAAGAGCGTGCCGACCGTTACTTTCAATGAAACACTCGGCATCGACAACTCTGTAGCTCCTGCTCGGAGAGACGAGAAAATGATGGAGCCATTCGATCCCGATCCTTTTCTAAACGTCGACCTTGACAACGTCAGATCGCGGTCGCGTAGAGGTTCGCTCGCTCCACCAGCACCTGGCTCAACACCCGAAGCCCCCGCAAGTCCTGGCAAAACTGAATTCCCAAGGACTCCATCCCCTAACGGCTCACCGCTTTCTCCGTCGCCATCTTTTACAATAGCAAAACATGCATCTACCCCGCCGGAGGTTCCATTCGATTTCAAGCGCCCACGACTTGTCACAAAACCAAGCATATACACAAGAGGTCGATTGCCAGATTCTGTACTCGTTACCATCTTGGCCAACCTAGACATTTACGAGCTGATGAAACTACGCATCATTTCTTCACATTGGAGCAAACTCATATCGGAATCCCCTGATATTCTCCACGATCTTGATCTTACAAAGTACAACCGCAAAGTCACCGACCGGTCACTCATCGATATAATATGTCCCTTTGCCGGCAGCCGGCCACGTTCCGTCAACATCAGCAATTGTTTCCATGTGACAGACGAGGGTTTTGGAGAACTAGCAAAGACATGTGGCCCGAGCGTCAGGATATGGCGTATGAAGAGCGTTTGGGACATCACCGGACCTGCTGTTCTCGAAATGGTACAGAAGGCCAAGGGTCTGGAGGAGGTAGATCTGAGCAACTGCAGAAAGGTCGGCGATAACCTCCTTGCCCGAGTCATTGGCTGGATAGTACCTGACATGCCTCCCCAAATGGCCATGGCTCATGCTCAACAACAGGCCCAGATGAACGGGCGCCGACAAGGAAAAGGCGCCAACAGTCAGCCACCGCAACCTCTACCGCCAGGCACCGTTGTCGGCTGTCCAAAACTCAGGCGATTAACGCTGAGTTATTGCAAGCACATTACTGACCGAAGCATGGCTCACATTGCTGTTCACGCAGCCAACCGCATCGAAAGCATCGACCTGACACGTTGCACCACCATTACAGACGTAGGCTTCCAACACTGGAGCGTCTACCCCTTCCCTAGGCTTACCAAGCTATGTCTCGCCGACTGCACCTACCTGACCGACAACGCAATCGTTTATCTCACCAATGCAGCCAAGGGGCTAAAGCAACTTGATCTGGTAAGTTTGGACCCTCATTTTTTTTCACTTTATTTCTTTTTCTGGATCATGCCACGAAAGAGAAAGAAGAAACAAAAATCCCATTACCTCAATCCACTCACACAAGGAGAAAGAGCCCTGATTTCCCTGATCTCCCTGATTCCCCTTTGCAAAAAATAAAAATGCAAAAGAGGAAAAGAAAAAAAAGAGCTTCACACCCGCTAACGCGAAACCCCTCGGAATCAACAGTCTTTTTGCTGCGCCCTCTCGGACACAGCAACCGAAGTCCTCGCCCTCGGCCTTCCCTCGCTCACCCACCTCAACCTCGCCTTTTGCGGCTCCGCAGTGTCAGATACCTCGCTCCGCTGCATTTCGCTGCACCTCCTCGAGCTGCGCAACTTGTCTGTGCGCGGCTGCGTGCGCGTCACGGGCACGGGCGTCGAGGCCGTGGTGGAAGGTTGTCGCGACCTCGAGCGCTTTGATGTGAGTCAGTGCAAGAATCTGGGGCGTTGGCTCGATGCCGGTGGTGTGCAGAGCGTGCGGAGTCGCGGCCGCAATGTCAAGTTTGTCTGTGTGAGTGATGGGCGGTGGAGGGATTCGATGGGGAAAAGTTAAAAAAAAAAAAAAGACACACGGCTTTTCGTTTTCTTTTTTCTTTGATTTGCTCCATTTCCCCATGTGCGGTTGCTGTGTTGGTGCAAAGTCGATTGTTGGTCGTTGGTGATGTTGACATGAGGTTTTTGTGACCGAAATGACATTGTGTCTTTTTCTTCTTCTTTTTTCTTTGAGAAGGAAGAGGTGGGGGAAATCGAAAAATACCTGGGAAAGTTTCTCTCTCTAGATTGGGGTGGAGGAAGGGGTTTTTTTTGGATCGTTTTTTTTTTCATTTTCGTCCAATTGTCGAAATCTCTCTCTCTCTCTCTTTCTCTCTTTACCCTTCACATATAGAGTTGTACTTGTACTGTTGACTGTACTCTTTTGTACTGTTTCTGTATGGTATTCATCTTTGCCATGTTTCTTTTTTTTTCGTCATTTTGGTTTGGCTTGGCTTGGTTTTGCGGCGGCGGGCGGTGGCGGTGGCGGTTGTGCTGTGCAGTGCTGTGTTATGCTACGATAAAATTTAATGCCATGATACCATGTTTGACATTGATCTTTTGCATCCTGTCCTTCGTAGATTGCTGTTGTGTGGGGGTTGCTGATGGAGATGAGGGATGGTGAGAGTCTGTGTATTTGCTGAATGTGGGGAGATGGTGATTCGGATGGCGAAGAGATGTTGCAACGGTAGGGTTGGTTACCACTTTTGCATTGGGGAAGAGGGTATGGTAGAGAAATTGGGTAGTATTTGATATGCGTAGCTCGGTAGGTAGTTTTTAGTACCGTCAAGATGTTTGGATTTTGTAAAGCTACTGTGTTAAACATGATACCTGATGTAGGGATGGGTGGAAGTCATTTCTATCTTTCCTCCCACTGTTGGTGGCTGGTGGTATTAGTAGTGCCGTTGGTACAAATGATTTCTTGCCTGATTATTTGATTATCTGTTCGAGTTTAACGTCCTATATCAAAGCCACCGATGGATCATGCAGACGGGTGAAGCCCAGGGCTTATGGCGGTGCAGCACTGTCTGATCTCGTTATCTTTGGGTGATGTATTGGCTACTGTTAACAGGTCGATTGAGGGTTTTTTTTGGCGGGGGGGGGGGGAGGGCAGAGGGAGTATCGCTTTAGTCAGCGTAAACTTTTAGTTCAGACTTGGTTGTATCACACATGTTGTTTAAATACTTTCACAAAATAGCGAATTTTTGAAGTTGATGATATCTGCTTATCTTTTCACTCTATGCTGAATAGACTCAATCTATAATCGTTGTTACAAGTGATGAACAGACGTAAAAATGGAAATCGACATGATATAGGAAGATGGTTGGGTAAGGAGTATTTTCTAGTCTTGGTATTTGTAGCTGTTCTAATCCTGCCAAGTGGAGTAGTTGCAGCCATAGCTATTGCTAGACTTTCATCCACTTGCTCATTCCTGCTCAAATGCCCTTATCTTGTCTATCAAGTTAACATCGTCCTGAAAACCAATTGCTTCTGCGGTTTCTAAGCAACATGCCGCTATGGCGAGACGGTTTTCATGAGTTGGCAATATCCCAAGACACACCAAGCTCTCAATCTGCTCCTTCAGGAAAACTCGCAAATCTTCAAGTTCATGGAAGACCTGAGGAGAAAGATCCGCACCAGCCTTTAACATCATGGCTGTTATTTGAGCGGCAGGCAAATCTCAGCTTTGGCCAACAGAAAAGTACCTGTCTTCCAGCCAGAGCAACTATGGAGTTGTATTTTTATAGTGTTCCACGACCATCTGATTTGGGTCACAGCCCGAATCCAACAGAATTCCTATTGTCGTTACTGGCACTAGTCTGTCGTCGATAAAATATTCCAAAATCAACTTCATCATGGGTTGGAGAACAGAAGGGACCAAGAGATTGAGTCGCTCGCTCGTAGTTCGTGCTCTCTGTACTGTATCGAACTCCTGGGCATCAGGCTTGCTGATACAGGTATCCGGATTCAGTTCCGCAGCCAACAGTAAAGTGATATGTTTGTCGTTCAGCTTGTTTCTGAAGAATCTCAAGGTTAGATCTACCTCGTTATTCAAGCCAATATATAGACGTGTTGGTGACCGGGATCGGTATCCTTTGTTTTGTTCGTGCTGATCCATTGAGGACCGAGGCCGTTTTATTGCCATCAAAATGCTGTCGAGTACTGCAGCCAAATGAGATGGCCGCGTTTTTAACAAATCCGTCAAAATGATCAAGCTGTTCAGAACAGTAAAGTCTCCCTCATCTATGTGTCTCACATCGAGGAATAACATGAACGAGTCAATAAATGCCAAGGCAGCAGTCGGGTCGAATCCATCATCGTCTATCTTCAAACAGTCCATTTTTAGAGCATCTGTATTGTCGAGAAACTCAAACACTGTTCTGTGCATGAAGTTGACAAAAGGAGTATCCCCACCAGGACCCATTAGGTGACCTTTGGAAGCATCGCCACGTATTTCCAATGACCCTCTACATTGACTTCGAAGACGGCCTTCCAGCATCAAAGATTTTTGGTTCATCTCATCAGGTGAGTATCGAGTAAAGTCTTTCATTTGATCCAATTACATGCCCTTTTCGACGGCCCAAGCCATTGCAAAAGTCGAGATGAAACTCATATCTTCGACTGGTCCTCGTATGTAACAGAGGCGAAGCATTTTTGATGCTTGTTGCCGAACTCGCTCTGGTATATCCTCGATTATACTGCGGAGGAGGTCCTCAAGTTCTGGTGGTAGCCGGTCAACTGCCCGTTGGATCTCGTCTGCAGAGTCATATGCATCAAAGCGGTCAAGTAGTGTGCGGCAAGCAAGTACGACCCAGAGAAATACGCCCTCCGCTTTGTCTTGCAGAGTTATGATCAATTCTCGAACGTCGGCTTCATTAAGATAAGCTGTCGCCATCTCGGCAAAGATAAGACCGAATTGTGTCGTTGACATATTT